TCCTTCTGATAGTATCTTTGCAACTCAGGAGCATCGAAAAAGTTCCAGAAAAAAGCATGTCCGGCCAGGAAGTATGAGTTATGACAATGTGAATATCGAAGTGTTAGATAATAGGTAGGCATTATTTGTTTCATTTAAATTTTTAATGGAATTCCATAAGGTATTTGTGCATTGTTTGGCCTTCAGGGTTTGACCAGCCCATCTACAAGAAATCTTCAGCCTTATGTTAACTAAATTTGAAATCATTGGTTCGCAGTTTCAATAATGAAAGTGATGAAGGAAGCCAAAGCTGCATTTCACTCCCCTGTTCTGAGAACCTGACTTCTCGGTCAAGACCACCAAAAGATTTTGTTTGCCCAATCACGGGCCAGATTTTCAATGATCCCGTAACCCTTGAAACTGGTCAGACATATGAAAGAAAAGCCATTCAAGAATGGCTAAAACGAGGAAATACGACATGCCCTATCACTCGGCAACCACTCTCTTTAAGTGCACTCCCTAAAACAAACTATGTCTTGAAAAGGCTTATAACATCTTGGAAAGATCAGTATCCTGATCTTGCTCAGGAATTTTCTTACTCTGAAACACCAAGGCATACATTGTGCTCACCCTCCATTAAAGAAACGGCACTGGTATCCACTCCATCGAGGACATTTGATTTTTATAGTCATAATAGTACAACAGAAGACCGTATTAATCTTAGGAGCAAAAGATTTATGCGGGCAGCAATATCTACATCACCAACTAGTGTAATATCTCAAGCTTCTGTTGAAACAATTATAAATGGATTAAAACCATGCGTATCTTGTCTCTGCACTTCAGAAAACTTGCAAGAATGTGAAACAGCAGTGTTGGCAATAGCCAGATTGTGGAAGGAGTCAAAGGCTGATCCTGGAGTTCAGGCTTATTTATCTAAACCAACAATTATAAACGGCTTCGTGGAAATACTATCAGCCTCTTTGAACAGAGAAGTTCTTAGAACATCAATTTACATTCTCTCAGAGCTGATATTTGCCGATGACAGTGTTGGAGAGGCTCTTACCAGTGTAGACACTGATTTTGATTGCCTGGCTGCTTTGCTAAAAAATGGGCTAGCTGAAGCAGCCGTTCTTATATACCAGCTAAGGCCAGCGTTTGCTCAGCTTTCAGCTCATGACTTTATACCCTCCCTTGTCCAGATAATCCTCAACAAAAGTGAAGAGTTTGATGATCTTCAATTTATCATGGAGCCCAAGGATTCTGCTATAGAAATGCTTGAGCAGATACTAATGGGAGGGGATGAAAACAGCAGGTCACTTAATGCTTTGACTGTCATCTCTGCCAATGGAATTCCTGCGTTAATCAAGTGTTTGGACAAGGTGGAAGGAAGGAGGTCCATTGTTTCCATACTGCTATGTTGTATGCATGCTGATAAGAGTTGTAAAAATTTAATAGCAGACAGAATTGAATTGTCTCTTGTGCTTGAATTGTTCCATGCTGGAAACGATAGTGTTAGAGGCATATGCATAGATCTTCTGGCAGAGCTGGTTCAATTGAATAGGTAAACAGTCTGTTATCTGCTTTATCTATCAAAATTTTCCTTTCTTGATGATTTTATGCATTTATATGTTTAACCATTCTTCATATCCTTTGTTGTGGTATTTTGTCTATCAATATTTTGAAGTGAGAGAATATACTTAAGCATTCATCTTGAAGATGTCCTTGAAAACACACACGAATCTACTGATGTTTTGAGTCTTCTGATTCATATCCTTCTAAAAGCCAAGATTGAATGTTTTATTTTATCTTATGGTTTTTCAGGAGGACATCCTGCAAGCAGATTTTGCAAACAATTAGAGATGAAGGAGCTTTTAGCACATTGCATACCTTCCTAGTCTATCTTCAGATGGCTCCAATGGAGCAACAACCTGCCATAGCCTCTCTACTTCTTCAGCTTGATCTGCTGGTTTGCCTCGTTGTTTTGAAATCTTCCAAAATAATTGAAATTTATAAATAAACCTTTTAATAAACAACAATAGGTCATCCAATTTTAGATTCTTGTAAAATTCTTACAACAGGTTGAGCCACGGAAGATGAGTATCTACAGGGAAGAAGCAGTAGAGGCTCTAATTGAAGCACTCCGCAGAAAGGATTTCCCTAACTCTCAAATGATGGCTCTAGATGCTTTACTATCTCTTTCTGGGCGTTTCACTTCTTCGGGGAGGTCCTATACTGAGGCTTGGTTACTTAAGATTGCAGGGTTTGATCCAACTTACAATGCATTAATGAAGACACAGCGACTCACTAAACCTGAATATGATTTGGTGGAAACAATGGTTTGCATCTATGTGGTTTTTGGGTGACTGTGGAGCTTGTTACTCTTTATTTTATATCAATCCTGAATTTTAAATTCTTGTAAATAGGAAGAGGAAGAGAAAGCTGCTAATGCTTGGGAGAAAAGGGTGACTTTTGTACTCTGCAACCATGAGAAGGGCTCTATTTTTAAGGCTTTGGAGGAATGCCTCAGGAGTAATTCTTTAGAGATGGCTAAGTCTTGCCTTGTCGTTGCTGCATGGCTCACAAACATGCTTTCCATTCTTCCAGATACTGGCATAAAAAATGCTGCCCGCAAGTCTTTGCTTGATGAATTTATAAATGTGCTTCAATCATCTAAGAACCTGGAGGAGAAGATTTTGGCAACGCTTGCTCTAAAAACTTTTATTAGTGATCCAGGTCAGTTTAGTATTTATGATTATAACGTTTTCAACGAGTTTATACAAGAAACTTATAATTGGTTTTTTTATAAATCTAAGCTGCACTTGAGGAGCTTGGAAAGTATGCTAAATGCATCTATGGAACACTGAGAAAGCTTAAGAGGAATTCAGTAGCAGTCACCGATATATTGAAAGCTTTGATGAATTTGTCATCAGTCAATGCAGTAAGTGAGGTTCCATTTACACTGTTTAGTATAAGTAACATTTGCAATAACTGATTGTCCTCAATATTCTTCATTGTAGACAGAGTTGTGGAACTGTACTGAAGTTGTTGAGTTGGATTCATCCACCAATGGTGAAATTTTGTGTCTACTTCATTTAAAAGGTCGTCTTCTGAGCGGCCATTCTGATGGAACTATAAAGGTATGGCCCTAACAAAATCTCCTATCATATATAGACATCGATCAGTTTTGTCAATCAAACACTCAGAGTAACATCTTGGTTATAGATTTGGGATGGCGGGAAGAGAGTTTTAAGGTTGATTCAAGAAGTACGTGAACATACCAAAGCTGTCACGTGCCTTTATGTTTCGTCTTCAGGTGACAAACTGTACAGTGGTTCCTTGGACAAAACAATCAGGGTAAATCATCTCCATATCTGTTTTGACTTGACATCATAACTCACTGCTAAAAATGAGGCCTTTCATTTTTGTACCAACAGATCTGGGCAATCAAACCGGACGAAATTCATTGCGTTCAAGTACATAATGTGAAGGAAGCGGTACACGAGCTGACAGCCAATGCTGAATTTGCTTGCTTTACTTCTCAAGGAACTGGTGTTAAGGCAAGTGCCATATTCTTTTAAGATATGAAATACTGAAATACCTTAGACTATAACAAAGTTCAATTGTCACAGGTGTATAATTGGTCGGGGGTTCCAAAGCATATCAATTTCAATAAACACGCCAAGAGCCTCGTCATGACTGGAGATAAATTATATTGTGGATGCTCTGGTTATTGTATCCAGGTAACTATTCTTTCTGGTTGATTTGGAATCGGACCCATCTCCGGATTGAAATTTTTTGGTAATAAAATTAAAATTTCAGGAAGTTGTTTTGAGCAATTTAACGTCAAACACATTCTATTCTGGTACAAAGAAATTGTTGGGGAAACAAACTATACATTCTCTGTATATGCATAAAGGTCTTCTCTTCGCTGGTGGTTCTTCAGTTGATGGGACGGCTGGAAAGGTATGCAACAACCGTTTAATTGTTTTTGAAATCATGTAAATGAGTTTATTTTAATGTTCTTGCAACAATTTTGGATATGGAAGGTATTTAATCTCTCAACAAAGGCAGCAGTTGGAGTGTTCTCAACAGGATTCGATATTCTACGCATAGCTGTCAACAGTGATTTCATATTTACAGCTACAAAATGTGGAATAATTGAGGTTTGGCTAAAGGAAAAAGTCACGAGAGTTGCCTCCATTAAACTTGGTGGAGGGCACACCAAAATCACATCCTTGATTGCAGATATTGGTGGAGGGATGCTTTATGCTGGTTCATCAGATGGTAAAATCAAGGTTAGACAACAAACCCACCTTTGAAATACTAGCAAATTATTTAAAAAAACTACATAATTTTTTTGCTCATTTGATTTTATAATCTTGCTTGTTGCAGGCTTGGGCTCTGGACTAGGTGCTTTCAACTATTAAGATGAATACTGTTAATCTATAAGCTTTGTAAATCAAATGTTGGGATTCCATAAAATCAACTCTCTTAATGTCTGTTCTTAGTGAACATATGAAATTCATTTTAGTTTGGATAACACAAAATTTAATCTAGCAGCCTCCAGAATATAATTGTATGACACATAAATAAATCTTGAATAATCGGCTTCAAATCCATGGTTGAAGTATTCCAGGGCAAATGGGCTAAGGTTTATTCAAGATAAATTTTGCAAGATCAAAAACCAAAGAGTTAAAGATAGCACTCAGAATGAAAAGGACTTTATAACTAGTTAGAATTTCAAAGATCTTTCGATCTCAAACGACATTAAGAAGCATCCTCATCGTGCTAAAGGGAAGAAAACAATTTAAAGTCCAGCAAAATGGAAATTTTAGAATCAACTCCGAAAAAAAAAAGGGATTCAAAAAAAGACATTGGATTGGTGGTTTCCGAGCACTCAGTATGAGTAGGAGGTTTATATTCGTCATTGGGTAATCGGACGATTTAGAAATTATCATCATCATGCACGCTCCACCATCAATTTAAACCAAAATTAAAAAAAAAAAAAATCACAGAGATGAAACCATCAGAAACATTGGATAAATGCATCATTATTGACACGATGTGTCTCAGACGACCGTCGTGAGAATTTAATCCAATTTCATCACCTGATTTTACGCCGACATAATCTAAATAATTTTACAGAGGGAAGGAGATAGGAGGGAGGAAGAAAGGTTTCAGTGATAAAGAAGCAAGCAAATGACAGTTTATAAAGGAGTTGGTTTCTGTCTTAGGGTTTTAGTCATGTTGTATTGACGATTCTACCCCCATCTTACTAAAAGCCCAGCCCAGCCCAGCCCAATGGCTTGTTAAGGACTACAATTCAACACTCATCTAAACGACATCGTTCAGACAACAGTTGGTAAGTTGCGGGTTTTTGTCCAATTTTTCAGATGCAGTAGACATTTGGTAGATCGCCGGTGACATTTTCCAGTTGAATTGAAGATAAGCGAAACGAAAGCGGGTCTCTCTTGGAGTGTAAATAAGCATGTCTTCTGAAGGCTTCCCTTCATTTATTTCAGCTCAGCTTCATTATCTCGTTAACCACTCCCCTCAAACCATCAAGGTAACCCCTCTCTCACTCTCTCTAGGGTTTCATTCTCTAAATTAATATTTATTATTACGCAAGAATTGTTAATCTTGATTTAGTTTTTTATTCTAGGTTGAACAGGTATGGTCTGGTTGCAAGTACTTGGGAAGTCTTGATCGGTTCACCTTGCTAATCCCCTACTGTCTTGACACTATCAAATGTTAGTATGATTTTAAAGTGAAATTGATTCCAATTTTTCAGCCTTTATACTGATTGTTGTTTCTTAAATTTGTCGTAGGGGATGTTATATACAATGCGGACTTTCCACTGGCTGCGCCTGATGTTATATTTGGACCTGAAGACGAAGAGTTTCATCCGTTTCATGATAACTCTGCCGATGTCACCGCAACCAAGAATAGTTTGTCTGATTGGAACAACAAAGATCCCACGCGGCTATTGGCCCTCATTCAGGAATTGAGGTTCGGCTTTTAGGTTATCAGAACTTCGTTTATATACTTGAAGAAAATGCATGATTGAGTTTTTTATTTTTTGCTTTGTAGGGATCGGTACATGACCTACCAGAGGAAGCGTGTTGGAGAGGTGGATGATGATCGTTTGAAATTTGAATATAGTACTATGTTATCTAGGGAGGTAATACGTCGGCTCTAATTCATGGCATTTTATTATATGATAGAAATTTGAATTCTCAATATAGAAAATGAAAGAAATCTATATTTCTAAATCCGTACTAAATAAACTTAGCCTGGTTTTTCTTCTGCCCTGCAGTTGATTACTAATAGTGAACAAAACTATACTATTTTTTTTTATCTTCCAAGTTCTCATGAAACACAGTTATGGCTTGCTGCCTTTTCTTGGCCTTACCTTAATAAAACAATAGAACATGAGATGTGGAAAACTTTTCCATTTGTTTTGAGGGCCTTTAGCCGTGCTTGGGAGGATGACAATAAGAACCATGTGAGTGAGATCAATGGCAAGCTTAGCTCCTTATTACCATTTTGATTACCATCTTGCCTCTACCCCTTTTCATTTGATTGAGTGATAGTGATAGTGAAGTCAAAAGCAATGAGCACTAAGGATGATTATTTTGCACAGTTTTGATACAACTATTGACATATGCTAACATGGGTTGCTGTCTCATACTCTGTTGATATTGCTTTTCTTTTGATGGAATGATGATCTATGAATGCTTTTGTCTTTGTTTTCAAAAGTTGATGTTGGTTTTAATTCCCTTCATCTGCTTTACGCCTATCCCTGTTCTGTAGGGTATTGAAATGCATATGAATTCTGGTGTCGAAAAGGTATTTATCAAATCAACAGGTTCGAATCTGTTTAATTTACTTATGAGAACTATCTAGCATGTCTTTTCATTATATTTGTGCTTTCTATGCCTTTGAATTTTAGCGTAGCCAGAGGAAGTCAAATTTGCAGTACCTCTTTTGGACATGAATATAAACAAAATGGTGGTTGGGTGCCCATGGAGACATCAACAGAGGATATACTTACAGGTTCCATTCTCCTATTCTTTTCTTGCTTCAATTTTCTTTTCCTTTTGTCTTTCTTATGTTTTGTGTGTGTGTTTCTGCTCTCCTGGTACTTTTATTTTCCCGTATATAATATTGTGTTGTGCACTTACTGATGGGTGCAGGTTATATATCCTGTTAATAGAAAGTATGTTTCTGCTCCTTCAGCACCTTGTCTTAAATTAATGTCAACTGCTGAGTTGAAGTCTCTATTTTCTATTGATGATGTCAAACTACCTCCTTGGTTGGATGGAATGTAAGTGATCCATTCTAGTCTACCTTTATACTGCATACCCTAATGATCTTTCCTTTTTTGAACCCTACAAAATTTCCATGAGTTGTGCTGTCTAATAACATTTATTCTTCATCCTCTCCTTAAAGGTGCATGGCCGAATATCTTCCCCATCTAGAAGAGTCCCTTGAGAGACAGGTCAGTATTATTTCCCAATATTCTAAAGCCTTTGAATCATTATATTGGACATCAACAATGAACGACACATTAAGCTTTCTTTTATATTTTAAGGTCCTGGAGGCAGTCTCATTAACTGATGTCAGAAGGCGTTTTATTGAAGCATTAGCCCCTCTGTTGGGAAGACCAGTAGAAACTGATTCGGTATGCATTTTAGACATTTTTTCCTGTAGCAAAAATTTTAACTTTTAATTGTTAAGACGGACTGATAGCTTCCTTTGGATTTTTTTTCCAGGTTTTTTACAGAAAGGCTATGTTTTTTGTTGCCTCTGGAAATTTCTCATTCCTGGTACTACCATATCTTCTCAACCTTATATACATACATAGATGTTCCGAAGCATGTAGAAAAGTCTTAAAGAAAAATTCTTAGTGCTTTCATTTTATGTGTGCAATCTTTTGCTAATATGATGTTGAACTTGGTGGGCAGATGCTTTAATTTAATTCAGTTCAATTGCAACTGCTTATCATTCAACTTTGATGTTTGGAACAAACTATCATCTATTAAGTGCAACACTTTCTATAGTTTTTTTTTTTTTTTTTTTGCATCATCTATCTATGATTATTTTATTTTGTTCTGTGTCTTTGACTTACTAAACTTTTTTATTGGTCCTATTGATGTAGGTGCTAATTTTCCTTTCTACCCAGTTTCCAAAACAGCAGCCTGCTTTGATGCTTCAAAGTTCCCTGGTGATGATACCCGTTAAATTTAAAACTTTTCTAGAATCTTAGATGGCTTGAGTATGTCTGCTATTTTGCCAATGCATGTGTGCCATGATTGAAGAAAAAAGAGTAACACATTTGTAGCTATATCTTGATATTGACCTGGTTATGATCTCCAAACTTTGCAGTATTTCAACCCTCAAAGTATGCCGATCAAGTCTCCTCTTCTAACAGAATATCCGTGGAGTCCAAGATGGGAATCATCTCAAATGGCTGAGCGTATATTGTAAGTAGTTTGTATTATTATTATTATTTTTTTTTTAATGTATTGATCAGTTTCACATGCATTTCTAAGGTATATTATTAATGTTGTCAGTGAATTTTTGGTGGACGAATCTCTCAACTTCAAAAAGTACTGCAGCGAAGGTCATCTTCAACAATGAAGGAATCCCATGAAAAAATTACTGTTTCTTATGCATACCCACCCCTGCATTATTTCAAGTTGTGTAAATCTAATCTTTTAAAATGTATTTTTGTCGTCGTTATAATAACATTGTGGATGAAGATGGGTGCCTTTTAATCTCAGAATTTATTTTAATGTTCAATCGCCAAATCAATTTAATTGATTCAAAGACCGCAAATTAATTGAGTTCTTTCAATGATGGAATAAAGAATTTAACAAAATATATATTGAAATTGCAAGGGCGATGGACAGATGTAAGGAAAAGACGTGGCCAATAGTGATTGTAGTGCGGTGAACAGAATGGTAACTGTAAATGAAAATAATAACACAACAGATCCCGCAAATGAATGTACATACACAGATCTATACCAAACGAAAAACAATACACCGCCTTAACGTGGGCAGCCCATCACTGTACAGTTAGTTGGTTGTCCGTACTCTCTCTCTTTTATCAAATACACACTTTTTATATCACCCTTCTTCACCTTCAAAAGTATACTCCCCGCCCTCTATTATCATTTCCTTCTCCCCAATCCTTCCATTTCTCTTCTATTTTCAACTCCAATTATGAGAGAGATCTTGCACATTCAAGGAGGCCAATGCGGCAACCAAATCGGCTCCAAGTTTTGGGAGGTCATTTGTGAGGAGCATGGAGTCGACCCCACCGGCAGATACAAAGGAGACGGAGATTCTGATCTTCAACTGGAGCGTATTAATGTCTACTACAATGAGGCTTCAGGTGGTAGGTACGTGCCCAGGGCCGTTCTCATGGATCTTGAACCTGGTACCATGGACAGTATCAGATCCGGCCCCTATGGCCAGATCTTCCGTCCCGATAACTTTGTCTTCGGACAGTCTGGTGCCGGTAATAATTGGGCCAAAGGTCACTACACTGAGGGAGCGGAATTGATCGATGCTGTTCTCGATGTTGTTCGCAAGGAGGCTGAGAATTGTGACTGTTTGCAAGGTATTTTTTTAGGTTTTTTCTTTCAAGTGAATTTGAAACGTTGCCGTTTTCTTCTTCTTCTTCTTCTTCTTCTTTAATTATGTTTGTGAATCTGGAAGGATAATTAACTTCATAAACTTGAGGGATCTGTGTTAATATTTAATTCATAACGAATTTTAAGGCTCTTTAAGCACTGAATTTGATGCTCTTGTTATCTCCAACTTCAAATTAGTTCTCATGATTTTTATATTGCAGTTCATTACGCATTTTTACTCTTCATTTTCATTTACGATGCATATAACTTATATGCTGGAACATCTTATGTGTGGTTCTAATACATACTTCATTCATTGGCATCTAAGTTTAGATAACACTTTTCATTTACCCATTTACAAGTATTTTGGCTTTTGATTTTAATTTCAAGTAGATCTCATTTAATTCCATAGAATCAACATTATCTTGTAATTTTATCTACCCATGAAAAGACTGTTGATACAAATATCATGGATCTGAAATATCAATTGTGGACCTCGTAGTAGTCAAGGGGTGGTTGTTGTTCAATTGGTACTATGGTGACGACATTGATTAATAATGAGTAGGCCCCTTTTTTTCAAGTGTGGTGACACTTGAGGTGTGAGGACATAGTCTTACTGAAACTTTTGTGATGAATAATTGAGTAAGCAGATCTATTGATATCTAATTTTGTCTATATTATGATTGTTATTTCTCGACAAAATGATATTTTTCACGACACCACCGACTAATAGTAAATCGACACTTAAAAAAGTAGATCATGCATCACTTCAAAAAAAATTTGGACCCATTTGTATACCCATGTGGACCCTGCCAGCATTGGATATGTAGATGCTGTCTTGATGATAACTGGCCACATTGTGATATCTGAATTGAAACAATAATAACCAATAAACTATTATTAAGATAATACATATGCATTTTTTCTTAGACATGTGAAGACTGAGTACTGTGATAATAAGTAAAGAAGTAAATTATAGTATTAAATATGTGATACAAGCATCTGGTCTTGGATGTGGTATATCACTTATAAATTGATTATGGTATGAAATGCACACACATATAAGAGAGAAATTTCCAGGACTTACATCTAGATCTGCATCTGAGTTATAGCTGGAACAGTATTAACAGTGCCTGTCATAATGTTACATGATAATGTCGTGATAATTATGATAATGAAATGTTCAACTAATAATGCAATGATGATGATAATGTTGGGACTGATGTAAGTGCAATGAATTACATGTGGAAAATTCCAAAAAGTTGGATGGGATATTTCAGTCCTGTTTTAATGTATGCTATTTGATAATACTCACTTTTTTATCATTTTCCGAGTGCTGTAATTTCAGTGAAAATTGGTTTTGCGCCCTTTTTGACACTATATACGTTGAAACATTTTGAATGTAAAGATAAAAGTGAATGAATGATCCATCTCTGAACTGGCTAGTAATAGATGGCGATACCTATTGTTGATTTTCAATTGGCTGGCTACTCATTTGCTGCTATTGCTTCTGGGCCAGGTTTTCAGGTATGTCACTCGCTTGGAGGAGGTACAGGTTCTGGCATGGGAACTCTTCTGATATCTAAGATTAGAGAGGAATATCCAGATAGGATGATGATGACGTTCTCTGTTTTCCCTTCACCTAAAGTCTCTGACACAGTCGTTGAGCCCTACAATGCAACCCTCTCTGTGCACCAATTGGTAGAGAATGCTGATGAATGCATGGTCCTTGACAATGAAGCACTTTATGATATTTGCTTCCGGACTCTGAAGCTTAGCACACCAAGCTGTGAGTGGTTAAATATTTTTATTTGTTAAAATGTGAAACACTGGAAGATTCTAATACTTAGTATGCCTCTGGATTTATAGTTGGGGACTTGAATCACTTAATCTCTGCAACTATGAGTGGTGTAACTTGCTGCTTGAGGTTCCCTGGGCAGCTGAACTCCGATCTCCGGAAGCTGGCTGTAAACCTGATCCCATTCCCACGTCTTCATTTCTTCATGGTGGGTTTTGCACCACTGACTTCACGTGGGTCCCAGCAATACATCTCCCTAACTGTCCCAGAGCTTACACAGCAAATGTGGGATTCTAAGAACATGATGTGTGCTGCTGATCCCCGTCATGGTCGGTACCTGACAGCCTCAGCCATGTTTAGGGGTAAGATGAGCACCAAAGAGGTGGATGAGCAGATGATCAATGTGCAGAACAAGAATTCATCCTACTTTGTGGAGTGGATTCCCAACAATGTGAAGTCTAGTGTGTGTGATATTCCACCTAGGGGTCTGAAGATGGCATCTACTTTTGTGGGTAACTCCACATCCATCCAAGAGATGTTCAGAAGGGTTAGTGAGCAATTTACTGCCATGTTCCGCCGCAAGGCCTTCTTGCATTGGTATACCGGGGAAGGGATGGATGAGATGGAGTTTACAGAGGCAGAGAGCAATATGAATGACTTGGTGGCAGAGTATCAGCAATACCAGGATGCTACTGCTGATGATGAGGAAGAGTATGAGGAGGGCATTGAGGAACAGGATGAGATGTAAGAAGTGTAACAAGGGCTATCTACTAGTGCGTATCTCAGAGCTTCAATTGTTGATTTTGAACTTGTGTGTTTGTTTAAGAAGATGATATTGAGATATTGGTTGTTGTTCTATTAAGGATTTGAATTAAAAATTTGTATTTGTTAGTTTGATGTTACTATTCAACTACATGTTGTTGGAAATGGCTTGCATTTTGTTGTCAATAAAATGTTAGTATTTAGTTAAGAAATAAGAGGTCAGTTAAGTTTGAGTTTGACTGTACTATTGTGCCAAACAACCCAGCTAAAAAGCTTTTTGTTTCACAAATATCACTAATCAGAAAAAAAAAACCAAATGAATGAGAAGAAAACTATGAACAAGTACAACACGAGGGAGAATACATAGCTTCACATCAACTTCTTCTAACTGGTTCACATAGGTTATTATTGATGGATTTAACTGCTGAGATTACTGAACTAAAGAACCAGTTAGAGGAAGAAAAAAAAAAAGAAGCCTGAATCAAATCTTTTTTTTTCCTCTAACCGGTTCTTTAGATCCATGCCTTGGCATCACATAAAAAATAGAAGCTATTTCCAGATCTGAAATTGAAGAGCTCAATAAACAAACATTTACTTGAATCAAGAGATGCATCAGAGTCATGGAAGTATGAGATGAAACACAGCTCGCACTATTATAGAACGCAAGCTTCTCATAACTCAATAATGTCCTCATCATTTGCATTTAATTAAATATTTTAACAAAAGAAGAAGAGAGAAGAGTTATTATAGAATAGAATACTATTTGACCAAAGGAAAAAGAGCAGCAGCACGACATCGATTATCGCAAGACTTCATAGTTATAGAACCCCGAGCAGCTTTAACTTAACTGAGGTTTTCTAAACTCAACTACAGTTAACCTCATACATGATATGATATACGGTCAGGATGGTCTCACTCGCATACTTATCCTTTACCATCCCACGCGCTTTACAAGTCTTCGTTTCATAGGAGTAATTAATGTAAAATAAACATAAAAATAGTTTATATTTAGTTAAATAGGACTTATTGTTAGACAAATAGAACTCATCATAAACTGACACGTAGAAAAAATTAGTGGAGTGTAATATTGTTACTTTGCCTCTCTGCTTACATCATTATTAATTATTATTATTAACGATTTTAGAAAAAAGATCATTCCTTTCCAATTATAAGCAGTTGACTTGGACTGCTGCAATAGTTTTAGGTAAATACAAATTCAATAAAACGTAAAAATATTATCTCCATTAAAATTTGAAAGATATTCAAACAAAATCTCTAAATAAATCTTTCCTGATTTACAATTCTCGTCAACTACTATAATATCAACTCATCTACAAATGGGATAACGTAGTTTAACATTAGGGTTCTTAGACCTCCATATTTGAATCCTTCTATGTCTTGCTTCAGCAGCCAACGCTTTCCTTTCACTCTTATCAACACCTCTCACGTTTACTGCTTCAATCCCACAAGACTCCTCCGGTAAGAGGTTTAGATCAAACAGACAAACTCCACTACCCACTGTTTCCCCACAGGCCTTCCTATGAGCCGTATCATCCATCATCAACGGTGGATGATGTACCAAGTAAGAATTTTGCTGCTGCTGCTGCTCAACTTGAATATCCAATACGGCTGCACTATTTATGCTCGATTGGCTTTGTGACTCTTCCTTCGGAAGACCAAGAATTAGCTGTAGACAAGGAAAACCGATTAAATTTAAAAAAAAAAAAAAAAAAAAAAGGACCCACTACATAAAGAGTAAAAACAGAGGATTTGTAAGAGAAGATTATATACCATCTGTTTCTTTGCTTTCAGCCTCAAATTCAGAAGTTTCTGTTCATCGTAATAGCGTTGTACATTCTTTATTTCCTGTAAAAATCATATGCGTACATGGTTTCAAATACCGAAAAACGTGAGAGAGAGAGAGAGAGGATAATGTTCAACAATTGGGTTAAAGATAAACAGATTTGAAATAACAGTAAGTAAAAAAAAATTACCTCTTTGAAAAACTCTTTGCGTTCAGTTAACTCTTTAATCTTTTCCAAGCATTCTTCTTTCGTCTGCAGTAAACAGAGTATTGCCATAAAAAGAAGAAAATCAGAACAAGAAACAAATAGAGGGGTAAAAACCTGAAAACCGCAAAACAGACAAAACCCTTAAAAACGCCACAAAATAATGAACAGGGAATTGAGTAAAAAGAGTAAAAAAAACTTAAAAAAAAAAAAAAAAAAAAGCAAGCAAGCAAGAAGTGTAATTGAAAGAAAGAAAAACACACCCTTTTAACAGAAACCTTTCTTTTAGAGTGCTTAAACTTGTCATCAGATTCACTGGGAGAGAACAAGAGAGGCGTTGCGGGACTCAGAGCTTTAGGCTTTTCAATCTCACAGGTAGGACCCAGGGGAGGCAAAGTAGGGGTCTCAGCTTTAGAAGATCTTCTTCTCTTTCTTCCCCAAGAACTAAAAGAAGACCGATGAAAAGACTCCGATTCAAAAATTAGTTGCGGAAGTTGCAGTAAAATTTCTGCAACTTCAAACTCAGTTTCATCCATGACCATGGCAACACCAACATTTAGATGCTGATGCTGAGAACAACTACTAGTACTAGTACTAGGTTTCGTCATCTCAGTCAAAACTGAAGATGAAGATGGTTGTTACTGAACTATGTTTAATGAAACAACACGAAGTTCTCAGAGAAAGAGAGAAGAGATTGGATATTGGTGTTACTTGGAGACGGGGTTTTGGTTTATAATGGAACAAGAAAAATAAAATCCGTGGCGAGGCTGTGGCTTATGACACGTGTCGATAAAAGGGCGAAAGAGATTGGACTAGGGTTTATGGTCTTTTAACTTTTCTTTTCGTTCGTTCAGTTGAGACTTGAGAGTTGAGAGTGTGATTGTACAACCACCTTACTAAACACGAATCCTTAACTGCTTTATTGCTGTATCTCAATTGAGACGCCAACAACAATATCTATCGCCGCATAAGGAGCGTGCTGTTTACTCGCTTCCTTAATCATTATTATTATTATTATTTTATCAGGAAATAGAAACAACTAAGGATTAGTTGACTTTGACAACTGTATTGCTCTCCTAATTCTACTTGTTTAATAAATAAATATATGTATATATAGTAGCCGCACGATGAGAGGGTTGTGACTGAGACCGTAGATTTCAATCTAGCAATTAGTATCAAGTTAATATTGGATAAGAAACCTGGAGCTTGATAACCCTTGAGAAGTTAAAAATTGTAGGTAATTAGAAGTATCAGGTGACAGACAGTAAATGGATGAAACACAATAAATCAATGGTTAATGATTAACATGAATCACTTGGCTTTCTGTTTCTTTGCCAACTTTTTAACCCTGAAATCATCATCAGAATCTTCCTCACTGCTTTCATCTTCAACCTTTCTCTTCTTAGATTGATTCACACCAACTTTGGACTCACTTGTCTTCTTTTTACTTGCTGAAACTGGAGAAGAAATTGGTTTTGTGGGAGAACTTAACTTTTGCTGCTGATTCCTCTTTTGTTTCTTCTCAAATACTTTCTTTGCCTCATCAAATGACAGCAACCCCGACTCCATCATCCTGAAATCACATTGGGAAATCAACATTTTTTTATCCACCTAAAAAACGTATCCACTAGTCACTACATCCACGGTAACAGTTTCAATCCAGTCACCAATACAAAGTGGATATTGTGGTTTCTATCTAATACAGTTCTACATATCCAGATAAAACACTAAATGAACAACTAATTGATACGAATATTTTAGAGGATGATCAAAAGATTATGAAAATAATCCATCATGTCCTCAATGATCTATGCATGGAAGAGTTAAATTTAAGAGCAATTCAAAGATTAAGTTTTCGAAACAAACAAATAAAAATAAACTAAACAGAATCCATTCCAAGGCTATATGACCAGCATAGAGAAATATCTAACCTAGCTTCTCTAAAACTTTTATTACCTAATCAAATATATAATTGCAAGGATATGCATGACTAGCATTCTTATGTGTTGAAAACTCCAGAGAATTCCACATAAAAATGCAAGTTTATGAATTAATTAAGACAAATTAAAATGGATACCAGGTAGTTGCCAAGAAGTTATAACCTCAGTATTTTCACAAAAACCATATAGGGAGATGCATAAGGATACGGATCTCACAAACAAATATTAGATGATGGGTAGTTGTTAGCAAACACCATTTAATCCAACAATTGCAACAGAGATAATGCTCATCCTAGGAAGGGAGCTCTCAGACAACCAAAAAGTTAGGTTGGACAGTGGTGAGAAGAGAAGCTATTGAATCTAGGTTCAGGAAGAAACTAAGTGCCTCAGACCCAACTTTGTCCAAAATATAGGACAAAAATTAGGGTACCTCAATCAAAATCGACTAATTTAAATGTCAAACACTCTACAGTCATTTAGGTCATCTTGTGTGTCAATGCTATAAAAAAATATGTAATACATGAGATTTCTTTTTCAGTCTATTTGCAAACTTCAATTCCTACTTGCAAGATGAACAATTATTAACTTGAAACTGAAAAGCATTGGCTCACCAAGGGATTTCCATTTCAGTACAGGAAAGTGTGCCATTCATCTATTTACTTATCTCCTAGAAATTCTTGTGTTATAAGTCTACCGATGGTTAGGCTGACCCCTCTCCATCAATGTTCTGAAAACCGGACCAGACAATGACCCATTCAAGGGTCCGGTTTCTGGTTTGACCGGTTGGAGCGTAATTTGTAAAATAACATTTTAGTCCCTGAAGGTTTGAAATTCATCAAAAACACCCCTATATACTCCCTTAAGTTTTGAAATCTATCTAAAACACCCCTGTCGCGCGAAGATTCTGGTGAGTGGTGGCAGCAGCGACGATCGACAGCCAATCGAAGCTGGAATCTTGGGGCTTTTGATGTGTAGGTTCCAGCAACTCTGATGGTGGTGCTAGGGAGTTCCATCGTCGTCGGAACTCGTCGGAATCAACAAAAGAAATCCGACGTCGCGTGAACTTTAGGTGGACGGCGATCGACGTAGGCTGGACAACAGCAACTGAAAATGGATGGTTTTGGTCGTGGAGATGCCGTCCGTCGAATGGGGGTGTTTTCTTCGTCGAAATATGCCGGAATCCGACAGGGTTTAGCTGCGATTGGACCGCAATTCGGCACTATTCCGGCAGTCCAACCGCGGTCCAATCCGGTTTAAATCAAAATGACGGTTTTTTATATATACCGGACCGGATTTGCCGCCGGTTGCCGGTCGAACCGGTCCAACCGGGCTGTCCGGTTCGGTTTTCAGAACATTGCTCTCCATATAAGCTGTGTTTACCACTATTTTCTTTGTTTTGTACCAAGTAACTATATACACTTGCCCACTCCTAGGGTTCAGTTATAATGCCACTCAGTACTCATTCTTTTTCATCCTCTTTACAAATGCCAAGCAAATATAGGATTACGAACACTTATGTGCTCTGTTTAGTTCTTGAAGATGAGGAAAACAGTAGAAAAGTATCATAAACTGTTTCACATTACTAACTTTTTTTTTTTCCTTCTTTACTTTTCCAAACTCCGAACAGAAGGTACTCTACAAATAAACTCAGCAATAAAAGTGAGCATTAGGTTATCAACAAATAACACCAAGAGCAAAGAATCTCACCAGAATTGTGCCATTTCACTCTCGGGAACCTGCTTATAGAGTGTCTCATAGAAAATTCTGAGAGGGTCTCTCTGCAATTTGAAAATGCAACAGCTCATAACTCAGAAAATCTTTTAAAATTTCAAGAAAGAAAAATAAGCACCATTTTCTAAAAACACAACAACTGGGTTACCTCCTCAGGAGGGTCTCGCTTCTGACCAGGCAGATCATAAACCTTCTTCTCCCTCTTCTTCCCATTTTGTTGCACTTCTTCTTTCTTTTCCTCACCCTTCTTTTTCTTCTTCTTCAGCTCCTTCTCCCCATTTAATCGATACAGAAAAGTAAACAAAACCACACCCATTAATAATTTAGGTAGCTGATCAGGATCAATGGAAAAACTATTAACTAATAAACAAAACATTCAATTAAATAAGCATAGTTAAAAACTTTTAACACCCTATGAAGCTAGGACAATTGCTCTACCGAGAGAATTTCATTATTTAGCCTACTTGATCAAGGTTAGCTTTCTCAATCTTAACATTTTCTTCAGTTTTAGCAGATAACAAATTGATAGGTCTGTAAAACCTTGGCATTTCACAAAAGCCAAAACATAATCAAAATAAGAAAAAAAATATATATATTTTGAGAGAGAGGAAAACAAAAAAAAAAGAACCTTATTATCAGCCTTAGCAGCAGCAGTAGTGGTTGTGGAGTTGTTTTTAGAGATGGGTTTGTTGTCATCAAGAATGTCATTGTGTTCCTTCTTAACTCTTGACTCCCTCGCGCCAGCAGCAACTCTCTTAATGGGTTTATCAAAATCGTCATCCTCATCTTTCACGTCTTCTTTCTTCACTACCTTAGGTTTAGCATTGGCATTTGTGGGTTTCTTCTTGCGAGATTCCAGGATGGAACTCAAGCTCTTTTCGTCTCTGTCCTCCTCTTTCTTCACAGCCTTAGCATCTTCGGATGGCATCTTCTTCAGTCACTGTGTTTGTTTGGAAGCTGCTCTTAGGGTTTTGATTTGCTTTCCCACTTGGAAAGTGGCCAGAAAAGCGCTCCTCTTTGGGGTTTCGAGCGTTTCGGGGTCCAGGCCGGCCAATGACAACCCTGATGAGAGGTACCGGGATACCTAGACCAAAGTGTAGATTATCAAACTGCTTTACGACGTCGCTTTTGGTTTTACTTTGAAGTGAAAAAGAGAGACCAAATTGACCCTGGCCATTGGAAAGGAAAAAGAAAATTAAAAAATAAATGAATAGAGTACTGCCTTTTAGAATTTGAGAAAGAATAGTTTTGTAATGCAGTAATAGAAGACACTCATCTCCCCTGCATGAATGCCATGTGTCGGACATCAAATCGATCACTAGGAATTTATAGAAATATATCATCTCCAATATATGTAGAATCCTTTGATATCAATGGTATTATTATCTATTGCCAGATCGCCAGAATATATTCTTTGTTTCTACATTTCTGTACGCATTTCACAGGGATGGTTAAACTTTTAAAAATATTTTAGTAATGTGGCATCAATTCTTCCAAAAGTTGGGTCGCTTGGAGAAAGAATCAAAATCCTATCATTTATGCCAAAGCATACATGAAGTTACTTAGCATATATAGTTATATACTGTATCTCCATCTACGACTACACAACAATCAGAGAAGAGAGAGAGATGGGTTGGTTTTTTACAGAAAGAAGAGGACCTGCATGGAAGCAAGGGTGGGCAGAGCAAACTCTATCCTCCGTTTCTGCACCTCCTTTACCTTTAGTTGCCATTTTCGGAATCATTTTTCTTCTTTTTTGGCTTTCATCATACATCAACTACAAGTTACAGATGCAACACACTATGATCAACTTAAAGGTGTTTCTCTTGTTTTTGCCTGTGTTGCTGATTTTCGCGGTGCAATTAACCGAGTCTTTTAGGCCAAAAACATACCGGCGCCCGGCTGATGTTGGAAGCAATTTTTGTAACTTGCCTTGGAGCGTGATGGTGCTGGTGGTGTTGCTTCTGGTGATGGTGTCTTACCACTCCCATGTTCAATCCATGTGGACTCCAAGTGTTTAGAGTTTGGGTGGTTATTTTGTACTGTATTAACCCTGTTTAGTTACCATCTTTATGTATTAATAAGTTTGTCTTGAGTTTGGTTTGAACTATTTATTTTTGTGATCTTAGTTACAAATTACTATTATCAGCAGGCCTCAAAATATCGCAGTAAATGTTATAACATCGAATATAGCAAATCCAACACACATTTGCCAAACTGTATTGCCCATATCTGCCACAAAACTTAACAATGAATTGAGGTCAATGAATGTTGTCTTGGCAAGAAACTAACCCAGTGCCATACATTTTCTAAACTGTATTGCCTACAGAATTACAAAAAGGTTGGTGTTTCCCGAGAGAGGGCCACTAAAAGCTGAAAACTTTAACATCATCTAACAAAGANGTTTGGGTGGTTATTTTGTACTGTATTAACCCTGTTTAGTTACCATCTTTATGTATTAATAAGTTTGTCTTGAGTTTGGTTTGAACTATTTATTTTTGTGATCTTAGTTACAAATTACTATTATCAGCAGGCCTCAAAATATCGCAGTAAATGTTATAACATGGAATATAGCAAAACCAACCCACATCTGCCACAAAACTTAACAATGAATTGAGGTCAATGAATGTTGTCTTGGCAAGAAACTAACCCAGTGCCATACATTTTCTAAACTGTATTGCCTACAGAATTACAAAAAGGTTGGTGTTTCCCGAGAGAGGGCCACTAAAAGCTGAAAACTTTAACATCATCTAACAAAGACCGGAAGAAGAAAGCTAAATTACAGAGATTAGCTTCGATGTATGACCGCTAGAATAACTTACATCAAAATACACAAAAACTAGATATACAACAACCGCCACCGTGTGTAGCGTGTAGATCTCAAGGCAGAGATATCGTTTTGGAGGGTCATCTCATAACACAAGGAGATACCTTCAATTTGGGAACTTTAAATTTAGATGTGAACAACTTTGGAGTTTCTGAAATGGGACAAACATCGACCGCTTTTCTCTTTGAACTTCTGCTGCACTGCCAACAACAAACGTTAAAAGTTTTGGTAAGCATCTAGTTCTGTGAAAAGCAAAAGAGGGGGTTTGTCATTTGTTTTACTTCATACACCACAACGTGAAGACGTAAGATTATTTGTTGGTATTGAGAAAACTGTTTTACCTAACTGGCTAAGAAAAAAGCATCTAAGTATACAGGTTTATGGCATAAACCTCATATCCTTGCAAAGCCAGTTTTAAGTACCCAAGCATCCATCACTCCAGTTAAATTACAGGGTGTCCTGAATATTAAAAAAATAAAGACGTCTCTGTCAAAAATAAACTAAACTATTTGAAAAGGGTTTGATTTGGATTACTGGCTGTCCTGATCTCTCTCAAAAAGAAAACCTGTGGTAATTCTGGGTGATACACCAAAAGGCATCCCAACCAATATATCAGGATATGATCACTGAAAGTGAATACTAATGTTCCCGTTTGGAAAGTAAAAGAGGAAATGAGGCCAAATTCAAATTTATGAAATTACAAATTCAAATACCTTCTCAGAGTGCAAGAGATCAGGGACTTGTGCAGCCGACAACTCTTTCTTCACAAAAACATTACTTCCGTTCCTGACACAGTTCTTGCCTCCTGGATTTCCAGCTCCTGTTGTGAAATGCTTTGAAAGAGGTGTAATTGAAACACTTCCGGACTTTCTTAAACCACTCTTGCCTCCCGTATTGGAAGTTTTAGCTCCTGTCACACAAGGATTTAAAAGTGGTGTAACTGAAGCACTTCTGGACTTTCTTAACAGCTCCAATTTCCGTGAGAGCCTGGAGATTTCGTCATTGCATTTATTTGTGCCAGCCTCCTTGTCAGCAACTTGAGTATTTAACTTTGCAATAAGTTCATCCTTCTCATTGTTGGATGACTGAAGCTCCTCCAAATTAGCAAGAAGCTTCGCAATCTTCTCATTTGCTTGATCAACTTCTGCACGCTTGCTATTTAATTTAGTAGTGAGATCGTTTTCCAAAAGCTTATACTGGTGCCATATAAAGTCCTTTTCTGCCAAGAGTGCAGATACCTCAGATCTCTTTTCAGAAGCAAGTTTATCAAATTCAAGCTTTATTTTTCTTGCTTCTGCGTCCCTATCCTGCAAACGCTTGAAGGCTCAGAACAACATTCTAAACAGATCCATAACAAATATCAAACAACAGGGAAAAATAAAAATAATACTTTTGGGTTTTGTCTGAGTAAGTCAAACCACGCCCTGAAATCAGCCAAATTGTCATCTGAGTGCTCTGCAATTAGGAAAAAGGATAATGCAATGGAGCAATGTTAAATTATGTCAAACAATAACTTCAAACCTACAAATTTGACTCAACCTACAAACAGACATATTAACCCGTATCAAAGAAAGGGTAAAGACCATGTCATCGTTCATATGGAAGTAAATTTACATGTAACTCCAAATCAACTCAACATTACATATTGCATTAAGCCCATCGCCCTACATGTTCTCTGTGCATCCTCTCTGCTTTGTTCCATATAGTCCTTTATTCCTAAATTCACACTGTGGGATCATTTCCTTTCTCTTAGGGTAAGCAAATTCTTTAATCCAAATTAATAGCTACTTAATAATGCCACGTCTAATTTCTACTCTTAAATCCAAAAGTTTTTTCCTTTTTACACAAATTAAACTAATAACATACGAAAAACGCAAGAAGAGGGCACAGATACAACAAGATATACTGACCTAATTTAAGTTCCAAGAGAGAAGTCTCTCTATTCTTCAATCCCACCATCATATCAGATTTAGCGGCCTCAAGCAAGCGTGTCATCTCCTGTGCCATAAAATCACTCTTCATCTACAAAACGCCCACAAACAAACAATCCGTCAATAAAACCCTAAAAACCAATAAAACCCTAATCTTAAATTAGCAAACTTTAGGGCTTACTTGAGTAATATGATCTTCGTAGAGATTAATATCAGACACCCACTTTTCGTGTTGCATCTTTATGCGATCTTCGAGGATCTTCCTCTCGGTAACGAGAGTCTGGAGCTGTTCTTGTTGGGACTTTAACATTTTAACCAGACCGTTGAAAATTTTGTCCCATTTTTGACGTTCTGAAGAGCCGTGAGAATGCCTTGTTGTAAACATTCGTAACAATTGTGTATTAGATCCAAAGATTGAAGAAGAAGAAGAAGGAAATAGGGTTTTGTAGTGATGGTGCAGAGCGAGAGCGGAAAGAAATAAGAAAATAGGACCGTTGTAATTTGTAAATTCAAAAATAGAATTCAACGGTCCATTTTCAGCGTATTTTTAAACCAGTGAGAGTATATGGGTTGCCTCTAATGTGCGCTGATGGAATATTACATGGTGGATTCTTAACATAAAGGCTTTAGCACTGGGCTATCTCCAACTCGTTAGGCCCATTTATTATGATGCTTTTTTGTTTATATCCGAGTCTGGATTAATATAGGGTCCTGATGTTAACGGTCGGGTATATCCTTCAATGAATATCTTTATTTAACAATTGAGATGACTCGAATTTAAGACCTCTTAAATAATACATGCAAGAGTCTTTGTCCAACCACTTAGTCATTTAAGGATGGTTTTTTGTTTCTAATTTGAAAGAAGCATCGACATAATAATTTATAATTAATGGTAAAGAAATCATATTAAACCTTCAATTAAAGTAGACAAACTTATGAGGTAGATATGTGGGTGAGACGAGTAGCAAAGTAATAGTGACAGAGAAGCAAGTATACGGAAATTTTGAAGTCAAACAACGCCAATGGAAACATCAAAACGTGGGAGTTATGTTATGCAATGCCAATAGCCAAAAAAATGTTAGGTGGGTTGTGGTTTTTCCATCAAAATGGGAAGCTGTCCAAGGATTTTATTATTTAAAAAAGTTAGAACGTTTATGACAAGGAAACATTAATGGTAATCTTTGTTTTAATCAGGTTTTAGTATACCAATTTGAGAAGACAAGATTGTGGGAGTAAACCCAAGCCATTATCGGATCTTTCAAGATATATATCTTCGCTGAATCCAATTCCAACCTGTCACACTCACGTGTTAAATCAGTAATTTGTAATTTGTTACTGGTGATAGCCGGTTGTGTCACAGCTAGGAGCTTATCACATATAAAATGCGGCTCATGGAAGATGCATGTTCCTTTCATTGGTTGATGAGTAGGAAGATGGTGTAGGGACCTCTTGCTCAAAGTTTCTTTCTCTTGTATTTCTTGGTGTGCTCAAAGTTTGCCGCTTCGGAGTTGCATAGAATTGGTGAGTTTGATCTTCCTCTTCATTTTATGCTGTGTGGTGGCAGACTGCATTTTTAACTTGAAGTTCTGGAAACTCATGCATATTTTGATCTATGTGCCAGAAACAAACAGTCCGAGTTGTAGATATTTATCAGTTGTAGGCATGTCGCATAGAATCATGTCATAATTAGTAATTAAAAAAGAAAGAAGATATAATATAAGTATTAAAGAAAGTAGAACTTAGTTTGGAAATTTTTATGTGAAGGAAACGACATTTATCAGATATAGCAAATATTTCACAAGAGTTTATTCAAAAAGAAGTTTAATCTAAGGAAGGTAAAGGTCTAATTAGATACAAGAAATATCATTTAATGTTATTGATTGGATACCTTTATTAAAGAGGAGGCTAAGGCACTTTCCTTAAATAGTTGCTGCTCCTCTTTAAGTATCGGATATGATGTTAAGTTTGTTTCTGTTGTACAGATTACTGAAACTTTAGACAATCTAATTTTTATAGGGAAGAATGTCACCAATAGCTCTGGATGGCGGTCAAAAGGGAAGTGTGAAAAGTATTGAGACAGTGGGTACTATTTTTGAAATAGAAGACTATGATCTTTTCAAGTTATTGGATAGACCAAGATCTATAAATGTAGAGAGGAATAAATCGTTTGATGAAAGGCCATTCAATGAATTGTCCATAACTTTATCCTCTCGCATACTAGATCATTTGGACAATGTATCAACACCTGGTAGAAGGTCTGGCTTTAGTACTCCAAGGTCAAATAGTTACATTGAATCACATCCTATCATAGCTGAGGCTTGGGATGCCTTGAAGCGCTCTATGGTTTACTTTCGTGAGCAGCCGGTCGGGACAATTGCTGCTTTGGACCACTCTGTCGACGAACTTAACTATGATCAGGTGAATCCCTTTTCTTTTAAAAACTTTATATGTTGGTGATTCAGCTACACTAAATCTTAACTTGACAGGTTTTTGTTAGAGATTTCGTCCCCAGTGCGTTGGCTTTTCTAATGAATGGTGAGGAAGCAATTGTTAAGAACTTTCTTTTGAAGACTCTTCGCTTACAATCATGGGAGAAAAAGGTTGACCTATTCCAGCTAGGAGCAGGGGTGATGCCCGCAAGTTTTAAAGTGCACCATGACCCTGTAAGAAACACCGAGACTTTGAATGCGGACTTTGGTGAGAGCGCAATTGGAAGAGTGGCTCCTGTTGATTCAGGATTTTGGTGGATAATATTACTTCGTGCATACACCAAGTCTACAGGAGACTCTTCCTTGGCTGAAATGCCCGAGTGCCAAAGGGGTATGCGCCTTATTTTGAGTTTGTGTCTCTCAGAAGGCTTTGACACGTTCCCCACACTTCTGTGTGCTGATGGATGCTGTATGATTGACCGTAGAATGGTTGGTGTTTAGTTCTTTTCATTTATGTGCAATATTTTATAATGAGCTCTTCCACTTTTCTTATTAGTTTCCAGTTGGGAATGCATTTTGAGAAGACCTATTGGAAATGTTTGAATTCTAAGTTTTATCAAGAAAATGTGTTTATATATTATTGGTGATGACATTTGGAGATTTATCTCTTTTTTCGTATTATTGTGTAATTGCGTTTTTACCTTGTTTATTAATTCAGGGTATTTATGGATATCCAATTGAGATACAAGCACTGTTCTTCATGTCTTTAAGATGTGCTTTAGCTTTACTTAAGCAAGATGTTGAAGGCAAGGAATTCATGGATCGCATAGTAAAAAGGCTTCATGCCTTGAGCTATCACATGAGAAGTTATTTTTGGTTGGATCTAAAACAGCTGAATGACATATATCGGTATAAAACAGAGGAATACTCTCATACAGCAGTAAACAAATTCAATGTAATGCCAGATTCTCTTCCAGATTGGGTGTTTGATTTCGTGCCAACTCGCGGTGGTTACTTTATAGGAAATGTGAGTCCTGCAAGAATGGATTTTCGTTGGTTTTGCTTGGGAAATTGCGTGGCCATTTTGTCAGCTTTAGCTACCCCAGAGCAAGCTTCAGCCATAATGGATCTCATTGAATCACGTTGGGAGGAGCTTGTGGGAGAAATGCCATTGAAGATTTGTTATCCAGCCATAGAAAGTCATGAATGGCAAATTGTAACTGGCTGTGATCCAAAGAATACAAGGTGGAGTTACCACAATGGAGGATCTTGGCCAGGTGACCTTTTTATGATCTTTTTTTTCTTTTTTTTTTTTTTTTTGCATCCTGAAGAATGTTCCAAATGTTTACTTTCAATTTTTTGGTTGTAGTGCTTCTATGGCTCCTCACTGCAGCCTGTATAAAGACTGGACGTCCCCAAATTGCAAGACGTGCCATCGATCTTGCTGAAAGCAGATTGTCTAAAGATCAATGGCCTGAGTATTATGATGGAAAACTTGGTCGTTATGTTGGGAAGCAGGCTCGTAAATTCCAGACTTGGTCCATTTCTGGGTATTTGGTGGCTAAAATGATGCTTGATGATCCATCACATCTGGGAATGATATCGCTAGAGGAAGACAAGCAGATGAAACCCCTTGTCAAAAGATCTAATTCCTGGACTTGTTGACATCCTCATTTTCTATTTTATCCTTTTCTATGTAATACTAAAATTCCTTTGATTTTGAACAAACAAGCTGATTGATTGGTTTGATTAAATTATAAGTTGGAGTTTTAAAATTAATTGATATCCCCATCTTCATAATTGATGATATTAGAAAACTAAGAACGTTTGGGAACTGAAAAAGTAAAAATGAGATCTGCCATTATAAAACTCTGTGGCTTGCCACCATCTTCAGTGGTAGCTGACCAGCAATTAACTGATAAGTATAACTGCCCATTATCCAACTACACCAACTTCTGATCAACAACACGTGTCCCAACATAACCGATTTAATTCTATCTGTTAATGTCCACATTATCACATGTTACTCTTGTGTACCTCCACACACTTCAAACTCTTTTAACACATATCACATAGATAGGTGGTTCTGTTTTTGCTTAACTTGCCATACTCTCTTTAACTCAACTGTGCCCACAAACAGAACATAACCAGAGAGACGAAAGCAGAGCAAAAGAGAAAATAAAAAAATGGGAACTAAAACTCCGATCCATGCAATTTCGATGTGGGTTCGACGGCAGCCCCCGAAGATCAAGGCGATTTTAGCGGTGTTGGCGGCCATGACTACTTTGGTATTTCTGAGAATGGTGGTTGACGATCATGACAGCCTCTTTGTTGTTGCCGAGGCTGTCCATGCTATTGGAATCTCCGTTCTCCTCTACAAGCTCATGAGAGAAAGGACTTGCACGGGTACAAAACCTTCTTTTTTACTTATTTTCTATTCAATTGAAATGATGAGTTCTGCGTTTACAATTTTTAACGTTAATTTTCTGCATTGTGTATTGAATGTTAATATGTAATGGTTCATATTTTCACAAATCTGTTCATTCATTTGGATTTTCTTGACTGATATTATATGATGGTTATTATAGTTGCATTATTGTATAGTAAAAGCTTCATTTCAAGGAAAATTTTGCTCTAAGATCAATGACGGACTTGACATTTGTGATGGCTTTGTAATAGTTGAATATAATTTTTTTTGGCCTTCATTGACATTCCTTCTTTGCAGGGCTTTCACTAAAATCGCAGGAGCTGACAGCTCTGTTTTTAGCCGTAAGACTGTATTGCAGTTTTGTCATGGAATATGATATACACACGGTTCTTGATACAGCTACATTAGGGACAACTCTCTGGGTTATTTATTTGATACGTTTTAAACTGAGGTCCAGTTATATGGACGACAAAGACAACTGTGCAATTTATTATGTGGTAAGTCTTCATTTAGTTACATTTCTTATTTTCTGTTTGTGTAACTCAGTTAATTCTGATATTGTCGTGCCATTTGTTTCTTTGTTGGTGTCTCAAGTCCTCTAAATTTGGTGCTTCAAGTAAATTTTACTTATAAGAAAAGAATAAATTATAAGTTTGAAATTGGAAAGATGTGCACTTCGGTATTCGGTAGGGTAACCAATCAGGAGGTCACGTAAATGTAAAAGTAGTTTGAAAATCGAGTTTTTCTTCAGCATTGCCTTATTAGGAGATTCACAGTTTGTATGATAACTTATAGCATATTCTAATGTCTGAAATCTCCAGAGCTATTGCTTGAACATACTGAAGATAACATAACTAAATTGTCTATTAATATGGTTTTCCACTGTATTTATTTCAGCTCATAAAGAAGTGAAAAAAAAAAAAAGCTATGAAGTTATTTCTATAGCATAAGTCTTTGGCTCTTGGGGATCAAAGTACTGATTCTTTACATGCTGCTCACTATTTCTAAACCTTGCCAATACTCTGAACCATGGGGAACTTGGACTGAAGTTAAAAATTTGGCATTTGGTATGAATTATTNAAGTAAATTTTACTTATAAGAAAAGAATAAATTATAAGTTTGAAATTGGAAAGATGTGCGCTTCGGTATTCGGTAGGGTAACCAATCAGGAGGTCACGTAAATGTAAAAGTAGTTTGAAAATCGAGTTTTTCTTCAGCATTGCCTTATTAGGAGATTCACAGTTTGTATGATAACTTATAGCATATTCTAATGTCTGAAATCTCCAGAGCTATTGCTTGAACATACTGAAGATAACATAACTAAATTGTCTATTAATATGGTTTTCCACTGTATTTATTTCAGCTCATAAAGAAGTGAAAAAAAAAAAAAGCTATGAAGTTATTTCTATAGCATAAGTCTTTGGCTATTGGGGATCAAAGTACTGATTCTTTACATGCTGCTCACTATTTCTAAACCTTGCCAATACTCTGAACCATGGGGAACTTGGACTGAAGTTAAAAATTTGGCATTTGGTATGAATTATTGATTTCTTTTTTGAATTTTTCTTGGGGGTGAGGGATGTCTGACCAAATGAATTTTTGCACTTGTTTCAAATTCCGTTTGGCAAAGTGTATCACAAAATTGAAGCACAAATTTAATGTTTGATAAGTGCCTGCAAGTGAGATATGGTAGGTCAGCTTGCTCTTCGAGTTTTGGTTTCTTTTTGGTGTTATTGTTTCTTCACCAGTTATCTGTTGGAGTTGTTACTTTGCACTGACTTTTTGACATCTACTATTTCTCTGAGGCATGTCATGAAACAGAAGCATCTTTTCGAAAAGCACGATTGTTTGCCTATCCATGTAATTTATTTGTCCAAATCTTGCTGAACTTACTTTTTGTTTTTGTTTCTTTTTCCTGACTGTAGGCGATACCCTGTGCTATTCTATCTCTTTTCATTCATCCATCAACACAGCATCATCTTATCAACAGAATCCTTTGGGGGTTCTGTGTCTATCTTGAGGCTGTATCAGTCCTACCTCAGCTACGGGTCATGCAGAACACGAAGGTATGACTGAATGCAAAGGCTTCCTACTTTGGGTTTTTGATAGGGAACAAATAGAACTTGTATCATACAAATGGGATATACGAAGCAGTAAACAAGCTATCCAGAAACAAAACAGCATGCCTATAACTTTCGTAACCTTATGGTATACGATTGATATCCAGATCTTAAGTTTTACGAATACGAAGACGATTCTAATGTTTTTACTCTTTAACAGGTTAACCAATTAATTTGTTATTGTTACTTTCTGTTGTTTATCTCAAAATCTATTGGCTACTAGCTTTTATGTTCTTATTGTTCATGTGTCTACTTTCCAGATAGTTGAACCATTCACAGCGCATTATGTATTTGCACTTGGAGTGGCAAGGTTCCTCAGTTGTGCACATTGGATTCTCCAGGTTTGACACTGCAAATATCTATAATTGAGTGCATAATTTGGTTGTTTGGTTATGGAACTTGTGTTGTTTGACCTCCTTTTTGTCTGCTATCAATACTTGCTTGAGGTATTAACTATTATAGTTTAGACAATTGTTGCATAGCTCAGATTTGATGTGTCTATTTTCGCACTACAAATATGTAGCTCCTCGTGCGTATTCTGGACACACAGATAGAAGTAACTGTCTCAATTTGAAGTGATCTGATTCCTAGTATTTTTAAATTGATTGATCCATCAAAATCAAATGTCCACCTTTCTGTTTTGGGGCTATAATTTATATATATAGTTTTCAATTGAGGACTCATTTTGACATCACGGAGTAGATATATAAAGATTTGTTTACATAGGTACCTAAGGTGACATGTTTTTTTTTTTTTGTTTACTTAGGTCTTGGACACTCGAGGACGGTTATTGACAGCTTTAGGTTATGGATTATGGCCGTCTATGGTTCTCGTCTCTGAAATTGTCCAGACCTTCATTCTCGCAGATTTTTGTTACTACTATGTCAAGAGGTAAGTATTGAAAATTGATAGTACAACATGCCATCAATGTTATACATTCCTGACTAATCTGAAAGATTATTTATCTCATTGCAGTCTTGTTGGTGGACAACTTGTTCTGCGACTTCCATCAGGAGTGGTGTGAATTAATTGAATGGAATCATCAAACTGCTCTTACCAATAAATGGAATTCAGGAGTGTTGATGCCTGCCATTCTCAAGGACCAAGGATACTTTGTACATTATTTAACACAAATCTGTTTACTATTTATAGAGTAGTCATCCCTTGCTATTTAACCAATTTACTTGATATTTATTCTTAGTGGATGTTTGCTTCCAAAGCTAATAGCTAGATTGAGCGATCCTGGTAGGGTGAATAAAAAGAAGGCAACTGTTGAAAGCAGAGCGTGGTGGACCTTGATAATGAAATTCCACTTTCCAGTGACCAGTAATGTATCACCATTTCATGGCCCAGTGATTGAAGAAAGAAAAATCCAGAACACATTGTTTTCATAGCAGCAGTTAAAAACAAAAAATATGTACATGTGGAGGACAAAAGAAAAGAAGCTCAATAAAAGAAATTAAACATATAAGAATGAAAAGCATAGTGAGTAAGTTTTGTTGGTGGGGATCAAGTAATCATGGTATGTATGTAAAACGAATCTATAAAGTCAAAAGTTGGAGAGTTGGTGGAATCCACCAGAAGGACCTACTATTACAGAGAGTAGAGTTGTTTTGTTATGATATTTGCAATTGCAGATGTTATTGTTATTGGGTAGTCGGCAATGGGTCATGGGATTCTAAATTTAGGTTCAACTTGGACGATATATTAATTCACCGCCAAGCTCATCAAATCCCAATTCCAATAATCCAAAATTGGGTTAACATTCACATCAAATGTCAACTCAGTATAGAGTCAACAGTCACGAATGTCTGTAACTATGTGGAACATTGAACTTATTATAAGAATCTGGTGAAGAATAGCATGAGCAGAGTACAGCTGTGGTGCAACTTTGTATAGCTGTCTATCAATGAAATGGATTAGTTTTGGTTTTGTGGGAGCTTCCTAATTAGTTGTTAAGACTCTCCATGACTGTCATTTTCTAGTCCCACTTTGTTTTGCAAGTTTTCGATCTTCCCAAAACAATCAGTTCCATCAAACAGCACGTGTGGTCTTCATTTGGCATCCATCTTTTCATTTTCTAATTCTTCTCCAATGAAAAATATCGTAACTTTGAAGATAATATCAAACTGAAATCACTGTTACTTGCCTGGCACCCTATGCCATAGAGTAGTAGATGAATGGGTTGGAGTATATATATATATATATCTTTGATATTATATTAGGTAGCAGAAAGAAATGGAAGCTGTATTCTAATAATGCAAACGCTTTAACAAGTTTGGCACAACGAATACGCCCATTCAGCTGTTGCTTTTGCTACATAAGACATAACCATCCAATGCTAATTAATTTTCATTTGCCACTTGGCTCTTGCGGTAGGTGGATGTACTACTAGTTTACAAGATTATCGAATGGTTTAATAATAATAACCCAGACAACAGCCTGTTGATTCCAGTCAATCAGTCAAAGGGAGTCCAACTAAGCACTTGGGCCCTCGGTTAAACTTAGAACTTATCCATGTTAATTAATAAGGAAAGGAGTGCTTGACTCCAGAGCCCACAGATGATTTCAAATGGCTTATTCAACTGACGTGTACATACAATTATATTGAGGATGTCACTTCCCATCCCTCTTTAATTATTGCTCTTTCTCCTTCGCTCTTCCTATAAATACCAACATCCTTCCTCTCGTTTTATGTACCACAAACACGCGTAACCCTTTTGCTACATTCAACCTATTGTTTTCACTCATATGGCAACTTCTAAGTCTTTGATTGCTTCACTTTTTCTCTCACTTCTTCTTCTTCTTCATCTTCTGGAAGCTGATATGATGGTAAAGTTTCATTTTTGTGTCATTAATTTCTTTTACGTGATTAATTTCATATTTAACACTAGTTATAACATGGGTTGCAGGTGAACACAGATGCAGCACTTGGTTATTCCTCTCCGAAAATCGGTAATTAATTAATACTGTTTGATATATATATATATATATATATATATATATAGAGTAATCATTTGTATAATCATGATGATGATTTTTCAGACTGTGGCGGAGCATGCACTGCGAGGTGCCGTTTATCCTCCAGGCCACGACTCTGCAAGAGAGCTTGTGGAACCTGTTGTGCACGTTGCAATTGTGTTCCTCCAGGAACTGCAGGTAACTACGAGGTCTGCCCCTGCTACGCCAGCTTGACCACCCACGGCGGCAGACGCAAGTGCCCTTGAAACAACCCACCTCTTATGCCGTCTCTCCTGCATGCCACTGCTTGTGGCAGTAAGTAGATGTCACTACCAATAAATAAATCAAAGCGTTGTTAATTACTGTTGTAAAAATTTGTTAATAAAAGGTGTGTCTGCTTTTGTTGAACGATAACACTGATTTTCTTAATTTCTTCAAAAAAAAAAAAAAGAAAAAGAAAAAGAAAAGGATGTCATCCTCAAGAAACATGTGAATGTCAAGGACATTTAGGAAACTGAAAGAAGGAAAGAGAGTCATCCAGAAGAAAATAAAGGATGACGTATACTAATGGGACCCTTCTTTGGTTGCCACTCTTACTTGTATATTGACAATTTAATCCCCAATAATTAATCCTATATACAAATACGATATATAGGATTAGTAGATTCAATGGAACAATGGTGTTAATCGAAAGGGAACAAACAAAATTTAGTCCAGATGTTAGGGCATAAAAGATACAAGAATGAAGATGTGGAGATCAAAAACGTAATTAGTTGTGTTTTTTTTTTTTTGTTTACTTAGGTCTTGGACACTCGAGGACGGTTATTGACAGCTTTAGGTTATGGATTATGGCCGTCTATGGTTCTCCTCTCTGAAATTGTCCAGACCTTCATTCTCGCAGATTTTTGTTACTACTATGTCAAGAGGTAAGTATTGAAAATTGATAGTACAACATGCCATCAATGTTATACATTCCTGACTAATCTGAAAGATTATTTATCTCACTGCAGTCTTGTTGGTGGACAACTTGTTGTGCGACTTCCATCAGGAGTGGTGTGAATTAATTGAATGGAATCATCAAACTGCTCTTACCAATGAATGGAATTCAGGAGTGTTGATGCCTGCCATTCTCAAGGACCAAGGATACTTTGTACATTATTTAACACAAATCTGTTTACTATTTATAGAGTAGTCATCCCTTGCTATTTGACCAATTTACTTGATATTTATTGTTAGTGGATGTTTGCTTCCAAAGCTAATAGCTGGATTGAGCGATCCTGGTAGGGTGAATAAAAAGAAGGCAACTGTTGAAAGCAGAGCGTGGTGGACCTTGATAATGAAATTCCACTTTCCAGTGACCAGTAATGTATCACCATTTCATGGCCCAGCGATTGAAGAAAGAAAAATCCAGAACACATTGTCTTCATAGCAGCAGTTAAAAACAAAAAATATGTATATGTGGAGGACAAAAGAAAAGAAGCTCAATAAAATAAATTAAACATATAAGAATGAAAAGCATAGTGAGTAAGTTTTGTTGGTGGGGATGAAGTAATCTAATCATGGTATGTAAGTAAAACGAATCTATAAAGTCAAAAGTTGGAGAGTTGGTGGAATCCACCAGAAGGACCTACTATTACAGAGAGTAGAGTTGTTTTATTATGATATTTGCAATTGCAGATGTTATTGTTGTTGGGTAGTCGGCAATGGGTCATGGGAATCTAAATTTAGGTTCAACTTGGACGATATATTAATTCACCGCCAAGCTCATCAAATCCCAATTCCAATAATCCAAAATTGGGTTAACATTCACATCAAATGTCAACTCAGTATAGAGTCAACAGTCACGAATGTCTGTAACTATGTGGAACATTGAACTTATTATAAGAATCTGGTGAAGAATAGCATGAGCAGAGTACAGCTGTGGTGCAACTTTGTATAGCTGTCTATCAATGAAATGGATTAGTTTTGGTTTTGTGGGAGCTTCCTAATTAGTTGTTAAGACTCTCCATGACTGTCATTTTCTAGTCCCACTTTGTTTTGCAAGTTTTCGATCTTCCCAAAACAATCAGTTCCATCAAACAGCACGTGTGGTCTTCATTTGGCATCCATCTTTTCATTTTCTAATTCTTCTCCAATGAAAAATATCATAACTTTGAAGATAATATCAAACTGAAATCACTGTTACTTGCCTGGCACCCTATGCCATAGAGTAGTAGATGAATGGGTTGGAGTATACTAATACTATATCTTTGATATTATATTAGGTAGCAGAAAGAAATGGAAGCTGTATTCTAATAATGCAAAGGCTTTAACAAGTTTGGCACAACGAATACGCCCATTCAGCTTTTGCTTTTGCTACATAAGACATAACCATCCAATACTAATTAATTTTCATTTGCCACTTGGCTCTTGCGGTAGGTGGATGTACTACTAGTTTACAAGATTATCGAATGGTTTTAATAATAACCCAGACAACAGCCTGTTGATTCCATTCAATCAGTCAAAGGGAGAGGGAGTCCAACTAAGCACTTGGGCCCTCGGTTAAACTTCAAACTTATCCACGTTAATTAATAAGGAAAGGAGTGCTTGACTCCAGAGTCCAGATGATTTCAAATGGCTTTACTCTTTGGGTTATTCAACTGACGTGTACATACAATTATATTGAGGATGTCACTTCCCATCCCTCTTTAATTAATGCTCTTTCTCCTTCGCTATTCCTATAAATACCAACATCCTTCCTCTCGTTTCATGTACCACAAACACACGTAACCCTTTTGCTACATTCAACCTATTGTTTTCACTCATATGGCAACTTCTAAGCCTTTGATTGCTTCACTTTTTCTCTCACTTCTTCTTCTTCTTCATCTTGTGGAAGCTGATATGATGGTAAAGTTTCATTTTGGTGTCATTAATTTCTTTTACGAGATTAATTTCATATTTAACACTAGTTATAACATGGGTTGCAGGTGAACACAGATGCAGCACTTGGTTATTCTTCTCCGCAAATCGGTAATTAATTAATACTGTTTGATATATATATATATATATATATATATATATAGAGTAATCATTTGTATAATCATGATGATGATTTTTCAGACTGTGGTGGAGCATGCACTGCGAGGTGCCGTTTATCCTCCAGGCCACGACTCTGCAAGAGAGCTTGTGGAACCTGTTGTGCACGTTGCAATTGTGTTCCTCCAGGAACTGCAGGTAACTACGAGGTCTGCCCCTGCTACGCCAGCTTGACCACCCACGGCGGCAGACGCAAGTGCCCTTGAAACAACCCACCTTTTATGCTGTCTCTCCTGCATGCCACTGCTTGTGGCAGTAAGTAGATTCACCACCAATAAATAAATCAAAGCGTTGTTAATTACTGTTGTAAAATTTGATTAAAGGTGTGTCTGCTTTTGTTGAACGATAACACTGATTTTCTTAATTTCTTCAAAAAAAAAAAAAAAAAAAAAAAAAAAAAAGGATGTCATCCTCAAGAAGCATGTGAATGTCAAGGACATTTAGGAAACTGAAAGAAGGAAAGGGAGTCATCCAGAAGAAAATAAAGGATGACGTATACTAATGGGACCCTTCTTTGGTTGCCACTCTACTTGTATATTTGACAAGTAATCGCTCTCTTATTAAATTGACAATTTAATCCCCAATAATTAATCCTATATACAATCACATGAAACCAATGGTGTTAATCGAAAGGGAACAAACAAAATTTAGTCCAGATGTTAGGGCATAAAAGATACAAGAATGAAGATGTGAGATTAAAAACGTAATTAGTTGGTTAATGATGCCAAATTAATTTGTTAAGCAACCGTGAAAGTTACCAAAAGAGCGAATGGAAATGGGTATCAACCTATCCTTTGAAATAAATTTCAATCTGTGCATGGGTACGATCTCAACCTGCTAGTTTTCTGTACTATGAGATTACTGGCCATTAATAATGGATATATGCACAAACTTGAGAATACGCCATCCTTTCTTTTCTTAATTGCCATTAAGTATCAAGTAAATTGTAAGTTGGATGGTTGAGATTGTGATAATGATGGCGATGCCAAGCCCATCTCCATCTGGGATATATTCTCTGTGTTGCTCCTCATTCAATTGCAAGCCCATCTCATCTTGGGCTTTGACCCATTCATGCCCTATTTACCAAAGCAAATTTAATTAAAATAGTTTGCTTCATTCAAGTATTACGACTTTATATCAAAATTGTCTAAAACTCTTATCGTTATTTGATTTAAGACTTATAACTAAATTGCCTTGTCCCTTGCATTTGTAATTAAATCAAATTGGGCATATCGTCTCTGGAGGGTAAAAGCGTCTCATAAAAGTAAAAGGAAGGTGGTTGATGTAATTATAGCAATTAATTGATGGAATGGAATATGGAACCAGGGTCTCCACTCAGTCACTCACGCTTCACACATGAGAATGAGAGCATTACTCTGCCACGCCCATCCCAATACTCGCCAAAACTATTCAATTAATCGCCGATTCTAGCTTGCATTTCCCCTTCTTTTCTCGTGACTCTCAAACTTTCTCTTCGAAGATTTCAGTGTTATCAGTGAGATTCACCACTACCTCACTTTCCCTTTGCCGCGTATCTGCCACACCCATTCACATTCCTTCTAAACTTTTTTTATTTTAGAAGAAAAATCATCAATATAGTCATAGATAGCTCCTAAGTTAGATTAATACCATAAACTAAAATTTTTATTTTAAAATAATTTTGTAAAATATACCCGAGCGTGATGATCACGTCCATATGTCAGCATGTGGATATGATTGATGGAGTTATTGAATAAACGGTATTTTATTAAGCAAAAACCAGGTTGAAATTCGTAGAAAGGTACAGAATATTTTCTTGCATACGAGAGGAGGCTTCTCGTACGGAGACTTTGGCTGAAACGTGGCAATCATCCATGAGATATGTAATTATGGCCGTTCGATTAAAGAAAATTAAAAAGCCTGAACATTTAACCGTCTGAACTAAACAGTGACAAAGAGACAGTACTAAGTTATGCCTATACCAAAAAAAATAAAAATAACAACCGTTGGATTGTGAGTGTTTGCATGGATTAGAGGGTACACGGTGGCAAGATGTAAAAAAATGAAGCCGATGGGATTAGTGAAACGTGGATGACACGTGAGATTTGAATGTGTAATGTAACGGTGGAGATCTAACGGCTGTGGATGGAGTTTTGTATATAAGTGTGATGGGAGAGAAAGAGTGGGCGTTTTTTAGATGCATTTAAGAGCGTTTTAAGTTAACAGAGGAAAAGGCTTTTGGGAGTTTGTGAGCTTTAAGAGAAAGAGAGAATGAGGTGTTTATGAATTCTCATGTTAAAGTACTGAAATCTCATTTCAAGGTTCTTTCTTACTTCTCTGTTCTATATTTACTTTTTCATGAAAAATCAGTGTAATGTAATTTAAAAGGAAGATTTTAAATGAGTTTGGTGCTGGGAGGAGGTCGTTGCAATCATTGTTCATGTATAAAAGTGAGTAATCTCATTTCAAGGTTCTTTCTTACTTCTCTGTTCTATATTTACTTTTTCATAAAATCAGTGTAATGTAATTTAAAAGGAAGATTTAAAATGAGTTTGGTGCTGGGAGAGTTTCGTGCTTATTGTTCATGTATAAAGTGAGTGAAGAGAGGATATTTTTTTTTTAAAAGATTTTTCACGGGCGTATCAGAGCTTTTCTTTTTTTGTGTTCATCTTTATGTATGCTTTGTAGTGAGTTTTTCGTGATGAGACATTTTATCTCTGGCCTTTTACTCTTGGATTTTAGTTTTAATTTTCTCTGTATCTGCTTTATTTCACGAAGAACCTGATCTCTGAACACGAGAGCGAATTACTTTTCTCCTTTTTTTATTTTAATTTTTTTCTCTTTGTTAGTTTTTGTCTCTTCTCTCTCTAGCTAGAACTACTCAAACTCACACACAAGAGAAGGAGCGGGAGATCTGGCAACTATATTGATTTTCCTTTCTTTGAAAACCCAAACGCCACTTTTTCACCTTTTCTCTCCTGTAAAAAACTGAACCAACAAAACATATAACTTCTTTCATTTTTCTCTCTCTCTCCTTTCCCTTGTTTTACGCTTTTAGTTTTATACGGGATTACAGCTGATTTTTCTCTTTTTGATTGAACAAGAGAGAAGAGAAAGATCTGGATTTGAGTTTGGAATAGATCGATTTAGAGCCGTCGAAGCTATTTTCGAAAAGCAATGATAGTGTCGTTTTGAGGAAAAAAAAAATGATTACAGAAATGGACAGCGAGACGTAGGCGAGGAGTCACGGTTCTCACGACAGCAGATGAAGCAATCTGGACAGAAGCTCCTCTCTGCCTCTGCTGGTGAATTTACTCTACTCTCCTTTCATTTCTATACAAACAAACAAACAACAAACAAAACCTCATTTCGTCTACTTGTCGTTTTCTTTTGTATATTCTTTTTATGTGTTTTTGGTGAAAGAGTTTCGCAATAATCGTATCTCTTGTTTTATCTCCTTTAATTGGTTTCTCATGTTTTTTATGTTTTTCTGTTTTCTGATTTGAGTTTGGATGGTGTTGGTGACGACTTTGTTTCTTTGGAGAAATCGAAGAAAGAGAGACTTTTAAAAATTAGTGTTGTTAATAAAGCCAGTTCAACCACCAAGACTCTAAACTGGCTGTAAAATGTCTTCGATGGAGATAATGAATTTCCTTCCCAATCACATTCTTTATTAGTAATGGTACCACCAAGAGATTTAAGCTTCCCAAGAAGGTGTGTGTGCCTCATTAATGACAACGATTTTTTTTTTTCATTTTTTTTTTTTACTTTTATTTTTTCCAATTTGTTTAGCGTTTTTTGATGACTGCAATGGCGTTGATCATGCACCTATTCCGCGTAAGCTACGGTCAGGTATTTTTGTTTGTGAATCAAAAATGGAAATTTTCCTTTTACTTTCCAACTTAATTTGTTATTTTATTTATTGTAATTGAAGTCTTAGCTTCAATTTTTCTAATTTTGCTATTTACTTGTGATTTAAGTATTTAAGTTCACCGGTTTTAAAACCAAGTTCTATTTGGTGGGTCTTATACGAAGTTCCCTTTTTGGTTTTTATCGTAATTTTCTATTACAACTGCAAAAACTGGAGCTTTTTGCTTTATCTTTTTTTTCATGGCGCCTAGATTCTGTTTGCTCCCTTTGTTTTTTTTTTTTTTTTTTTTTTTTTTTTTTTTTTTTTTTTTTTTTGTTTTTTTTTTTTTTTGTTTTTTTTTTTTTTTTTTTTTTTTTTTTTTTTTTTTTTTTTTTTTTTTTTTTAATTCACCATGTTGGTGCGGCGACTTTGATTTTGGCTTATTCTTTTGAAATAATTATATTGTGTTTGAGTTTGAGATTTTCTCTCTCTTCAGAAGCTTACTTTTCCAAAGGTGATACTTTAGCTTTCTATGAATCATAAAAGGCTTTTTCGAATTAAAGGCTGAATAAAAAAGAGAGAAAAACCAAATGCATGATATTTTTTTTTACGTTGTTAATGTTTGGGAAATTTGGGTTTTACATTTGCAGCTATGAAGAAGCGAAATCGCGAATCTATCTCTCCACCTTTACCAGATTCAAAGAAACTGAACCAGACAATGGGTTGTGTAGAATCACCCAAAAAGAATGGCCTGAAGAAGTCCAAACTGAACATGGTTAGTCAGTTATCTACAGCTGGTCATTTCATTTCATAATCTTTTTGGAGTGAGGAATTTGATCTATATCGGTGGAATTTACTTTTTCTAGAAACAAGGTAGCTCGGACTGGACCCCAAAGCAGGCCGTAGGGTCAATCACTAAAGATGAGGAAGAAGTTGTGGAGACCTTATATGCTCTGGCAGAAATGTTCTCTGACAATGACACCACCAATAAGAATAAATTGGAGAATTCCCCTTCAGAAGCAAAACCTCCAGCTTTGCCAGAATGTAGGGAGAGCCCTACAACTGCATTTGAAGGTGGAATTTTTTGTTCCCATCTATTGATTCTTGCAAATTGCAGTGAGTTAGATTTTTTTATCTTTTGACCTTCTTTCAGTCTCTTAAGTTATTGTTTTATCAGCCTCTGCAGTTTCAAGGGAGGACTGGAGCTCAACCTGTCCCGTGAGAACTTCTGAGACTGCCCCTTCTAATCTAGAAACTTCGCTGAAAGAAACTGCTAAAATCAATTCTTTGGACAAACCTAAAATTGAAGAAAAATCCGATTCACATGGCAATGAAAATTTTCCTAAGAAATCAGATACCTGTGTTCCTCAAGTGAATCTACATAGCATGATGCCTTCGTTGGCTAGGAGTTCTTGTAATGATAATAAGCCATCATGTGATCCTGCAAAGTTGTATGTTAAGCCTGAAACAAGTTTGGATTCGGGGTTTGTTCTTTTCTTATCAAATTTAATCCTCCTTTCTTGTCTTTCCATTTATGTTGCCCTCTTATCCAACTTACTTATTTTTATGCTTTTCATTCTGAAGTAGATCAAAGCGGTCCATTCAAAAGGATGCACCACTTCTTGAGAGAAAACCACAGCTCACAATGGGGGTAAGCAGAGCCTTAAAGTGTAGATTAATGTTTCCTTTTGTGATGAAGCTGCTACTAATCAGGTGACTTTGGTTTATGTGTTAGGCCGCTGTCAGTGGAAGTCAATTAGTACAAGAAGATATGGTCATGGATTCCGGAAAAAAGGGTATGCTTCTTGATTGCTTAGGAGATTGAATTGCTGGCCAAATTTATGCCTATTTTGTGAATTCTGAAACATGGTTGTCTTTTATATTATTGTATACAATGTACTGCTACTAACATCTTTTTGGTTCTTTGTTTAAAGGCTTAGCATTATGGCCAGGATTGTCGCCGATGGTGTTGCATGGTTCTGGCTGTCCTGGTCCTTCTTTGCAGTAATTTCCTTGATTCTTAGGCCTTCAGTGTTTACTTAATATCCTTTCTCCATAATCTCATCTATGAAGCCATTGCAGGTCCTCTGCTGAAAAAAATCCAGCTTGGCTGGATGCGGCCGTATGTGTCTCCAACCCCTGTTCATTTGACAATGGTCCTTCATCTGGAAAGGTGAAATGTTACAACTTTTCAATCTCAGCTATTTGTTTCTATAGGGAAAGATAAAAAAACGTGTACCATTTGAAGCAACTCATTGTCATCTGTACCTATGGTTAGATATGTCCAAAGATTTCCCCGGTGACCATCCAACGACTTCTCCACGTGTCGAGTACAGATGTAGTCAGCAGAATAAGTCCTAGATTTTTATGGACTCTTCTTTGTTTTTGACAGAGATGTCGGATTAGTTCACTTTGGTGGTGTACTTCCCGTTTTCGTTCCCCATAAATTCCGATAATTACTGAAACTTTCCCACCTATTTCCACGTTTACCTCAATATTAGACCAACAATATTACTTGTACTACTGCTGAAAGAGATTCAAGTGAAGCTAGAAGTGGTATTCTTCAGCACAAGAGGCTTTATCAAGATCAGCAACAGAATACTGAGGCATCTCAAGCAAACACTCTGCGAAAGCAGGTAGGCATGATATTGCCAATTGATGTTGGTTTCCTCCTTCCTGATGTACTGATCTGTTATTTGGTTTCTGCAGAGTTTCGATTTCTTGTCTTTGTCAGCTGGAAGTGTTGGAGGAGAAGCTAATAACAGCTTTAACAGAACCGGAAACAATGGATTAGAGCCATCATCACACTTTCAAGTTTCTTATCTTCATTCACTAGCGCAGCACAAATTCATGCCTCTTTCTATGTCACAAACTCACTATACCTCATCTGTTTACTCAGACCACCTTTCTGCATCTACATCCACACAGAAGGTTTTCATCTTTCTTTATTAGCATGTCTGCGTATTTTTTGCAGTAGCAGAAGAATATTATTTTGTACTTGAGTAATTTATTTCTCGTTTATAAGGGTATTAGTCGTGATATATAATTTGAAGTAGTGAAGGTTATGTTGTAAACTATTTGCAGATATCTCCGTATCTCAGCAGCCCTTATCTTGGCTCACCCCATACCCCAGTCTTGACAAAGCAACAACATCAACAACAGGCGTGGGCAGCGCAGCTAGCGTCCCATTACAGACCTGGGGTAACTTCTACAGCGATGAACCAATTTCCAAGCTGGGTAAATGGGAGACAGGATCCTAACTTGATTCCATGCCCCCAGTCGATTTCATCATTAGAAGTAGTTGGCCCCAAGTATGGTTCAATTTCTCAACAACAACATCAGCCGCAGTTAGTGGCCATTGCTTCATCGTTACCACCTCCCAGGGTGAGAAGGCTTGACCACCATCTCCCATCAGTTTATGAAGAAATAGAAGGTGGGTTTCGCACTTCTGGTGCATTGCCTATGCAATTACTCTGCAATGAACGCCTATAGAGCAGGTTGATTGGTAGTAACATTATTTTATTCTTTTCCATCCTACTCGGAACTTTGATGCAAGAGAAATGTTGATCACTCCGTACATGGGCCATCAAGTGAATTATTAAAAGTAAAGCATCCGAAGATTGGATAAAAGAGCTTGAGGACCCATCGATAGTCATAGCCAGTACCCCAATTATGATAACATTTTGTGATTGTGATCAGCAATAGGAAGATTATTTTTTGTATATGCTTATGCTTCCCAAGAAAGAAATACTCACATGTAAAATTAAAATCTCTGAATCTTTCTATGCATGTTGCTACAATGATCTTCACAGTCGTACAGAAAGCATGATGTTCATTATTAAAATTTAAAAATACAATTAAGCTAACATTATACATGTCTGCGCCTCTCGGTTGGAGGAGTTAAGCAAAGTAGCAAACTACGCTCTTGTGTATCCTACCTTGAAGCCAGGTATTTCTTTAAAGCTCGGTTTGAAATTGAAACATCAATCTTAAAATCTTTCCCTAAGATGATTGAATATATGCTGTCAGCTGGTTGGTAGAGTCAAGACCGAAAGAAATAGTCTAAAGCTAGCTCAATTGTTGATCCACCACCACCACTTTATAACAATCTCCAAAACCAGCACATTCATTATATAAAATCAACCACTCAAATATATATATAGTGAAAAAGGAAAACAGTACCCTCAAGAATGCATGCTTTACTGATATATAATGAATAAAAACAGTCCAGATCATCACGAGCAGAGTGTAGAGAAGGGATGGGGAAGAACGTATTCAGTGCTCCATTGTGATAAAACAGGAGAAGGGTAGAGTTTTCAATTTCTGATAAACAAGAGAAGGATTGGCTGTGCAAAAATGGGTAAACAAATCATATAATAGCACCATCAACTTGGGAAAAAAATAAAAAATATAAAACAAAGTGCAATCCAGACAACATTTACTAATAATTAATTCTTCACTCTAGCTTCTCCAGTTCCCCCATTCTCTCAATGATTGCCTGCATATTACAGAAAAAGATCAATATTGCTGCAAATTATGGTGTCATACAAATTTATCACCCCAACAACCAGTGTAAAAGAGGGAATAGAAAAATGCTTTGCCATTGAAATTACAGAGAAGCCATTATACCCGGAAAACAATGAACACAAAGCATGAAAAGTGGTGCCCGTTAATGTAACCAGTCAAGCCTCTAGGCATCAAACAGAGACCAATGATTGGATCCTGTCATCACCTAGGGTGGTGAAATTTTAGAAAAGGGGAGAGGCTACCCAAACTGTTTCAATATATCACCAGTTCATGGAAAGGGGCTAAAAGGGATTACAAAGCACCAATACTAGGGGCTCCAAAATAGCTAGAATGGTTGACAAGTTCAGTACCAAAAACACCAATAAGTAACTAAAGATCCAAGAAATGCATACCCTCTTGCTTGTTTCTTGAAGTTCTCCAGCTAGAATAAATTCGTCGAGTATCAGATAGACCTTTGGGAGAAAAAAGGACAGTAAATCATAGTGACCATAACTAATAATTAAGTGATCAGTAATAATGCCACACAAGAATATTCATATCTTACAGTGAAAGATACCAACAAAACATATAACATTAGCAGTTCACATAAATGATCAGATCAGATATCTGCACAACTATTCCAATAGGACAAAACATAAAATGAATGTCTGACCAAGGACATTTCTAACATGCTGAACCAAGGTTTTATTTTCTTTAAGAAAAGGACAGTCTAAAATGAACATGTCAGGCAGTAGAACCACATTTAACAGCCGATGGTAAAGATTACAAAGTACAACATGTACATGCAGGCACAGAAGGGTTGGCATATACAGCTTTATTAATGTCACAACAACATGGCATAATCTGTCCCTTGTAAGTTCTGGTGAAAGTGCAGATATTTTTAAACCATCCACTGAATTCCCACCATAAAAAGTAAACCCAAACAGATAAACAGTAGCCACAACAAGTTTAGTTTTTGAGTTCTCACAATACTTCAACTAGAGTGGGCACTAGTGAATAATTGACACCATGACCCAAGAAGGGAAAAAAAAAACACATAGAAAAAGAAATTATTGAAACAAGAAATATTCCCAGTAGATGTGGAAAGCAAGGATACAATTATACAAAACAATTAATCAAGATGCTCACATACCTTGTGAAAATTAAATACCAAATCTAGCTCGCAGACATTGCTGAAGAAATGATCCAATATCTCCACAAATAAATGGATGCACTCTAAATATGCCAATTCATTATCTGTAATGTCAACACAAAGCGAGAAGAATAATCCAGCATATCGCCTGTAGATTACCTTGTGTGTACGAAACTGCAAACGTAAACATAAACCACACCATGTTCACACACATATCATTAGGCAGTCAACAATTGTATTCACGACATTTAATGGAAAAAAAGGAAAAATATATTTATCAATATAGTACATCTAGAAAAAGACATTAAAAAATAATAAATTAAATTTCCACTAATAATGATCTCCCACCGCACAGGAGAATAAACATAAGCTTTTACAGGAATTATACTTAAAATAGAGAGTGCGTGTATTTGTTTCAAACAACAATACTCAATTTGCCACCCAAACTGAGCCAGAACAAACTACAGAGGATCATGCAGACTTCAAAACTCTTTAATGAACCTTGGTAATCCAAAATGTAATCTCTAAATAGCAGCAACTACGGTAGCTTTGAAACAAGTTTTTAATTGTAACGAATAGACATCACCCTTGGTTTACTACTTCATACACCAAAGAAAGAATCAAAATTAAAAGAGTTACAATACAAACGCAAAAGTTTGTAATCATAATTCCGTAAGAAATCCAGTCGTGCACCACAAATGCTGCCTAGAACATACTATATGGAATTAGAACCACTTTTTGCTCTGGTACATCAAATATTTCATACTCATTTAGGTAAAAACAAATGAAGAATTGCTGTAACAGTGAGATTTATAATTTGATTTCCTACATTTCTCAGTTACCAAACAGAGCACTAAAGAAAATCAGCAACAATTGTACGACAAGAATCAGAATCACCAACCTCGACGAAATTCGTAAACTTGGGATCTCTGTTCACCACCAACCGATGAACCTACAAGAAAAATCTAAATTCAAAACCCTAAAAGAGAACCAAAAAATTAACTAATTAAAAAACAAATATAAATACACAAAAACAAAAAAACAAAAAAGCTTTGTTACCTCGTATTCAACCTTGTGCTTCTCGGAGTCCTCGAGAGGAACATAGTACTTTGCGAGCCGAGTCTTTCCTTGCCTGTTTTGTAGCAATATGAACCGGATCTGCCATATCAACCAAACATATCAAAATCACAGTTTTACTTCAAATCTTAAAAAGCGACCACTCCTAATTTCAAGACGATAATTAAAGGTACCATTATCGAAAGATTGAAACACGAATTAAAAAGGACAGCAACGACTTATGCGCAGAGAGGAGAAAATGTAGTGCCCGCTAAAGTTTTGCTTCGTTTCGCGCAGCCGAGTTGAAAAAAACAAAAAACTCATATGAGAAGAGGGGTGAAATCTAGCGTGTGAACATATGTTTTCAAACGTATGCTATATTAGTAATCAACAATCGTGTCCGTTGATCTTTGCGGCAACTAAAAGCGTTGAAGCCAATGATTCTCTGACACGTGGTTACTTATTATGCACCTTCGGGTGGCTTTTCTTTTCTCTTCCTGTCTTCTTAGTGTTCCGCANCGACCACTCCTAATATCAAGACGATAATTAAAGGTACCATTATCGAAAGATTGAAACACGAATTAAAAAGGACAGCTACGAATTATGCGCAGAGAGGAGAAAATCTAGTGCCCGCTAAAGTTTTTCTTCGTTTCGCGCAGCCGAGTTGAAAAAAACAAAAAACTCATATGAGAAGAGGGGTGAAATCTAGCGTGTGAACACTTATGTTTTCAATCGTATACTATATTAGTAATCAACAATCGTGTCCGTTGACCTTTGCGACAACTAAAAGCGTTGAAGCCAATGATTCTCTGACACGTGGTTGCTTATCATGCACCTTCGGGTGGCTTTTCTTTTCTCTTCCTGTCTTCTTACTGTTCCGCAAAATATATTTTTTGTCTTTGGAAAAAAGAAGTAGCAACATTTCTGAAGAGCCTGTACGTTGAAACTAAAGAAGCTCTGATAACTGGACAGAGCAGTTAAAAATTATTGCATAAACAAGATATTGTTACTTGCCATAACACGAGTAAATTACAAAGAATTTCTGAATTGACAATATGGTTGGAGTCTCCGTCTCTTATTCTCAAGCAAAGCAAATGCCGGAAGCAGCTTACATTACAAAATCCAATATTACTAATACTAAATAAGCTAAAGCTTTGATGATAAGTGATTACATTAATATTAATTACATGGGGGCGATCTAGTAGTTGTGATCATACTTGGAGTTTGCTGAAGCCAAAAGAGCTGCCCCTATACCAGAGCCATCTTTCGTGTGTTCTATCACTACATTCTTTGATATTTCTAACCCCAGAAGCTCAGTCACTGCCTCTTGTAGGTACTTTCTGTACTGAGTGTAGTTCTCATACAACCCACCATCCATAGCCACTACTGTCCTCTTACCAAAGATTAGGCCTTTTGAATCATCCTCCATTTTCTGTAGAATGCCTACAATTCCTGCACCAGCTAACCGCCCACCTCGTTTCACAATTGTGTCACATACTTCTACCACTATCTTCCTTGCATTTAAATTGGATTCTACCTGATCTCAAAAACAACAAACACCATCAAATAACTGAACTAATTAATAAGAACCAAGTTCCTATCAAAGTTATTACTACTAGAAACCTTCTCAGTTCAAACATTACCCCTGGAAGCTGCTACTTTCAGCAATGTAGGAGAAGGTTGCAGAAGAGAAAATAGGTTTCTTATGATTTTCAGAATTCTTAAGAAACATTTGAAAATTATTTCCAGATTTCAAGGTTTTAGCCAATGGTGAACATTCCCATATCTCTATTTCAGCTATATTTTGAAATGGTGGCATGGGCTGAGAAATTTACCCCCGCTACTTCATATAAGATTGATCCAACCGCTTGAAAATCTTCAGAGTTGTCCTTTTGCATAGCACATAGATGCGGGGTCCTATGAAGTATAGTTCAGAACATAGATCAGTTGAAAGAGAATTTTAATTTAATTCAACATTAATGCTAAATCATTCTTTTGCCTGTGGAGATTTCAAAACTTTCACAGAGATTCTAATTCGAAATGCTAGCCGCATAAGAAGAGAAAGGCAACCCACGAGGTTGGCTTTGGAGCCAATACAAAAGAAAACATTTCCACGTCTTCTTTTCTTTTGGTTAGTAGGCCAGTTCATGTCTTCCATGTATAGCATTCAAAAAGTGAAAAAGCTGCTATCTTAATGGAATTTATGAACCAAAGAAAAAATTATCAATACACCTGATCCAATGATCTTTAATTAGTGCCAGAGTTTTATGCAAGCTTTATTCATTCATAATCAGTTCAGGTAATCTGTCCAAAGTATTGCAATTTTGTTTATCATGAGGAACTTGACCCACCACAAAGTGTAGCAAGGCACTCGTAGCAGGATTTATGTGGCAAAAGCCTAATTAGCATACAAGTTATCAAACAATTGAAACTAATCAGATTCTAAACATGAGTTTTTGTACTTTTCAGCATGATCCCTAGTTATGCAACAACAAATGGGAGTACTAGTACCTGAGTAAAAAAGGCATTGATAGTTTTTCTGGAATGGAGTTGCCAAATAAAGTAGCTGCTTCAGCCAGCTTCAGCAGCACTCGCCGAACAATCTCACCAAGATACATTCCCGAGATCGTCTTCTCAAATATCTGCCATGAATATGACCCATAATTAAATAAATTATAAAGCTAGTTTGTACATCAGTTATTGCAAAGATGCAAACTAACAATGAAAAGAGGAACAAGAGTCAAGAGTTACCTGCTCACCAGGATTTATACTAGCAGCATCCATTTCTCTATCAAACTCAGTTAAGGGAAGACCTTTTGAGAATGCTCCCCACTCAGTATTAATTATCTGAATCAAGAAAGTCTCATCCGATTAAAACTTAAACGAAACTAAGGTTGTTGAACAAATTATAGAAAGAGAAAAAGTGTTAGCAGATAAGAGCCACCCTTACACACCGTTCTTCCAGAAGAAGACTTATAGCCCTGTAACTTAGGAATTGCATCCATCCGTTCTACATAGCAAGCATTGGTTCCGGTACCCAAAATGACAGCAACCATGACATCATCGTCCCAGTATCTAGCTCCAGCTAATGTTCCCACAGTATCATTAACCTAAGCATCAACAATTTGCGAACCAGTAACTCTTTAGTTTAGAAACTGAATACAGGAATGGTGCTAGTATATACACATCATACCAGGGCAGACACTTGCATATCTAATCCTTGCCTTTCCATTGCCTCATTTAAACAAGCAACCACATCTTTTCCTGCCTGTAAAGAGTTCAGCATTCTCCATTATGCTAGTATCAGGTAAACAAGTTAATATCATACATAAAAGAGGTAAGACAATAAATATATATCTAATTAGGACTTCGGAGTACTTTTTGCTGCCACGCACAATGAATACAGTGGATGATGTGTCTCATAGTTTCCAACCACTGTTTCCAAGAGCAGGTCACCTCGGTACCTCTACAACTAGTCAATATGGAATCTCAGGATTTAAGGCTTTAGAAATTACTAACAAATTTGGAAGTGTAATATTATAAGTGAATCATCCTTGAATCAGGAAAAAGGTTTCCCAGCAATATAATTTCATTTTGCAGAAACACAAACCGTTCCAGACACAGCAAAGCCCTTGGTCCACTTTATTAGTATGCCAGAATCAATGGAGGTCTGCTTCACAGGGAAAGAAAATGTAAATCCAATCTCCCTTTGCCTTCCGTGTGGCAAGTGAAACTTTCCACCTTCTTTTTGTGCAAATTTTGCCAGCCCAGATGCAATAAAATCAAAAAGCTCCTACAGATTCAGGGGTTAAAAAATAATTGAATAATATAAACAGATTGTATTAACAGACTTTTTAACAAGCTATATCCAAAGGGATACCAAACACACCTCAGAGGTACCAAACATTAGCTCTTGAGGAATGGAAACTTGTTCGAATTCAGTGGCTTCAACACGCTCTTCTTTCCCACCTAATTGCACCCTCAACACCCTGAAGTTTGTGCCTCCAAGATCCAATGCATAGAACAATCCTCTCTCATTCCTTTCAAATTAGATAATATTTCCTTTAGTGCAATGTTAATTGTTTAACCTCCGAAATATATAAGATAATAAAATACATCGTAAACCTATTAATAGCTTGATCCTTTATTATACATATTCATTTATAATAAACAAAGAACCTATATAACAACTTAAAAATTGAGAATTTAAGAGAACTCAAACTGAAACATGTAAAGCAAGTCAATGGAACAAAAGAGAGTCTCTGGATATTGGATCAAATAAAACATGAAGTGCAAAGCTTCTGACATACCCAGTGGGCAAACTGTCAACATAACTGAGTATCATCTTGAGATCGCTGCCACCATCAACGGCAAGTCCAGCTCGCATATCAGCTGCCATAGAGTCTGCCACGAGGCGAAGAAGGGGCAAAGGAGTTGCACACTCCTTATGTAACTTTGTCAAGATCGGAGCAACAGACACAGTATTTGAACTCACGGCCATCCTAAACCGAGGGATGCCTCTCGGTGACCGTGAGAGTCGGAACGATCCAACAGCCGGTGAAATAGCTGTTGCAGTAACAGACATTTTGGGTAGACGGTAAGATCTAAGCGGGGAGAGAGTAAAGAAAATTGAGAGGTTCAGACAGTGACTGTGTTGATGACAAGGTTTGAACAGTGAGGTTCAAAATTTTCATTATATTGTTAACTAAAAATAAAAATTTCTGTTAACTAACGGGTTCTTCGGCCAGCTAACAATTAACAACCTAACGGTTCATCACCTTCCAGTTCTGTGTTTGAGTCTTCTTTTTTTATTTTTTAGAAATATATATATATTATAATATAATAGGGAACAAAGCAGACAGGTTGGGATTGGACGGACAAGACGATGTTGACGCCAACATCTCTGCTTTGTTGTTATTTGATTAGGTAACTTCACTAGTAATTCATGGTTTGGTTTGGATATTCTCAAATATGTGCTTCACTGCACGCTACGCCTAGGCCTACGCCCGCTCGCTCTTCACTGCACTACTGTGAAGATTTTTAGGATGATCCATCAATTATCACAGAAAAAATTTCCAATTTGCAAGCACGCCAAGTATATCAGAAAATATGCATATATGTGAAAGCTTGGTCAAAGGACTCAATGCCAACAGGTTAACTCATTTTATCTCACTTTTCTAGTGACCATTGAAAAAGAGAATGTTTGGAATGTAGTTCATATATTAAATAAATTTTAAAAATTAACACAATTTAAATACGATCTCAATTATTTATAAATTTTAATTAAAGATTAAAAAATTATTTAAGAACTTATGCCTATGCAACCACATCTGATGTGAATATTGCATATGAACATCTAAAAAAATACCATTAAACATAATATGTTAATAAAACCGGTGATAACTGCTGTGAATTTAACGGTAAGTATCCATGGAAAGACAAGGTTTCCAAACCCATGATGGTACACAAACATAAGGATGAAAAGTTCCTATATAGGCAAAATTATTAATGCATAAAAATCTATGTATGATTCCCTTATATCCAACATAAAACTCAACTGAAGTTTATAGTAGCTAGATGACTTTCTTGAATATATATCACAGAGTATCTCATATATGATATTAAGTTCAAGTTAAGAATTTAGTTGATGGTTCATCAAGGAAGCAAAGTACACAGACTGTGTATATATTTTATTACATGAGCTCTCTCTCAAGAAACACTCTTTTATCTCATGGCAGACAAATTTTACTGCTACAAGTGTACAAAGAAATTAAACGACAATTACCCGAAAAAAACAAAAAAATAGAGACAGATGAAAAGTAAGTATTGTTAAGAAACGTGGTGAAGGAAGTAGTGATGTAGAAATTTATTGGCTGCCTTTTTTCTTGGAAAAAATGCCTCCAATTAAAGGGATCAATGGCTTCTTCTTCTTCTTTTTCAGAGAAGGATGTCTCTCCAGTACTTGTACACTTTGTGGAACAATAACTTGAGCAAGGGAAGGTGGATTTGCGAATGTCACGTATCTCTTCTTTTGAAGTTCTGTTTCATCTTCAGCAGATGTTTGAGTTTTGACTTCAAATTTTGTTGAATCTTCAACAATCTTGACATCTTCAATCTCAAACTCCATCATTTGTTTTTCGGTTTCACGATCCTTCATGTGTCGGAGCTCTCTCTTAGTTCGTTCAAGCTCTTGTTTAAGAGAGGAGAGGTAATTGGCCATCATTGTGCTTTCCTCTTTAGCCTTTAGGAGGTTTTGTTTTGTCTCCTCTAGCTCAACTGTAATACTTCCAAGCCTACCCTGCCCATTTCCATTTTCACTTGCTTCACCGCGCAGCTACACATATTATTTAGTTATTTAGGCAAAAGTAATGTAACTCATGTACAGCATTTTCCAAGTAAATTACAGCCACATTTAGATTCTCTGAACAAAGCTTAACTTAGAATTATATAATACTATTCATGTTTATCTTTTTATAAATATATATATTTTTTTTTCTTCAGCTTTATTCCTTCACATGATAAAGAAAGAATGAAAAAAACAGCACTCTCACAGTTTGATCACCGTAAGAAACCTTGCTTGTACTCCGCCACAAGCAAGCATATAGAATATAGAATTAATATGATTTATTTAATTTTAATTATATATTAATCAGTGGAAGCATGCATAAACACAAGTACAAACAACATAGACTGTATAATTAACCATATATCTATAATGAAAACCTATTGAGAGACAGTCGAATTCGGGGGAACACCAAACATATGGAAAAAAAAAAATTAAAATTTATCAGTAATACCATACATAGGAGAGACATGATAAGAGAATATATATATTTGAGTAAATGCATGTTGTCGGAAAATTGAACGAAATCTCAGACCACCTACTGATGATAATGTCATGAAAATCAATTACGGGACTTACAGATACAAGAGAAAAGCATGAAGTAATTAATGATCGATGATGAATAATATATATGTATAGGTAAGGTTACCTCCTTGAGCTTATTGGCGTAGACTTCACCAGCTAAAACTTTCTCCCCGAACAACGTAACAGCTTCTTTAACAGAGCGAAATGGTGCCCTGGTGTCAATCTCTGCTCTCTTGATCATCACTTCACTATCCATGTTCATTCAGCTTAGGAGAAGAAGACAAAGATGTGGATTGACGGATAGGTAGCTAGAAACAAAGATGTGCTTTTTATTTGAGATTGAGAATTATGAAAGAGACAGACTGAGAGAAAGGGTGGGTGGTTACAAGTTGAGGGATCAGAAGAAGAATAATAACAAATATCGTATGGGAGCTTCGTTACTTCGCGTCCACTTCACTAGAATTCTGTTTATACATTTAATTTCAAAGTGAAGCTGAAGCTGATGGTTATGGTGGGTGGACTGTCCTATTTAATTTGGTCTCGTGGATATGGTTAGCGGCAAAAGAGAGGGACTCTTCACCAATACCCAGCGGATCNAGTTGATGGTTCATCAAGGAAGCAAAGTACACAGACTGTGTATATATTTTATTACATGAGCTCTCTCTCAAGAAACACTCTTTTATCTCATGGCAGACAAATTTTACTGCTACAAGTGTACAAAGAAATTAAACGACAATTACCCGAAAAAAATAAAAAAATAGAGAGAGATAAAAAGTAAGTATTGTTAAGAAACGTGGTGAAGGAAGTAGTGGTGTAGAAATTTATTGGCTGCCTTTTTTCTTGGAAAAAATGCCTCCAATTAAAGGGATCAATGGCTTCTTCTTCTTTTTCAGAGAAGGATGTCTCTCCAGTACTTGTACACTTTGTGGAACAATAACTTGAGCAAGGGAAGGTGGATTTGCGAATGTCACGTATCTCTTCTTTTGAAGTTCTGTTTCATCTTCAGCAGATGTTTGAGTTTTGACTTCAAATTTTGTTGAATCTTCAACAATCTTGACATCTTCAATCTCAAACTCCATCATTTGTTTTTCGGTTTCACGATCCTTCATGTGTCGGAGCTCTCTCTTAGTTCGTTCAAGCTCTTGTTTAAGAGAGGAGAGGTAATTGGCCATCATTGTGCTTTCCTCTTTAGCCTTTAGGAGGTTTTGTTTTGTCTCCTCTAGCTCAACTGTAATACTTCCAAGCCTACCCTGCCCATTTCCATTTTCACTTGCTTCACCGCGCAGCTACACATATTATTTAGTTATTTAGGCAAAAGTAATGTAACTCATGTACAGCATTTTCCAAGTAAATTACAGCCACATTTAGATTCTCTGAACAAAGCTTAACTTAGAATTATATAATACTATTCATGTTTATCTTTTTATAAATATATATATTTTTTTTTCTTCAGCTTTATTCCTTCACATGATAAAGAAAGAATGAAAAAAACAGCACTCTCACAGTTTGATCACCGTAAGAAACCTTGCTTGTACTCCGCCACAAGCAAGCATATAGAATATAGAATTAATATGATTTATTTAATTTTAATTATATATTAATCAGTGGAAGCATGCATAAACACAAGTACAAACAACATAGACTGTATAATTAACCATATATCTATAATGAAAACCTATTGAGAGACAGTCGAATTCGGGGGAACACCAAACATATGGAAAAAAAAAAATTAAAATTTATCAGTAATACCATACATAGGAGAGACATGATAAGAGAATATATATATTTGAGTAAATGCATGTTGTCGGAAAATTGAACGAAATCTCAGACCACCTACTGATGATAATGTCATGAAAATCAATTACGGGACTTACAGATACAAGAGAAAAGCATGAAGTAATTAATGATCGATGATGAATAATATATATGTATAGGTAAGGTTACCTCCTTGAGCTTATTGGCGTAGACTTCACCAGCTAAAACTTTCTCCCCGAACAACGTAACAGCTTCTTTAACAGAGCGAAATGGTGCCCTGGTGTCAATCTCTGCTCTCTTGATCATCACTTCACTATCCATGTTCATTCAGTTTAGGAGAAGAAGACAAAGATGTGGATTGACGGATAGGTAGCTAGAAACAAAGATGTGCTTTTTATTTGAGATTGAGAATTATGAAAGAGACAGACTGAGAGAAAGGGTGGGTGGTTACAAGTTGAGGGATCAGAAGAAGAAGAATAACAAATATCGTATGGGAGCTTCGTTACTTCGCGTCCACTTCACTAGAATTCTGTTTATACATTTAATTTCAAAGTGAAGCTGAAGCTGACAGTTATGGTGGGTGGACTGTCCTATTTAATTTGGTCTCGTGGATATGGTTAGCGGCAAAAGAGAGGGACTCTTCACCAATACCCAGCGGATCCTGGGCCCTTTAAGATCTCACTTGCCCCTAGTAATTATATTAATGGATCAAAAATGTGATTCGGACTTTTAATCCGTCAACACCAAGTCAGCTACACTCGCCATTTAGTTTGAAGTTATAATTCTGTGGGCTGGATGGATCAAGTAATGGTTTGCCAACCTTTCTTTTTCCCTGGGCCCTTTAAGATCTCACTTGCCCGTAGTAATTATATTAATGGATCAAAAATGCGATTCGGACTTTGAATCCGTCAGCACCAAGTCAGCTACACTCGCCATTTAGTTTGAAGTTATAATTCTGTGGGCTGGATGGATCAAGTAATGGTTTGCCAACCTTTCTTTTTCCCTCAGGCCTAATGTATAGAAGTAGAACAGATCAAACCCATAGATTTCTAGATCAGTACTTAATTTGTTGACAATGTGGTTTAATTAGATAAAGTAGATTCAACATCTAACTTTTTAGCGAAACCTTCTCATTCAAACTGTGGTCAAACAGTCAAAGTAAATTCTCATTGGCCTTACAATTATTTAGGTCCACTCCAATATTCTATGGTCTCGGGAGAACCGATTTCACTTCTTTGTATGATATGAAGGGTTGTTTCGGTCGGTCCTAAGGAAAGTCATGGTAGCCGGTAACCCGACTTTGCTATACTTATTGTTAAAGTAGTACATCGATTAGACTCGTTTAAATCTATTAGTTTATAAGAGGGTGTAATTTTTTTATTTAATAAGGCCTTATTAGATGAGGAATCAGACCAACTTTAAATTTTTATCATGGTATCAGAACTCAGATTCAGTTGAGCTGAGTATTTGACTAACAGGTGATGAGTTAAAACCAATAACTACCTCTATCAACAGACATGACCTAACATATGAGCTTTACCGTGAAGAGTAGCCAACTAGGCACACTCAGGCCAACGGGAGTGTTGGAGTTCCACACCGACATGCTCAAGTCTACTAGATTATAAAATAGGCTAATCATCGCATTCAACAAGGCCTTATTGAATGAGGAGTCAACCCAACTCAAATTCTATCATTCATAACACAACTTGACCATCAATAACAATTTCATAGCTGAAACGCATTCATTGGCCCATGGCATTTATGCTGTGTCGATAGTACATTATCAGCCGCTCATCGTCTTTACACTTGAGTTATTCGCAGTTGAAGAAATGCTCCTAATTAAGACCTTTCACGCTTTTGGAGATGCACGCACATTAAATTCAATGTTAACAAATAAAAGATTATGAAGAAGAAGGATGAAATTTTATCATATTAAGGTTTTTTTTTTTCGATGTACACATAGCACTAACAGTAGAAGTAAATCTCTTTTTGCCACAATGGAAGAGAAATAGGAATATATGTATCTATTTAAGAAATCGAACAGAACAGCGCTAAACGTGTATGTATAACTTTAGACAAATGCCCAAATACATAGTACAGTATTAAATGAATCGATCATGGTAACAAACATGCATGCAGAAAGGATCAAACCCACACATCAGATTTTCGACCATCCAAAACCCCCTCCTGTGACGACTTGTTGAAGAACTCAATGCAATCAGCGATGGCCTCAGAATAGTGAGAGTGAGAGGAGTAATAAGAGCTGCATGAAGTCTTTGGTGGATCATATTTATCACAAGCTTTTTGTCTTGAGGATGAGTTTGAAGAGGAAGGAGAAGGGAAAAAGAATATAAGTTTCATAAGAATCTTACGAAAGCGATTAAAGAGCTTCATTGCAGAGAAGTTTAGTTTGTTGTGTGAGAGAGGGAGGGTGTCGCTACTTGTTACTTGTATAACAAAGCTCTCCCTTTGAGTTGTGTACATTTCTCTTAATCTCTTCTGCTTGTTTGCCAGATGCCCTAGGCCTCCGGGAAGTGTACTGCTATCATGTATGTCGTTTGGGTGTTTAGGATATTTAAAGGCTGTGTGCATTCTATTTGGGAAGACTCAAAGAGCATATTCACTTGGAAACACCATGTGCCCAAATCATTTGTATGGCCTTCACTTGTCCTTTACACACTAATTTCTTTATTCATTATCTTCAACTAAACCAATTTGAGAAAAAATAACTTGAATTGGATGGACCCTACGACTTTAAGTTGGAGCAATAGTAATTGAATGCGTAATGTAAATTCAGTGTGTTGAAATAACAAGGAAACATTGAACTTTGTTGTTGAGAGTAATAAATCTTAAATAATAGATTTGAGGGCTTCATGAGTTAACATATGATTATCAAAAACTAAACATCTTGTCCACATATGACTCATCCAACCCATAATGGCCTTTGATTACAGTTGCTGCTGAATGATGGTTAACTTCTTTCTTCTATAATATTAAACCCTCAAGCTCAAACCAGTGACCACTTGAGATACAAGTAGGTCCTATCTCATGAATATGAATCAAACTCTTTGTTGAATGATATTGTCGAAACTCTCGTAATCATTTGCATATATTCTTGATAGATATTTGATACTATATAAGTTTATCAAGGAATGGCCATCACATGTGAAGCCAAATTAATTGTCAAATCTCATCACTATCGACTCGAATAAAACTATTATACAAATTCTTTGTGCAAAGAGAGTTTGTACAAAGTGATGTGGTATATCATGTGAATGCCACATGACATGAGAACCTACATAACATTAATGTGACATTAAATTATGTGGGTTCAAATGTCATATGACATGCTTTGTGACATGTCATGTTAGTTTGTACAAACTCTCTTTGTATAAGAGTTTGGACAATAGCATTACCCTATCAACTCAGAGTTAGAGACATGCTTCAAAGTTACTTTTAGAGTGAATTTCATTTGTTGATTGGTTGTAGGTTTTTTCTAGTTGTTTTCCTCGCCGTCGGCCATTGATTTTCCTTGCTATTACCATCTCCCACCACCTGCTCAATGTATTGCCCCCACCAACTTCCAACCAGCACTGCGCACAACTCTCCTTGGATTTTGGTGGTCGGGTTTGGTTGAAAATAGAGGGATGATTTTGTGAGCCACAAATCTACAGAAATCCAATGATTGGCATGATCAGTGGGGGTGAAGTAAGATGGGTTTTGGTGTGTGAGGCATGGGTAAGAGGATGGTGGAAGTGGGGAAAGCCAATGTCGTCGAAAATTGGCAAAAAAAGCAAGGGCAACATTTGCTAAGTACGCCACCTTATGCTAAAATGTGCTCTCTAGTAATTTAGGGGTTAAGAAAGTAATTTACTAATTAGGGGCTTAAAAATCATCAACGGTGTTGGTTTGAGGGTAGGGATTTATGACACCGGGGTGGAAACTTGCTATTTGGTCAAACCTTGGGTGGGAACATGTCTTTTACTCTGAGAAGATATGATTAAGTCAGAGTGGGGGGCTTGAGATAAAGATTATGGAAGACAGGAACTATAATTATGTCTTGTACTTTGGTTAGGTTAAACAAAGTGGAAGAATAATGAGTTGTTAATTTGGGCTGAAATATATAGCCCATCGTCAGTTAGACACTGGGATTCTAATTCTGTAAGGACCAATCTTTGAACAATTGATGGGCTATGGATATGGGCAGCTCATACATATAAGAAAAGTAGATGAAAAAAATCAACTAATCTTCGATTATTAATTCAATAAGATTAGATTTGCGTGTAACTGTGGGGCAAATTGAGCTGGCTAAAAAACATTTATAAAGAAAAAGAAGGTGTCAGGGAAATATATGGCTTTACTTAAGACTTAAAAAGAGAAAAAGAAATACATATATCCAGCATGTTACCCCTTCATGAAGGCAAGTATACTTGTTAACTCTAAGCCTTCTATTGAATTTTCCTTTTTCGTAAGTTGGTCAGCAATGGAGTGTACAATTACAAAGGAAAATATATATAGCTTTGTTGCAGCTCATTGTTTGTTTAATAAACCTGTGTGTGTTTAGCCATGATTACGTAATAATTAATTTGACATACATGAACATGATCTTGATGATTCTCCTGGCTATTTCCCATGTCAGTGAAACAACAAATTCATTAATGCTCAAAGAAATTAATAAGATACAATCGTAGTACTATTACTATTACTATTACTATTACTATCACTTTTAGGCCGAGGCATTGTACATGTGGTTTTTTTATATTTGATTTAGTAATTGATAGCAAACATGCAGTAGTACAAGATTAAAGAGAGCTTCAGTTTTGATAGTGTAGGAATGAGGTTGAAAGAATAAATAATTAATCGATAGCAATAGGCTGCATTTCGCAAAAATTGTGGCGCGTAACGTGCAAAGTACCTCGATATGGATCGATTCAACCTGTCAACGCGTGCTTGCGAATCTCAGTTAATAGCGAATACTTGTTTGATTAGTTGGGGTTGTCAGTAGGAAGTTTCTCTCATTAGACAAATAGTAAATTTTTAATTAATCTGTACCGTAACAGTTGGGCTAGTACATTACTATATATATATTCATTAATTTTTTCCAAAAATCCAAACACTTGAAACAATGAATGAACATATGGTCTCTGCTAAGGCATGTGTTGCCAATTATCATCCATGTATTTAGTCTACATTATTATTAGTTGTTGTTTAATCAAAACTCCATTGCTATCACCATTCAATTATTCCAAGATAATCTCACGTGGCTTTCTTGGTCCACTCAGACAGATTGCTCATTTTGGTTTTGAAGAAGACATGTTAACAATAATAAACTAAAAATAAAAATAAAAAAATGCAGCATTTACTTTTATTATATATGCTGGGTATGATGGAAATTTTAACAATCAAATGAAAATGGATCTTTGTTGTGGTACCCTTCATATGAATAATGTGTATCAGGAGACCTACCCACTAAAATAAAGAGTTTAGGTGTGTGATTTAGACAGCTGAATGCCAACTTTTAGTTACAGTCACTTAAATTGTATTAGATAATGTCTTCATCAAACCGTTTACCATCAAATATTAAACACTTTAACACATGTATCTATCCGTTTTTTAATTGCTGCGGTTGAGCCATAATCTGTAACCCAATTACAAGTTTAATTAAACAAAGCATATTTTATATATGTATACACACACATTACATAAATATATCAGCTCAACTCCGCTGAGCTGACCGTTTGATTTAAAAAGTAATGTATTTTGTGATGTGATGATCGTAGTCGTAGGAAAACAAATTCAAGAATCAAGCTTCACAGTTACAGAGCCTTGTAAATCACAACAAAACAAGGAAGGATGGCCCTTGGATTAAAAACGAACAACTCCTCGAGATTGGAGTAGATCCCACCGTACCCGGCTACAGAATCGTATGAGCCGACAGACACGCTATCCTCCTCTGGCGGCGCATCATCCGTCACGCGCCTTACCCTCCCAGCAATCACACGACACACCAACATGGCTCTCCGATCATCCGTACAGTTTTTCAATGAATCATGGGCCCTACCACTGCTGGCCGTAGTGCGTATACCCACACCCTTGCATTCCTTGCCTTGGAACCCGTGCCTTATGATAGTGCAGACGGAGCAGCCAGGGACTGAGCTACACAAACTGGATGAGCCGCGCGAGCCAAGGTTGCACGACAGAGTAGTGCAGTGGAATCGTAGGAGCTCGTTTCCGTCGGCTGCGCACCTGGGATTTTTTCTGGCGCTGTTCAGTGCACGTGTTTTGACTGCATCACGGCAGTCCTCGAATCGTTGGATTGTACGTTGTGTGTTGTGTACTTTGAGTATCCGTTCGATTTTGCATATGGGGTTGTCTTTTTTCAGCCAGCTTGATTTGAAGATTATCTCCACAATGTTACGACTGGAATCCTCAGGGCCCAGCTCCGAAACTGTAAAAAATAAAAGATAGAATGTAATTACGTAACTTTACAAGTCCAACAGTTCATCTTGTCGGTGGGGTCACAGACCATCAACAAATGAATTCGACACATAAACATTCATTTAGGGTTGGTTTGCGACAGCTGTAGTTGTGTAATAACTGGTCCATTGGATCTAGAAATGGAGACGATCATGGTGTTGCTAATACAAGATTTGACACAAAGTCAGTCAAGGTTAATTTGTTTTTCAATTCGCTAATGCTAAATTAACGGTAATTATTATTTGCCTTTCCACAGAAAACATCATAATTTCATAAAGCTTCACGTTTCAAACCAAAGTTTTTCATCACCTTGGGATATACAAAATTAACTCTGCAGAATTCTTCTTTTATTGGACAAAATACGAAGAAAAGAATAAGGTAAATAAAACTAGCATTTAGGATAATCATCATAATTAGCATTCAAATTGGATTCCACATAAATATACGTGCATGCATAGATAGAGAATTAATTTCATTTTATGTAATTGAAATTACCTGCATGGCGAACTGCCTGGTGAAGTTCCAAGCTTTCAATTTTTGGGAAGACCTCTCCACACTGTGAGCAGGCGCATATTGTGGTTCTTGGAGAGGGGAACCTGATTAATTTTTTACTGTAATTTAATACTCCATGTAGTCTTAATTATAAAATTAAAAGAAGAATTGTTGAATGAAATATAGTAACCGTAATACCTGGTTGGATCGATGATGGTGTGGCACTCATAACACCCAGAAAGCTTTCTGAATTGCATGCCTCTAGTAGATGAGGTGTAGGTTCCAGCGTTGGATCTTGCTGAACCTGAACCATTGACAACTTTTCGACTCAGTAACCCAGTTTCTTGACCTACAGTGCTACTTTCCGGGGAGTTATCAGCTCTGTGTACAACCTTTGTGTTCCCATGGACCACATCTTTGCAACTGCAAATAGAACTGCAAGAAGAGCCAAGCTTTGAGTAGCCATTAGCGTTTTTGGCGGGGTCATGTACTCTTGAGCCGTCGATCTGTTTGCAGGTGAGTAGGTTCTTGATTTGGTCCCATGAAGACGGTTGCTTCTGCTTGATCTTTTGCTTCTTATTCTTCTTCCTGTGCTTTGAAGGTTGTTTTTTGGGGTCTGTGACTGTGGTCTCTGGTAAGAAAGTGAGGAGAGCCATAAGAAATAGGAGAGAAGGGCAGCAGTGGTTGAGGAAGAGAGGAGGATACGGAGGGAGATTGGTATTAAGGAGGGAAAGGGGATGGTGACTGGTGACGTGGGTGTTGCTTTGTTTGTTAAGCCATTTATTTCACTTCTCACTGGGTCTTTTGGATTAACTCCTGGGTTTGTCTTGGACAAGCTGTTGAAACTTTCCACATTAAATGCTACTTGGTGGTTGACCTTTTTAAGTTGACTGGATCGATGGTTACTGATTTTTAATGTTGAATATTTGGTAACAATATATTTATGTTATGTGTTTGGACGGCTAGCTATTAATTATTTTTATTTTTTATTTTACACAATTATCCAATCATCAAAATTTGCCTAAAACATCAAAGACTATACGGTGGGCCTGAAAAAAAAATAGTGGAAGATTAGGTTTATTTCTGCAGCGCAATAGGGGTCCAGATTCCAAAAGTTAGCAAAAGATAAAGTGCAAGAGCCAAAGAGACATCATACAAAACACGGAGAAGGAATTGGGGTTCCACATTTCAATGTCTCTGGTTTCCTTTATATTTCGGTGCATCTAATTAAGATTCCCAAACTACCAATTACTTAAGCCATGGAAAGTGCAGCAAGCCACTAGCTTCATTTTCGCTTGTCCTCACAAACCCAAATAATTATACATTATTAAACAAAAAGTAAAACCTCTTTCTGGAAGTTGTTAGATTAGAAGGCATGCGGTGTCGTGCTTCCTCAAGTTAAGGAAACAGATCGCCCTGTTTCTGTATCCCTTATCCATGAATAAATAATTGCAATGAATAACTGTTTTCTATAACCAATTATGCTATATAACAATCACAAATATTGTAAATGAATAATCACTACTGTTAAAGGGCATGTGCAGCTACTGGTTGTCTAAACCTAATCATACAGTAGACGCCAAATTACTTTCTCAAAGAGAAGAGAGGGCATGTGCATCTAACGTATTTTAATTATTAGTTGGCCGCAAACTAATTAAGCTTTGCATTGCATCGCTACGTATTCAATTTTTATTCTATTAAATTAAACCCCACTTTCCTTTTTAAGATTGATAAATATTCTACAAATTTGGGAGTGGGTGGGTGGTGGAGTAATAGTCTGAATTCTAACTTATCAGTTTAGCCCAACTTTCAATTTTTTCGGCCCAAATTTTGTCACCTGTTGTAACTTGTAAACCCACTTAAACCCTAGCTTAAGCTTACAGGGTTTTTGATTTGTACAGCAAGTGTAAGCTTCAGTAGTGAAAACTTTTGTTCCTGCTTTAATTTTATTTATTTTTATCTGAATTATATTTGTTCAATTAGGATCGAGGAGGATGTCGCAATATAACCTTCAATCTGATCCAATACGAAATCCTAGACTGACATGGGAAGGTTGCAGTGTATTGCTAGACATCAACGACGGCGACCGTCTGGTTTTTGCTCGTCTCACTGCCGGCTCGTAAGTTCTTATTATTTTTATTTAAAATCACTCAATGCATACATAGTTTTTTAATTGATTAGTTATGCAGGACGTTGAAAATTGGCAATAAGAATTGTTCCCTGCAGCCGTTGATTGGCTGTCGTTTCGGTTGTCTGTTTCAAGTTGATAATGGAAAGGAAGGGCCTTATTTATCTCGAGCTAAAGAAGGTTAGTTTGAGTAAACTCAAGTTGTTTCATGATCAAGTGCTTTACCCTTTTTTTTTTCTTTTCACATGGTTGATAAGTGCCTTTATTTTTAACTTCATTTTCAAAATTGAGCATTTCAGACAGTACATTCTTGTTACATGTGGCTTAAGCTAAGTTGGGAGCCGATTGGTTAATACGAATACATTATTCTGATATTTTTGTTGGATTTTTCCTCTTCAGATGATATTCAAGAAAAAGAAACTATTCAAATAAATGATGAATTAAGAGACAATCGAGCTATTGTCGATAATAATAAAGCCCAAAGCTTAACTGGTGAAGATATAGATGCAATGAGGCGGTGAGAACATATTATTAGTTTGGTGCATGAGGCTCTTATCTTCTTTAAGATGTTCTCATGAAAAAATAAAAATGACCACTTTTTTTTTTTTTTTTTAACTATCTTTTCATGCAGACAGGGTGCGACAGGTGACGAAATCGTTGAAGCGCTCATAGCTAACAGCGCAACATTTGACAAGAAAACATCTTTCTCACAGGCAAGGTTATTTCTGTTCTGAATATGTTTTATGGCGGACACATGACATCCAGGAAGTGCTCATTTGAAAAAAGTCCGGTGTCTGATCCATTTGCAGGAGAAGTATAGGCTTAAAAAGCAAAAGAAGTATGCACCCAGAGTCCTTGTAAGGCGTCCTTTTACTCGAAGGTAACACTCTTACTTCTTATATATATATATATATATATAGAGGATCTAATGTGTCATTATCTACTCACTTGTTATTAGATTCTGAACTCTATAGGATCACTCTACTGGTTTTATTCTTAAGGTAGAGTTCTAGATGTTAGGATCTAGAAATTTCACTTTGAATTTCAGTTGGATATATTATGTTTTTAATGCTTTTAAGTTTTCCTGCTAATTAGGAGTCATTGTCCAACTTTATATATATTTTTATTACATTTTGTGTTAGTAGATAGTAAATTAGAAAACTTACTTTGACTGAGTATGGTGTCCACTCTCAACAACCTATTTCCCTTGTTTCTAATAAAAAGAGAAAGTTCTACTGAACATCAAGTTTTAAATTGACTTTTAGGGCTGAAGTTCCCATGACTTTATGGATTCAAGACTGACAGTGTGGGATAGCCTGCCTCTCCCAACTCAAAAGAGAACATGAAAGTTTCTTTCTGTTGGTTGATTTTCTTAGAACAATTTTGTGATATGCCTTTGTATGATAATTTGATTTAAGGGAATCTTAAGATAAGAGCAAGAGCATAGTTTAGATGAGGTGAAAGTGTGATGGATTTAAGGATGAGAGAAGTTTACTAAGAAGAAGATCTTGGGATAATTCGCAGAGTTTGAAAACTGATGATACCATCTGAAATGATTGATTATATGCTGCTATCACCTTTTCAATGGTGGTTTTATGCATAAAATAATTTAATGGACAATATTTTTCTCACATAATGATTGATCACATTTAAATATTTCTCAACATTTAAGTGCTTTTATGATGATGTCAAATGATTTCTTTGGCTTTATGACTTGTGTTTCTCATCCTTTTTGGTTTTTATTTTTTTCAGTATATGTGAGGCATACTTCAAGAAATATCCAGCAAGAATTGGGTAATCTTATCACCACTCGTAACTCAAGTCATATCGTTGTTTAAAGCAGATTTGTGTTGATTTATTTTTTGTTTTTATATTTTTTAAGGTCTCAGCTATTTGATTATAGTTCTTGCTATAACTTGCTTAAAGAATATTGTGAAGATACTTTCGTTGTTGTAATAGTATCCTTTATGTTATTCTTGTGCTATGGTATATTATTTGTTTTCTATTGAAAGCTGGTATTTATGGTGAGATTCTTTGACATTTAGGTTTTAGCTAGTTGTGTCTTTATATCAATATTTTCATGGTGTTAAGTCATAACAAATGGGTTGGTTTTTTGTATTCTGATCTGATTGATTAACTCTGTGAATACATGCTTGGAATTTATTTCTTACTTGTTTGCATGTGATGCAGATTCTTGCGAGTGGATACATTGTCTCTTCTTCTTTCAATGGCAAATGTAACCTCCAATTCTGATGTTCTTGTGGTTGATATGGTTGGTGGCCTTCTTACTGGTGCTGTGGCTGAACGCTTAGGAGGTTTGCAATGATTTTTATTTTCTTGGGGCCCATAGAAATTGAGGAGTGCTAACCAGTTGTAGATTTGTGAAAGAATCACAAAAGGATCATATTCTGAAATTTTCTTATCCACTATATATTGGTTTCTTATGCTAGTGGTTGTGATTATTTCACGCAGATTAGAGCAAATTTTTTGTATGCCCTCTGTTTTCTGATAACCTTTCATCTACAGGTACAGGTTATGTTTGCAATACTTCTCTTGGAGATTCACCGTATCCTATGGATATAGTGAGGATATTTAACTTCTGTAATCAAATTTGCAAGAGGTACATCTCTCTTTGAGCTTTATTATATTCCTTAGTGGTGCTGCTTGAGAACATATTTATGGTTCCTCTCAATTAAAGCTGCTGAGTTTATGTTGGAAATTGTTTTAAAGCAGGGCCGGTGGAAAGAATTCAGTTTGCATAAATATATGCTTAGATTTTCAATTTTTATTTTTATTTTTATTTTTATTTTTTGTTTCTTGTTGCATTTTATGGGTTACCTATGAGTAGAATGACTATATTTGTGCTAGCTTTGGCTTGTGTTATGGAAAATGAATTGGTTACTCTCTCTTCTTCTTCCGTTTTCCCTTTGTCCCTTTTTCTAATAGAGAAGTGTCTTGTAACAGTTCTTATGTCTTTTCTTGGTTCAGGATTGTGCGGGCTTCTCTGACTGATTTTAGTCTATCTCAAAATGAAACTTCCGAGCAAAGTGACCAGAATGAACACGTGTGTAATATGGATATCCAGTCAAACTTGAGTCTCTTATTGTTTGCATGGGTTTCAATTTTCAGTTGTCTGATTTTATTGGGGTCCTGATTTGTTCAGGAGCGAGTTTCTTCATCAGTTATCATGGAAGATGTATCTTTTCCTTCTGAAAATGGGGTTTCTGATCTTAATTCTGAGGCTACTCTTTCTCCTGTGAACAAGGTTTGCAAATCCCCAAAAGCCGGGGAGAAGGCATCACAAGAAGCCTTTAAGTTGTGGAAAGAAAATGGTTTTTCCAGGTAGCTATGGTTGTTGATGATTGATTTATTAATCTAAAGAAGCATGTGCTCTTTTCTTACTTTGAAAATCTTTTTGCAGCCTAATAATTGCTGCGCCGGAGCTTGATTCATGGAGCTTAGTTAAAGATCTCCTGCCACTTTTATCATATTCAGCTCCTTTTGCAATCTATCACCAGTATCTGCAGGTTATTTGCTTAAATGTGACTTCTATTTCAAAGTAGATAGTCCCATTCTTTTTTTTTTTTTTTAAAAATGAAGCTCTAGAACAGTAATACTGATGCGTGGACAATAATTGTGGTTAACTTGATCTACTAAATTTGTACTCTAAATGATTTGAACTGAGTTCTAAAAATTTCAGGTGTACACATTTTAAATATGATGAGGTCAACGTTTCACCTTGAATCTTTTGCTATATTCTGTCTTTAAATATGTTCTTCTCGCTTCTGCACCATGCACATGCATTAATTTCTCATGACCTATATATATATATAATGTTGCCTTTCTGTATTTTATGTAGTTATTTTCGGTATTTCTTGTGGGTCAAATTTAAATGGATTGGCATTCATTTATTGAGCATGCCTTCATATTTTTTTTTTTTCAACCGCAGCCTCTTGCAACATGCATGCACAATCTACAGGTTGGGAAAATGGCAATTGGTTTGCAAATTTCAGAACCTTGGCTTCGTGAATATCAGGTTCCTTTTTTCTGCTTTATTTGAGTAACTTATTTTTCTCTTACTAAAACATTTTATGGTAGAATGTTCTTGGGGCTATAGATTTAGAACTCACCAATTTTGAAAAGTTGTCAACGTTATGCAGATGTTATTGAAAACCTTTGACTCTTTCCATAGAATGTTTCTTCTGCAAGAGGGGTTAGGCTTGAAAAGAAAAGAATATTTGAGAAATAAATCAATAGACCTATCATTAATTGGCCAACAGCATGTCAGCAGCAGTTTTCATGTTTTTGTAATTTTATCTCACTTGAGATTCCATGGTTTAATGTAGTTTTGCATGGAGAAGTAGAAATGATTAGCATTTATTTGTTTGATAAGGAGGTGATGTGATAAATTGCAGGTTCTTCCATCAAGAACTCATCCATGCATGCAGATGAGTGGATTTGGAGGGTACATTCTGAGTGGGACTAGGTTATGTAGCAGCTGATAATAATACCAGTTCCAAGGCAACAATTGAGAATGTACACTAGGTCTAGCATACCATTTGTTTCGATTAACATTATTTATGTTTCTAAATCGGCAACTCCCAAGTGGCAGGGGCATGCAGCTTGTAATTTCTTTTTCATTTGATAAAAATAACAACTCAAGTTTAATTTTATTTTTTCAAAGAAGTCATTGCTCAACCATGTTTTTAATTTTTTGAGTATTATATCGGCACTCTGCTATAGGCATACACAGTTTATTATCATTATAATTTGAAATTGGAGAGTTTAATAATTTAAAAAAAAATTAAGAATTTATACCATCCGAAAACAGTAAAATTGGAGGGAAACTAAATATTTGGGCCCAGTAGAGTTAGAGTAATCCTTTTGGGCCTAAATTTGATTGACATAAAAATCAAAAATGTTTTGTACGACAGAGGGAGAGGAGGAAGTAGTGACGCTGTGACAGGACAGCCAGAAGGTGGGCCGTCAGCATTCGAACTCAACTCACCGCTTCCACTGCGCGGTTTATTCACGCTCCCTTCATTATCTTTTAGTTTCACTCTATTGCCGCCCCTCTTCAATCTCCCTCCCATCTATAAATCAAATCTCGTATTCTATTTCCCTCTCAAACCTCTTTACTCTCACACACAGTAATTCTAATTGTAATGGCGAACTCCAGCGAAGATCCGACCCGACCCTATCACCACTCTCAATTTCAATTTCAGTTACTTAAGTCAAATCCTCACCATCACACTCTTTCGTCCTCTTCTTTTGCTACTAATCCACTCTACCATTCCTTCCTTGGCAGGCTTCCCTTTCCTTCAAATCACTCTCCTCACAATAATACTAATAATACTATCATCAATCATTCTTCTCATATTACTAATAATATTAATCACAGGGACGACACACATTCCGCTTTTGCTAGGCTTGCGGTGAGTTAAATAATCAGTTCTCTGCATGTGACACTTGTTTGTTATTGTTGTCGACATTATTGTTTTTGGCTTTTCATAATTTGAATTCTAGGTTTTTTTTTTTTTTTTTTTTTATTTTGACTATTAAATATCTATCTATATTTTTTCATGACTTGCTACCTTAGGTTATGTTCTTGTTTACTGAGTAGCTTATCATTTATGATTATGATCATTTGTTTCCAAATTGTATTTTATATTTTAGGTGGGTTTTATATTTCTGTACTTTTGTGCATGTATAATAAATTTATTATTACTTTATAATTTTTCCTGGCTTCATTGCTCACTTGAGGAAGGAAATTATATTGACAAATTGGATTTCTATTGTTACTTATCATGTGATATATGAAAGAGGGGTTTTATTTGTTTGTGATGCAGTTGCTGTTTGGAGAATGAAACGTGTTTATTCTGTAAAACAAAATAAGGACCCACTGTTATTTTATAATTATTACTCAAAATCATATGGGTTTGGATTCTTTCCCAATGTTCAGTAATTATGGCTATACTCAGGGTTATATGATGGTACAGTGATGATCCATTCACTAGTATATCTCACATGAGAATTGAAGCTAATTTTTAGTTTGTAACAAGAGATTTGAAAAGCTCATTGTTCCTTTCCATTCTTATTTTATAGTGCTAGCTTCAATAAGGTTTAAATTCTGTACAACTGGATAATGTCAGTTGCTTATTCCGATACTATTGGACATTAGAATAATCTTGAATTATCTTGATTCAAATTGAACTACCCTCAAAATTTTGTTCTTAAGATTTTGTAACATTTTTTTATGCTTAAGCTGTGCTTAAAGGATATCATAGGAAAGAACTGAAAACTTCTGAATTAGGATACTGCTTTTGAATTGACGGTGACTTTTGAGTATTTGGCTGTGGCTGGTGTTGCAAGTGGCAGGCTTGATTTCCACTTTAATTAGCTTTGGTTTCATCTTATAGAGTTTTGATCTGGGCTTATGCAAAGCGGCAGATTTTATTTTTTACAATCATTACTAAAAGAATTGACTTGGTGGATTCATTATCGTCTTGTATAATTAATCTATTTATTTTTCTATGACCTTTGTTGTATTTATTGTGAATGCTTTAATGATATTTGCAGTTGAAGCAAACAAATGAATCAGGCAAATGTTTGATTCAGACCACTGGACAAGCAGCCACTCCTCGACGTAGAAAAGTAGTCAATGATCCTTTGCTAGAACCCGAATCTTGTATAGGTGGTAAAATTAATAGCAAGTCAAAGGTTTTAAAACATACAAAGTCTGTGACTCAAAGACCGAATGTTGGTAATGCCCTTCGTCTCCATTTACTTGCTTACCATTGCATATGTCAATATGTTGAGCCATTATGATTGATAGGTATGCTGACCTTTATATTGTCCCTCCTTTCATTGCCAGAGGCTCCTAGTGGTTGGAATCCAGCTAATAGTTGCCGATATGACAGTTCTTTAGGTAAGTTTAGCTCAATTATAGTCTGTTTGAGTTACTTCTTGGTTCTATCTCACTCGTGCATAAAAGCATGGACATTTATGCATTCATTTGGTGTGTGTTGTGGAATAGTTAGTTTCAACTATGAGATGGCAATTGTATATGTGTATGAGGGTTTACTGTGTTGTTTCTCGTGATAGGCCTGTTAACAAGGAAATTCATCAATTTGATTCATGAGGCTAAAGATGGCACCCTTGATCTGAACCGGACTGCAGAAGTGTTGGAGGTATAAACCTTACATTCTAACAATTCCCTTGAAAGTTTTAATCACCTAGTAATGGTTGTGAATTTTTTTCTCCGAATACAATCAGTGTTGTAATCATAGTTGACGCAATTTTTACCCATATGTTAGATAAGTGTTTCCCAGCCATAATTTGATCTAGTGGCATGTCTTGTTATGACTAATTTTCTTTCTGTTTGTATGTGTTGTATTAATTTTCTGATTTTCAACAGGTCCAAAAGAGGAGGATATATGATATAACTAATGTCCTTGAAGGAATTGGATTGATAGAGAAAACTTCAAAGAATCACATACGCTGGAAGTAATTATATTGATATTTTTTTATTACCTTTTTTTGAACTTATAAACGTATTGTGACCAATGGGCCTCATAAACAGGGGATCTGATAGTTTAGGGCCAAAGGAGTTGGATGATCAAGTTGCTACATTGAAGGTGAAAATTTTGATTTGGATTTCTTTTATGTTGATATTTATCTCTCATTTGCTGAATTTTGTGAAGGAACTTTTATGTTGGTTGATAAGCATCTCAGCTTCTTGCGTTGTATGGTTTGCTTTGTGATCCGGATCAGTTCTCTGTCACCTTTGCCTATGCATAACATGCTGACTTCATAGAAATTCTCACATCGGTTATCATTGTAACTTAATTTTGTTTATGGCTTGGCTGTTTTGGTGTTCAATGGCAGATGTTTTGTTCGAGCTGCGCAAACTAGTTTGCACACTAACAGGATTAATAGACATAATCTAGAAGATTCATTTCTTCATTGTGCTAATAGGAACTGGCATTAAATGTAGGTTTAGGTTGTTGTCATAATAGTCATCTGAAGATTTACATAAAAAAAGATTGATTAATGAGTGTTATAGATAAGAAGTGATATCAAAGAGTAAGATATGGTTAGGCTCCTTTTAATTGATTATAATTGATAAAAGAAGGAACAACAATGATTTTGGTTCAGTGAAATTTGAGCTTCCTGCTTGTTGGAAGAAGCACGTTACTGTAATTTGTCTTTCTGTTTACCTATTATGCTCGGTTCATGACAGGCTGAGGTTGAAAGTTTATATGCTGAAGAATGCAGGATTGATGATTGCATAAGGTCAGTTAACTATGACTTTTTCCAACTTGTCAGTCTATTTTTTATCTGTCTCATGTATTGAGCTGTCATGTGCTTTCTTCAGGGAAAAGCAAGAGCTTCTGAGGGTCTTGGAGGAAAATGAGAATCATCAAAAGTATATATTTCTGTTGTTTAAGTTGTATCGAGAATAAAATTTGGTTCCACATAATAGTTTTCCTGTTGGTCTCTCTTTTTCTGATTGTATAATTTACAAACTTGTACTTAGGTACTTATTTTTGACAGAGGAAGATATTGCCAGTCTTCCATGCTTCCAGGTAATTTCTCTGTAAATTTCAGAATTTCCTTGAGATCTTTATTTTAGCTGATGGTCTCTTGAACAAAAGTCTGGTATTGCTATTTTTGTCACAGAATGAGACACTGATTGCAGTTAAAGCTCCTCAAGCAAGCTATATTGAAGTTTCTGATCCTGATGAGGTGTGTGGAGTGATTTGGTCTGAATTATTTGAATTGTATTTTTATCTGATTGCTTGATTATTATCATGAGCAGGATATTGGTTTTCCCAAAAGTCAATACAAAATGATTGTTAGAAGTACCACAGGGCCAATTGATTTGTACCTTCTGAGGTATTCTTATTTTTCTTGTAATCAAGCATGCATAATTTATATGGCTCTCTCTCTCTCTAAAGTACACTAATGTGGGCTATTGTGGGTCTTAATTAGTTTTAGGTGATGAGTTTTCATGGTTATGACACATTATGTTGGTTTCTTTCTTTCTTTATTTTTTTCATTTTTTTGTACATGCTTGTATTGCCTTTCATCTTCTTAACAGCTATTTTTATGGTGATTGCAGCAAATACCAAAGTCAAGGTGATAGGGTAACTGTTGAGCAGGCCCAATCAGCAAATCCGTCTACTTGGAACTGTGGCCCATGCGGAGTGCAAAACGTTGGGCTGTCTCTGGAACGTGAGGATAATTGGAAAAGTTGCGAAACATTCAGCTCAATGAGCTCAGAGGCATCTGGGATTCAGAAGATAATTCTTTCAGACTGCGATGTAAGTATATATGGAAACTTCAATAGTGTCTCTCCTACAATTTGTTTATTTTGTTTAATTTTCCATGGTCTTCAAATCAAAGGAACTTGACCTAAGTTGTGTGCGTCTGAAATGTTGCAGATTGATGATGATTATTGGTTCAGCTCAGATCCTGAAGTCAGCGTTACAAATTTGTGGAGCAACTAATACATTTAACTTTGAATGACTGGATCACGATTACTGGAACATGCTGGATCTGGTCTTGCACTAAGGTCAGCTTTAAGGTTAATTTTACCCTATTTAACCGTCAGGAAAATGTATATATTTACCATATACTTTCTCTACAGCTTACAGTAAATGAACTCTGGACAAAGGAAGGTGACCTCCTTGGCGATGACTCTGCACTGGCTCAGCTACAAGCATCATTAAATGGACATTGGTACTGGTAAATGAGAAGCAAAGTCCTTGTTACTCAAGGTTGACAAAATATTATTACGTTTCCATTATATTTTGAACTGTAAATTTTGTAGCTAGATTTTTCTTTTTCTTCCTTTAACTCAATTAGAGTAATAACTAATGAGTAAGTTTAGAAAGATGTGGGGAAGTGTGGAACGTCGTTCCTCTCTCATGTCCAACAAGTTTGCTAGTTCCTTTATATTAATAATCCTGGCATCTGTTTTCGATCATGAAGATGTAGGCAAGATATCTGGTGAGAGGTTTGAATAATTTATAAAGATAACAGATTCTTTGTAATAAGGTTTTGGTAAATGTAACCTTGTTGATGAGTTCTTCCAGTTTGCTTTATATTTTGCTTCCGTCCAATTTCATCACAAACATGTTCATTCAGATACCGGTAAACCTATCATCAAACATCAATGGAGGACGCACCAGCATCACCGCCGGCTCGATGTTAGCAATGAGTAATTTATAATTTTATATAAATGCTTTCACAATGTGCATTCACCATTAATATAAAACATGTATTTGTATAATTCCATTTCCATATAGGAATTAATTCAGAGCATTGTGGTTTTTAATTTTCATTTGGCAACAAGTTGATATATAATAAAGGGTAAATCCCCTCCATTCCTAATTCGTATTTTATTTTGATATTCCACCAACTACCAAAACAACTAGATAAATATCATACAGTAATTGTATACCTAATAATTTAAAATACCCAGAAAAAATGAAGAAATTTTGAAAAATTTCCAATTCGGTGGACTCCCGAGCAAACTACCGTATTGGGTGGGTAGTCTTCTTATCCATTGTGGCGTCATTCATATCATCGACTTTTATACATCTCACTATCACAATTTAATAAAGTTAGTTAATTTCTTATCTATGATGATAACTTGTTCGTAATCATGTCGTATATCTAATTCCACTTTTTAGAAACAGTTAACGCAGAGTACTCATTTGTAACAGTTGACTCAGAACACTGCCCACTTACATAATCTGTTAACGCTTGTGTGTTATTTAAGGATATATTTCACCTACTTGATGAATTTGGTGGCACCCAGCTCTCACCAACCCACCATCCCTTTTCTTCCATTTCATCTTCAAAAAATTAAGCAACCAATGAAATAGAAACTAAATACGACAACAAATTTACATCAATGTCTATTACAGTAATACAATACCCCTATTATCCACCTACGGATTAAATTCAAAATAGTTGAAACTGAGTGTTTGGTTGTTTAATGGTTTGATGCAGAACGGTTTCTCAATCCATTACGTGTTACCCGCCGAATGGTTTCTTCCATGACAGTCTCCTTCCGAGGAGGATTCGCATTTTCATCTGCTGCAGAAGACACCGGATCCACCTGCATTGCTTCTTGTTCAGTTGGCATACTCTGGCTGGTACTTTCTGCTGCAGAATTTGCCTTTTGAGCATTCGAGGCTGCAGAATTTGCTTTTTGAGCGTTTGAGGCTGCTGAATTTGCTTTCTGAGCATTGGAGGCTGCTGAATTTGCTTTTTGAGCATTTGAGGCTGCTGAATTTGCTTTCTGAGCATTGGAGGATGCTGAATTTGCTTTTTGAGCATTTGAGGCTGCTGAATTTGCTTTCTGAGCATTGGAGGATGCTGAATTAGCCTTTTGAGTGTTTGAGGTAGCAGTATTGGCCTTCTGGGAATTTGCTCTTGCAGGAGGAGCTGCTTGAGGCACTTGTGACGGACCCACCTCTTCAGCTACTTCCTCTTGGTGCTGACTTGACGACGTACTAGAAGTTGGAGATGGTGGTTCTTCAGTCGCTGGTTGAGTTGCAGTAGCTGGTTGGCGGTTGGGAGCAGTAGGTTGGCGAGCCCTGGCACCTTGTTGTGACTGAAATGTCAAAGTACAAGATCAATTGCGACAGAATAGTGGCTAATATTATTCAAACATTACATCTTCCCAAACCATCAATATGCAAATACAAAGTAATAATCATGCAAATAAATATGTCCTCTGGTAGGCCCAATGTCAAGGTCCTGAGAGAAGTAGCAATTAGTTTAGTTAAACTATGACCTAGGGGAAACATATCAGGTGCTATTAAATAAACTACTGTGATTTTTGTTAAACCACTTCTTAATTAGGATGCTGCGCCTGATAACAGACCCTATTTTCACATTGATCTAAAAATTACTGACAATACAAATCCACTCAGCCAGTTTATGGACATAGATCTCAACAGTTCTAAATCCAAATTTGTAAGGGCTCCTCAGTCAATCTGAGCAGAAGATCAGAGCAAGTATTTCATCCCAGTGCTACAACTGCCAGCAAGCCATTAATTAATAACAAACCACCAAATTTCAGCTCATCATCACATTGATTCTTTAGTTACATCAATAGTGTCTGTCAATTATCACAAGTCTACTCTAAATAGCATGGCAGTTTTTTCCCCAAACTTTTTGGTTAGAACCTCACATGATACATTAACCAGAAATATCAATGGAAGGAGGCCACCATGATCATCACATGATGCCTGCAACCAGGTGCAGCCAAACAGTCAAAGATTCACAAGAATATTGTCTTCATTTATCTAGAAAATACCCAAAAAAAATCAGGCCTTTGCACAACATATGTCTAGAGAAAAAAACTACCACAAGATGATAAAATAAAACAAGATGGTAAGTCTAGTAAATGCTAAATAGTAATGTCAAAAGATGGTGTAATTAGCTCTATACCCTTTTCAGCCTTGATACATACCTGGGCAGGGCGAGGCCTTGGTGTCGACTGTGAGGCAACATACTGCAAAATTTCAAAAACTCTTGTCTGTCCATAGCTTGCAGCTCTTTGCCAATATAAAATTGCCATATCTCCAGCTCTAGTCCTCAGTTCCAACAAATTACGATCAATTTCATTCTCATGCTTCGCAACATATGGTCTAAAGAAGGAATCATATACATAAGTAGTTCCCTGACCCAAGTAAAAGATTATTGGAAATTAGAAACTATGAACCAATATAATTGTAACCATATCATTACACATGAAATAAGTATTGTAATTCTGCCCAATAAATTTACATACTTTTGTTTTAGGGTACCACAGATATATAAAGAATGCTAACTTTGCTTCACTGTACATAGGAACCCTTCAAGAAACCAAGATAGACAAACAGAATAAGAAAAAAAAAAATTAGACACATTTAAGCACAAAGTATTGACACCATATTCAAATTAAGATTCCCTACCATGAAATAAAGGCATCACCAATTCTCTCACAAACTGACAAAACTGCAACCAAAATCCTGTAATCCAAAAGCAAAACATATATATATATATACACACGCATCACAAAGCATTAAAAATATTTGCATAACACAAAATAAGAAACGGCAGTTTTCATTATACCAATACTGGCACCAAAAGCGAAGTTGCTCAATCTCTGGCTTATTCATCTCCACAGTTTTGTAGCACTCATATGCGGGATAAGCGTAGCCAAAAGCCATCCTGCAAGCATATTTAAAGAATTCCAGTATCAACAAAAATAACAAAATCATTCCAAGAAAAATCAAAATGAGTAAGTAAGTTGCCAGCAACGTACACTAGTCCTCTTGTAAGAAACGATCCAATCATTTTCCACCGACAATATTAATCTGAAACCTAAGAACTGACGGATAACACAAAGAAAGACAAACATTAATAATTAGATTAATAACTAAGGAAAATGCTGATCAAAATTGCTTCAGTTCAACTTAATTTTGCCAAACAGAATAGTAATTCAACAATACTCAAAATCAGATTTTTATAAGAGTAATCAACAACTAATTCAGAATTTTATACAAGTGAGAATACAATGTACCAAAATAATCGAATAATACTCCGCTGAACCTCACATTAGTGCAGTTCAAACCTCGAGAAACTAACTAATGCCTTAGAAGTTACTCAAAAGTCAAAACCACCGAACAAACAAAAATAAAAAGATTATCCACTATGACAATCCCACTGATATTCTTTTGAAACGAATTCGTTATCAGTGAAGAAATAAACCGAGTAAAGAGTGAATGAGAGATCGATTATTACCGTTCAACGACTCTTATATCGGAAATAATACGAAGAAAACAAAACAAAAAATTTGAGAAAGGAAACAAAAGTTAGTTTCAGAGGATGAGAGAGATCAGAAAAAAGCGGAGGAGTTAGAAAAGATAGACAGCGTAACGAGCAATCGGCGCCGCCGAAATGCTATGGCTAGCCGTTACGAAGTCGGCGGTGAAAGAGATTGAGAGAGAAAAGAGAGTTATAGCAGCGGTCGTTTTTTTTTAAAATTCATTTCTCTTTTGTTTTTTCTCTTTTATCTCTCACACTCCCTCTTTTTCTTTGGTTTTTCTTGCGGCTTATTAGCGTTTATAAACACGCTTAAAATCTTATTTTGAGTTCCGAAAGAGAAAGGTTTTTGTGCGGTTCGAACAACAGACTGGTGTGAATATTAGAGTTTAATCACCGTTAAAAATTTAACAGGCGGATCACCTTCACAAGGCTTAACAGGTGTAACTTTTCTGTGGTCCAGGATATTCCTGCTCTAATTTGTATTTAAAATTTTCTTTTATCTTGTTACGTGTAAAATGTTTTCCAAGACAACAAAGTTTGCCACCTGTGAGGTACAGTGCTATTTAAAGCATATCTAATTTACAGGTTTATCCCTACAATTGAAAAGGATAATGTCTGACTTTTCAAATTTTGTTGGCATTATTGTAAAATTAGCAGTAACAGTGACCTAATGTACTCGAATCATCTGTTAAAGTCTGTATCTAATCGTTACGGTATAATGGTAATGGATAACGAGAGAGATTATTTTTCGTAATAGTCCCTCAAAAGTGTATAATTACACATGTGGACTAGAGAAAGAAATGATATTATTATATATCCACAACATTTTTGAAATATGATTTGAAGTCCATTTATGCTATAGGCTTAGGCTTCTTTTTAATGTCTTTTGGGATGGAGTCCCACTCTCTAAATAAAATCCACATCTTTGCTTTAGCTTTACTCTGACAGGACGCCCTACAGAATAATTTGCCTACTTTAATTTGCAGACAACAGGCTGATGAAACTTCTAAAAGGAGGGTCTCAGGCTGAGTAGGTTACAATTTTACTGCACAACTTTTGCTCCTAAATGAGGTTAAATATCTGGTACTGAAACAGCTCAAATATTATCAACTTGTAAAAGGAAGGTACAAATCTGACTGCACAACTTTTGGTTCTAAATGAGGTTAAGTTTCTGGTAGTGAAACAAGCTTAAATATCATGAATAATCAATACACAGCTATAGCTATTGATAACATGTGGCTTTTAATTTTAACGTTGTATAGGAAACTGTATTATGTGTCTTTTAGCGTCATCCCCCACCCCCACCCCCACCCCCACCAGTAGATTAAGCAACTGGTAGTCATTAATTAACCATGGGTGAAACATGTTATGATTAAGGGTCCACTCATTTTATCGCTTTATTCTTGAGTAATTAAGAGCAATAATATCCACAGCAAAAGGAGTACAATAATTAGGATAAATGTGGGTGCTAATGGTTATTACCTTAAAGTTATCCGGCTAATAATTAATAATGTTGATTCTGAATTTGAGTTGCAGGCAGATGTGGGAACCAACAGAGAGGACGGTGGAACTGGGTGCTATATATTATATCACTTTATCACGATTCATAAACCTTGGGGAAGCTAAAACCTTCTGTTAGTAATTAAGAATTATGCATGATAGAATTAGGAAGATGTATTGGAACACATTACAGCTTCTTCTTCGAACAACTACTAGTCTTGAGAGAGATCAATATGATGAGTAGGTTTTCATGTGTGTTGTGTAAATAACAAGGAAACTAGAAAGTTAAAAAGAAAAGGAAGCATATATCCATGTGGTGCGGGAAGGTTCCAAAGCTTTGGATTCTACGTTTCACAACTGCTGGTCCATTCCACATCAGGAGACAAGCGCCCAATGTAATTGAACAGGTTTCAAAGGCCCTTATCTTATCTCACGTGCTCTCAATTATGTCTGTTTGGTGCCCTGTCACTCTCAATCTTTCGTCCCTCTTTCTCTCCAAGAAATTTTGGTGTTAATTTCACCATTTCCACATTCACTGTGTCTGTTTACCAAGTCTATATTATATAGGGAGACGTTGTGGAATAGATCCGTTGGTTCGGTTCCTAATGATTAGTCCACTGCTCAATTAACATATACGTTGCTGGCTAATTATAACCCTCCATGGCATTTTTTTGTGATTCAATTGAGTTGTTCCCACAAAAAGGTTAAAACAGATGGGGATTTTGTTGATCAAAGCAACAAGGGCCTCTTCATCAATTTGGGCAGAGAAAGCCTTGGGCCTCTTGCTGGGTTGATTCAAGTCCAAAAACGAGAAAGTTGAGAGCCAAGTCAGGTGTTTGTGATACACAACACAACTCACCAACTCTCTCTCTCTCTAAAGTCTAAAGCTTGACATCCACATATCTAAATAGACAGGAGGCTGTTCCTGTTGGCCTTCTGCCTCCAAAACACATTTCAACTGAAATTATAGAAAAAATGTCAATACAACCTTCTGTTACTTGTCTTCATTCTCCATTTCTTTGTTGTCCTCTCAAGCTTTCTTCACATTCCACTGCTTCTTTATCTGCGAGAAACCGACTGTCACCACCGTCTTATCCACGCATTAGAGCTATCGATCTTGATCAAAACACGGTCCGTTCCGTCCTTCTCGTAGTCTTTTTTGTTTTTAATGATAAATTTGATGAACTTAAAATGTAAGAGTACGTAATTTACATTAACATATCCAGGTAGTGGCTATATCAGTTGGGTTTGTGAGTATCGCTGTTGGGATTGGTATTCCAGTTTTTTATGAAACCCAAATCGACAATGCTGTAAGTTGTTCGTTCAAGATTAATCATTTGGTGGTTTTTAATTTTTTCTGAAGTTTTAAACTTCGACCAATTTTCCAATTGGTTGCAGGCCAAGCGAGAAAATACTCAGCCATGCTTCCCCTGCAATGGTTCCGGTGCTCGTAAGTAACTCTCCCTTCTTGAGATTCTCATGGGTGGCCATGTCTTGCTCATTAAATTTTTGTAATTCGGAATAGCTGTCACAATTTTTTTTTTTTCCCTTCTTGAGTAATTGCCAAATGATTTACCTGAATGATTTCTTTGATAACTGAGCTTTAACTTTTCTAGTTGTCACAATTAATGTCACCCATTTTATATGTATTTGCTACTTTTTGCTCAGTCGGTCTTCAACTCTTGTTAGTTACTACATTGTGCGGCTGTTTGCTTACACTTCTAAAACTCTATATATACCAATGAAAGCTTTATGATCATGCTTTGTAAGGATACAAGGTTGTGGACGCAGAAGCAGCAACTCTTGTGTGTTGCATGTTTGCGTGTAGTTTCTTCTGTCTTATTTTATAGACAAACTTAAGTAATTGTCTCCTTCCATGTCATATACATATCTCTATAATCATTGTTATCATTATATATCCAATTATTAGCCTTGTCCATGGTTTAAGTTCCTCAGCCAGCCCTGAGGTGCACTAGCTAGATTTCTTGAATTCCATTGTGCAATTTAGTTAGCATATACTTAACAAAGGTTGAATTACCAGTTTACATTGAGAACACCCCTTGCAGAGATAACTTACCAATGTGGCTGTGGCAAATCCACTTCGCTTTCTGTAATTTTATTTTAAATTTTACATGGCTTATTTGTTTCCCAGCAACTAATATTCATAAGCTGTCAAATAATCAAATAGTAACTATAAGAAGCTTTCATATGGAGTTCATAGAGATCACTTAGTGTGATAGTTTTATGTGAATATGTGATATTCATCTATTGGACTTTTGAGGGCAGTTTTTCTCCTTTTCCATAAAAATAGAGTGCTATTTCCCAATCATATGCTTGTTTTACAGGGTATATAGCTGTCACATGGAAATGGAATAGATCCTTTAAAATTTGCATGGATTTTAAGGCATGAATCAATCATATAAAAGAGTAGCATCCATGAATCAGAAGCCTTACGAAATTTGACATTACATAACCTTTTTCCTTAATTTCATGAAATTGTTTCTTCTCAAGTTTTAGGTACTAGCTGTGACATTTTATTCAACATTTTTAATTTGCCAATGAAATTCTATATGAAGCAAAATGGACAATTATTTTTCATGGTGTATTGAGAGTTGTCGCTAGGGCTTCCCTTATTATTATATTGTGGGTATGATATTCACCATCTGAAAACTTAATTTGGTGGTTTAGAGAGATGCAGATTTTGTATGGGAAGCGGCAATGTTACTGTGGAGCTAGGTGGGGATGAAAAAGAAGTATCACGGTGCATTAATTGTGATGGTGCAGGTTCTTTGACATGCACCACTTGTCAAGGCTCTGGAATTCAACCTCGATATCTTGATCGCAGGTATGAGTTTCTTGTAGTGTTAGTGTTTTTCTGTACAATCATTCAAGAATAATACATAAAGTTATTACAATGGACTTTGTTTGAAGATCGTCTGGATTATAATTTGCTTATTTATCCCTAGAATTCAATATTTGTTTTTTGTTACTTGTGATACTTTTGGAGACAATCAAGATTCAAGTGTTACATGAGATCTTACTATTGACAAAAAGGGGAAAATAAGACAATTATTTGTAGCATATTGCTAATAAGAGTGTCTGTTTCTATTATACAGAGAATTCAAAGATGATGACTGAAGATCAACAAGAAAATGTTAGCCATGATTTTGGACTCTTGACTGCAAACAAAGGCCAAAGTTGAGGAAGGAGGAAAGATGAACAGATCCTTTTCTTTCTTCATTTTTTTTTTTCTGTAAACACACTATTTATTTATATGTATATTTTCTTTTCCTTTTTATGTCTTAATATGATGTACAAGTTGTGATTTGTGGTACAATTTTCCCTCTTTTTATACATACGCATACATATACATATATTTATATGTGTGTGTGTGTGCTTTTTTTCTTTTTTTTTTTTTTTTTTTTGATCTTAGCTGAGGAAAATAATACTAATTTTTGATGAATACATTGCCCGGTGGATTAAAAACAAAAAACGTTATTGTACTAAAGGGTTCCGCAAACCAAACCTCGGGACGAAATGGTATTTTCCTTTCCTGACCCAATCATGCCCTAATATTGATATCAATCTTCAGTTTACTACGCAAAACCCCTTTCCCTTACGGAGCGGCAAAAAGAGAAGAGAATGAATTTTTAAACCATACAAAAGACCTTTGCTACAATTCTCTTTCCCCGCGAGTTGGTAACTTCTGGACGTAGCATTTCATCAACAGTTTCAAACTCCTGAGCGATTTTTCGATCTCTCTTGTCCTCTGAATTGACTTGCGTCTTCCCTTTTTTTTTTTTTTTTTTTCCTTTTCTTCGTTTCATTTGAGTTAGTAAAGTAGGGAGGAGTTAGGGTTTAGCAGAGACGAGAAAGATGTTATACATAATAGGTCTTGGACTGGGTGACGAGAAAGACATAACTTTAAGAGGTTTAGAAGCAGTGAGAAAATGCGAGAAGGTTTATATTGAAGCCTACACTTCTCTTCTCTCTTTTGGTCTTTCTACGGATGGAATTTCCACTCTGGTATTTTCAAATTTCACTTTACTTTCACTTTTAACTTTTTTATTGTTTCCTCTGAACCCCTAAACTTGTTTCTTTGGTCAGGAAAAGCTATATGAAACTCCAGTTACCGTGGCTGATAGAGAGATGGTAGAAGAGAAGGCTGATGCTATTCTCTCTGAAGCTCGACTCTCTGACGTGGCTTTTCTGGTTGTTGGTGACCCTTTTGGGTATTCTCAATTGCTTTTCGTTTCCTCATTACTGGAATTTGTAATATTTTATTTTCTGGAGAGCTTGACAAATGCCTCAAGTAGCTGAATTATATTTTTCCTTCAATTTGAATTATGATCGTATTATAGTCATTTTTTTTTTTTGTGTTTTGGTGGAACTTGGTTTAAAGAATTATTTGGATCTTCTTTACTTAATATGGGGCTTGGCTCTTTGTATGTTATGGGTGTGTTTTCTTTATCAACTCTTGTTTTCTTGCTTTCACGAGCTTATAATTTGGTTTGGGATGCAGAGCGACAACACATAGTGATCTGGTTGTGCGAGCCAAGAAGTTGGGGGTTCAGGTCCAGGTCGTTTATAATGCATCAGTGATGAATGCAGTTGGAATTTGTGGTTTACAACTCTACCGTTATGGAGAGACAGTTTCAATTCCATTTTTTACTGAAACTTGGAGACCTGATAGCTTTTATGAGAAAATTCAGGGAAATCGTTCCCTTGGATTGCACACCCTGTGCTTGTTAGGTGAGATTATCTTCTGTTCTTTCCTATAAACTTGAAGGGTCTTTTATATGTTAGTAATAACATCAATGACTCACATCTTAAAGCTATTATTGTTTCTTCATGGGTCAACTCTTCCTTTCTGATCTGGTAAAGATAAAAATCATAAGTCTTATACATTTATAGTGCAAGCTTACAATTGTTTTTTTGTCATTACAGATATACGTGTCAAAGAACCTTCTTTTGAATCTTTGTGCAGGTCTGTATCGACTTTTAGCATAGAAGTATTAGACAATGCTTCTTATCATTCATACAGTTCTACATTCTACTGATTACATTTTTTGGTTTACCTGTTGAACTTCTTCAGGGGAAAGAAGCAGTATGAACCACCCAGATTTATGACAATCAACACTGCTATTGAGCAGCTTTTGGAGGTTGAGCAAATTAGAGGAGAATCTGGTAAGTATCATGAATTAAAATCTCCTTAATATTTTTATTAAAGATTGCTTTCTTAGGCTGAAGCTTTTGGTCTAATGAACAAGTTAGGTAAACTGTCTAGTGGGGCTGAAAATGTAAATGAATAGGATCATGATAGTCTTGTTAATAATTTTTTGTAATTTTATCTTTTGGTTATGTGAAAATATATCGAATATATCTACCATGAAAGATGCCTTGGATTCATTTGTTTAAATTGTTTTCCATTAATGTGTTCTCGAGTTGGGATCTGTTGTTTGGGTATCATATCCTCTGGATGTATGACAATCATATAATGTGAGCAAGGTATCTACCTTCTATTTTTCTCATCTGCCAAAATTATGGGTTGCATTGCAATTATATCTCAGATTTGCTGTGTTTAAAAATTTTAGTTCTAAAGTAGAAGAATACCAATCATTTGTACTAACTGTAGCATATTTGTTCCTTTTTTTTTTTGGAAGCATTCAACGAAGACACTGATTGTGTGGGGTTTGCTCGGCTTGGCAGTGAGGATCAGATGATTGTTGCTGGTACAATGAGGCAGCTTCAGAAGGTTGATTTTGGAGAACCTTTACATTGTCTAGTTATAGTAGGCAAGACCCATCCGGTGGAAGAAGAAATGTTAGATTTTTACAAGCTGAAAGATGATATTCATCCAAAAAATAATAATGAGGCTGCTTGATTTTTACCTGTAACAGGAGATGATACATATACACAAATGGATAGGTAAGTGCTGGCTACTTTCTGATTCTTATGTTTTAACTACTAGTGTTCTGTGCTTCTAAGAAATAGTCGAGAACCTCTCATTTTGTAGTTCAACTTACCCTTTGATGCAGGCCATTGCTCGTATTAAAAGTAGCAGGTATTGCAGGAAGTAGAATTTCTAATTTTTTGGGTGGAGGATCAAAGAATGGCAAAGAGGAAAATCGTATTTATCACTTTATGAGAAAAAATGTAAATATTCCTTTTATCATTCTTCTACTTTATAATTAGAGAGAAGGCCTGCAGCTGAATATCTGTGCAACGGCAGATCCTTTTTGTGCTAGTGTATCACAATTTTCTTTCTCGATGTAATTGGCTCTATAAAAGTTTTTGGATTCTGAGTTGTTTTCCGAGATTATTGTTTTTATTGAGTGACATTAGTAAATGATCTTTTATACTATTAAGTTTTGGTGGCATGAGTATAATGTTATACTTGTACATTCTGTAGGGCATATGTTATTGCTAATAATGAAGTGCAGTGGAAATAACTAAACAAAAAGGGTGTAAGACGTATCGTAAATGGAATGCTTGTTAACAGATTAACCTGCTACTGATGTTCTTTTTGGAGTAGCTAAGGACTTAATGGTATTATGATGTCATAAATGGTAATTCACTGAGTATATATATATATATATCTTAGCCTAGTAAAGTTACTAGGCTGAGATATGAAACTCTGATTGAATGGTAAAGAAAGTCAAAATTAAAATGCAGCTACAACTAGGGGTGCATACGAGCCGAGCCGAATAGTGGCTGGCTCGAGCTCGGCTCGAATGTATTAGGAGCAAGAGCTCGAGCTCGTTTAAAAAAATAAACTGCTCGAGCTCGAGCTTGGCTCGTTTAAAAAATAAATTTCTCGAGCTCGACTTGGCTATTTATAAGGATTTAACAAACGACGTCGTTTTGAACCCCTCTTCTTCTTCTTCCACCGCCCCTCCCACTAACTTCTCAGTCGAATCTGCTGAGACCAAAATCCGACTCCTCATCTCCACTCAATCATAATCTTCAGTCAATCTACGTCATGAGGAAACTACTCACCAACATCTGAGTCTACCCTACCGTCATCGAACTCGTCAGATCTCAGCTTTACCTCCGACCTCCTCTCCTACAGCACCTGGGTTAGTGGCCTTGACTCACGAGCTGAAATCTTACCGATCGATCTCATGAGCTCTCCTACTCGAATGACGAAACGAGTTCTTCGAACAGCTCACGAATAGTTTGAATCGAGCCCAAAAAGCTCGACATTTTTCACGAGCTTGAAGTTGAGCTCGAACTCGTGAAATACTCGTTCTCCGACGAGTCAAGTCCGAGCTCGTCACGAGTCGAATCCGAGTAGCTCATGAGCTACTTGGTTCGACTGCACCCCTAGCTGCGACACTACCAGTAAATGTGTTGGCACCCTTGATTGCCACTCCCATTAGCAAGTTGCTGTGACTTGTTGATAAAGAAATATATAGTAGTCCGCTCCAGAGTATTAGCTAATACTACCACTCCCATTAACAATTTACATTTTACATGGTCCAAAGGCCTTTTCAGTGTTGGACATTCGCATCTCACATACTCAGTTTATAAAAGCACAACTAAAAGTTTCAAAACTGCATGTTTGCGTATGTGCACTTGATATCATTGCTAACAAGTCCTGTCCAATAATCTTTGATGCCACAATATGAACAAACTAGCTATGCCGAAACTAAACTATTTCAAGATTTTTTACACTTCCAAAACGCCCAAACTCCGTCCACTAACTTAAACTACATGTGGTTATATTTTTACCACGCTTCCCTTGCAACCAGGTCAATCTTATTTTGTCACCTTTCAAAGATATAAAGGTTTCCCTTAAGTTGGGATCATCAAAGAGGTCCAAGGCTGCAAAGTAGAGTTGTTCATCAATGGCTTCCATCTCATCCAGTGCTTTAATGCAATTAGTTATACTAAATCTTTCATCAATCTGTGTTGTCATCCCTGTCCTCAACTTTGAAGCAGCAACCATCTCTAACATAGCTCCGGCCATGGCTTTAAGTATTTCTTGATCTCTTCTGCTTTGACCCAACGAAGTTCGTGTCTCAGATTGTTGTTTCCTTTTTCTCTCGGCTATATTCTTCGTCACCTTCTCTGGTGACAAAGCATTTCCTTGTATCAACCTTGAAGATGATGGATTCTTGGGATGTTGGGTTTCAGCCTCTGGGACTGAATTTAAGATCACATTATTATGCCCAAAAGATTTGTCAAATCCTTCAAAGTGACTTGATTGGGCATATTTCCCATCTGGTGAAGTATCAGTGAAAATTGCACATAGCTGCTCATATATTGGGCAGTCCTTGACTTTAATGGTGTCTGGTCTGGGCTGTGCCTGCAAAAACAATCTATCAGGACACAGAAAAATATTGTTTAAAAGAAAAAGAAGTCAAATCCCAGAAGTAAAGAAGTCACCGCAATGTCTTCCCACAGGTCAAATCCAATGCAACAAGAGTCCTCAATAGCAAAGTCGTTTGGATTATAAGCAGACTTCAGATTATAGTAGCGTGTCCGTAGAACATCTAGGTGCTTTCTCAATTGGTTGTTATTGAAGTTGAGTTCTGTTTGCCTGTTAAACTCATCACGAATATGATTCCACGTTTTCTTGTCGAAAACATTATTTGGTCTGTTTCCCAGTTTAATCTGCTTGACTACCAGGTTCGCAAATACCTTGTCCAGTGATGCCGTCCACCTTGTTCTTGAACGTTCTTGCTTGTGCTGTTGACTGGCTTCACTATCCATCCACAACTGCATAATACACATTTAGAAACCATGACATACAAGTAAAGCATGATAATTTTAGAACACCTAGCTAAAAAGCATCAACACAGTTTGCCTATCATACGCATGGTTTAAGGAAATCTAGCAAGCAACGATTGGATAGGTTGTAAAGACAACATCAGGTACCGGAGCAGAGAGTGCTTTGTTTCAATAACAAACTATCAGAACTTCAACAATATATATAAATTACATAATTGGCTGTAGGAAAAAAAATACATTTACCTATATATCTATATATTATACATAATTTCTTATCCACTCAAAAGCAAAAGGAAGTAACAATGAGAAAAGTTAGATATTAATGTATTAGAGATACTTATTAAACTTCATTACCTGTAGTTGATTTTCCACCCAGGTGATCTCTTTAGTTGGTGCATGTGAAATGTCAGTTGTGCTTCTACTCTGAAAATACACATCACAAAAACAAATAACTATTCCTTATCAACAATGTAACAATCTGGATAAAACCAAATAAACATGAGAAGCAAACAATCTTATTTCATTTGATCCATCAGATAACAATTGGATAAAAAAAACTCTGCAACCAAAAAATGCCAGAGAAAAAAAAAATAGAAACACACACATAGAGAGCGCGAAATATACCCAATTGCCCACAACTTTAAACCCTAAAAGGCTAAAACAAAAGACAAAGACAATACTAACCCAACAACAATCAAAAGCTACATCCTGCAAAAAATAGCTTCCATGCGGAAATAAGTCAACTTGATTTCATAAATGGTATATATACAGAAAATATACTCTCAAATCTCCGGTACAATCTACATACGGGGAAGATAAATATTTAAAAATGGCCGATTATAAGAAAGGAGTTTAATGATATGTTAAAAATCCTGAGAACGACATTGATGGATGTTGGTTTACCTGAACGGAGATTTTGCCGGGAACCGGAGAATGGCGAGAGAGGGGTGTTTGCCTCCAATCCCGTCTTTAACCAAAATAAAAAATAAAAAATATGTTTCGGTTAGTGAACAAACATTTTGCGCAAGCTTAAGTCAAGGAAACATGTCATTAGCTAATTGGGTGTTGCAATTGCACATATAATTGCACCATTTTTATGAAACTAATTAATACTATTAAATGGTAAGATAAATTTTGTTAGTGAAATCATTTTTGGGTTAAAGTAATGGTTTAATTAACATATTTAGAACATTTATTGTTTTACTTAATGGATTAAACAGTTATTAGTAATAAAAAATGATGACCAATGTAACGTTGAATTACTGAGATCTATATTCTAATACAACAATGTTACGGACACTGATACTGTGCACCAAATTGTTACACCGAATTACATGTCTCGTGATTCAGACCAGCCACGTATCCCATGAACTAATATTTTGAGAAGGAACGGTCGTTCATCACCTATGGACGGTCGTTCACTGTTATGGGACGCCCATCCAAAACTCAAGGACGACTGTCCATAACTGATGAACGGTCGCCCCTGAATTTTGTATACAATTGTATTTTTTTTTAATTTACAGAGTGGACGCCCATCCAAAACTCAGGGACGACCGTCTATAAATGATGAATGGGTGTCCCAATATTGTAAATTAAATAGTATTTTATTTAAAGTATGGACGGGCGTCCACATACCACTTTTTAGGGATGATCTTCCATAAACTAGAAACGCCCGTCCATACCAAGAAGTTTGATTTTCTAGAAGAGATTTGGGAGAAATGTGTCTTGCTGGATTTGGCCCAACTAATAACACGCGTATGGAGTTAATTTTAAGTTATGTTAAGTCAAAGAAGCTGAGAGAAGCTTTTGATATTATTCAGAGCATGAGGAAGTTCAAATTCAGGCCTGCTTTTTCAACTTACACAACTTTGATTGGTGCTCTTTCTGCAGTTCATGAATCTAATCTCATGCTTGCTCTCTTTCATCAAATGCAGGAGCTAGGTTATGAGGTTGATGTTCATCTGTTTACAACTCTTATCCGTGTTTTTGCCAAGGAGGGTCGTGTTGATGCTACTCTCTCCTTGTTGGATGAGATGAAGAGCAACTCTTTTCATGTTGACATTGTTCTTTATAATGTATGTATAGATTGTTTTGGTAAGGTAGGAAATGTGGATATTGCTGGAAAATCTTTCACGAGATGAAAGCAAATGGGCTAGCACCTGACGATGTAACTTATACCAATATGATAGGGGTTCTCTGCAAAGCTAACAGACTAGAGGAAGCTATGGAGTTGTTTGAGCAGATGGACCAAAATAGGAAAGTTCCATGTGTATATGCTTATAACACCAAGATCATGGGTTATGGCTCAACCGAAATGTTTAATGAAGCATACAGTTTACTTGAGAGGCAAAAGGCAAAGGGGTGCATACCAAGTCAAAGAAGTTGAGGGAAACTTCTTTAAGTATGAACGAGCATCCATTTTATGTAGACTCTCGTCCATAGTAAATGGACTCCCGTCTATATAATATGGACGGGAGTCCATCGTTCATTTCTTATGGAATGACGACCACATATAATGGACTCCCATCCAATAACAATGAACGACCATCCATAGGTGATGAACGACCATTCACTCGCAAAATATTGGTTCATGGGATACGTGGCTGATCTAAGTCATGGGACACATAATTCGGTGTAACAATTCGGTGCACAGTGTCAGTGCCTGTAGCATTGTTGATTCTAATATAAAGCTGAGGCAGAAACTATCTGATTGCCATTTTGAAGCTCTAGAGTTCTTTTATTTTGACATGGTGGAATAATGTTGGACATGTGGCCTCATGTAATTGGTAATGACGTGGTATTTTTACATTTTGCTGCACGTTATTGGTGACGATGTGGGATATTTGGATGAGTTGGATTTTTTGTTACATGTGGCTTATTAATGACACATATTAATAACTTTAATCATTGATGTTTCACATTCACATTAAATGCGTTTGTTTCCATAATTTTGCCTTTATCCTATTCCTATCATTTCCAAATACACCTTTATTTCCTTATTTTGAAAATACTATTATATTTTATTTAGTTATTTTTAAACCCTCTATGTTTGTTAATTTAACTAAACACCCCTCAAAAAAGTTTAAAAATTGATAAAAACACCCCCACCCACCCACATTTGTCAGATTTTGGCCACCACCCCCAGAAGGTGGTCGGAATCTGGTATAATGACGCACTACCGACTAGATCTGACCGATCGTGTGTCGATATAGTCTTTTTTGGCCATATCCATGGTGAATCTGGCCGAAAAAGGCTAAATCTACGGCCAAAGATCTAGTCGTTGATGGCCAGATCTTTGACCATAGTTAGTCCTTAACGACGGCCAAGATATGGCCGTCATTGACTATCAACGATGACCATATCTTTGGCCGTCGTTGACGACCAAACGCAGCCAGATCTAGCTGTCAATAGCCAGATCTAACCGTAGATCTGGTTGGAAAAGGCCATCTCGGTGCACGACCGGCCAGATCTAGCCGATTGTGCGCTAATACGGCTACTTCGACCACCCTTCAGTGGTGGTGGTTGACTGTCGGTATTTAATGGGTGGGTGGAAGTGTTTTTGTAATTTTCATGTTTTTATTATAGGGGTGTTTAGTAAATTAACAAACCTAAGGGGTGTTTTTGTTAATTTTCAAATCCTATCTCATTATTACCACCTAACTCTTACTTTTTCGAAATACTATCCAAAATACTAAAACAAATGCATTCATTTATATAGAGATAAATTTATGTGAATGTAAAGAGATTTATACGTTGTATGTGTTTGATATTAATGTGAAGGGTTAGAGATATTCATGTGAATATGAAGGTTTGATAAGTTTAATTTTTGATACATTGTATGTGTTATGGGATGCTGTTTATGTGGAATCAATATAAAAGGTTAGAGATATTAATGAGAATGTGAAGGGATTGATAAGTTGTATATTTCAAATGGATTGGAATCGTATATATTTGTAGATTTTTTTATGGTTTGGTATATTATTACCAGCAAGTAAAAGTGGTATAAGTATTCCATATTAAATGTGTATATATTTGATATCTTATGTTCATGCTGTTGTCAATATTTTTTCCCTAAAATTTGATGTAGGTATATTCGATTTGTGGGAGAAACGAAGTTGCTGTTCATAGTTGAGATATATATCCCATTAAAGGCAATAACTGTTTTTATTTTTTTATTGTGAGATACCACAATAATTGCACTTGATAGTTGTATATGTCAATTCATTCTAAATATTTTTTCCCTTAAATTTGATTGTAGCCGAACCATATCGAATAATTAGTCTACCCACAATTGTTGTAGTTTGAATTTTAAGGTTCAATGGCCGAACCATCTTTTGCTCGCCGCATTTTATCATTCTTTCGCTGCTAAACCATTTCTTTTATCATTACACACATTTCGATTTTTACTAAATAATCAGTAGTAAATTGGTTATAACTTGCTCAAAAAAAATCCAATTTATAAGACGTTTGAATATTTGGAAACTAGACAAACAAAGCGTTAATTTTATATATTATATGCTTAATTTGGATAACTGTAGACCCACTGCTAAACCATTCATTTTATCATCATACACATTTCGGTTTCTATTAAATAGTCAGTAATAAATTGACCATAACTTGCTCAATAAAAATTCATTTGATGAGAGGTTTGAATCTTTGACAACTAGACAGAAATGGCTTTAATTTGATATATTATACATTTAATTTGGATAATTGTAGACCCATTGTCAAACTATTCATTTTATCATCACACACATTTCGATTTTCACTGAACAGTTAATAGTTAATTGACTATAACTTGCTCAATAAAAATCCATTTGATGGACAATTTGAATATTTGGAAACTAGATAGACATGACTTTAATTTAATATATTATACGAGGAATTTGGATAGCTATAGACTTACTATCAAACCATTCATTTTATCATTATACAAATTTTGGTTTCCCTTGTTTATCGGGTTCCACTGAACAATCAGTAATAAATGGCCATTTCAGGATGAACATGCAAGGATTTGTGCCATAAGATCGAATTCAATTTTAGTGATGAGAAAGGAAAACAAATATGATATGTAGTTTTAATTGTATATGTTCTATCTCTCTTTGTTAATATTTTTTTTTTATGTTACATACATATATCATAAAAAGAGGTTATTGTTGAATATAACCAATTTTATTTGTTTCTCAAATATCCTTTGATGTTTGATACCGAACCATGTAGCTTTAGTAAACTATTTATAATATGCTGAACCATTATTATTATCTTTAAAAAAAAAGATTGAATCATTGTTATTATCTTTAAAAAATCCACCATTTAAATTACTATTGCCAATACAAAAAATATGCTTAACAATGTTTAATTGAAATAATATGCCTATTTAAATTAGTATTGCCTATTCAAAAAATTGTCGAACCATTGTAATATGCCGATCAATTTGTATTATTTGGAACCATTGTAATATGTCAAACCATTATTATTATCTTTAAAAAATTCACCATTTAAATTACTATTGCCTATTGAAAAAATATGTTGAATAATGTTTAATTTTTATCATCACACACATTTTGGTTTCTCCTGTTTTTTGGTTTCCACTGAATAGTCAGTAATAAATTGGTCATAACTTGCTCAATAAAAATCTAATCGATGAGCAGTTTGCATATTTAGAAACTAGACAGATAGGGGTTTAATTTAATATATTATACGTTGAATTTGGATAACTGTTGATCTACTGTCAAACCATTCATTTTATCATTTATGTTTCCATTGAACAGTCAATAGTAAATTGGCCATAAATTACTTAATAAAAATCCAATTGATGATAGGTTTAAATCTTTAGAAATAAGACAGACAAGCTTTAATTTGACATATTATATGCTTAATTTTGATAATTGTAGACCCACTGCTGAACTATTCATTTTATCACCATATACATTTCGGTTTCCACTGAACAGTCAGTAGTAAATTGGTCATAACTTGCTCAATAAAAATCTAATTTATGAGAGGTTTGAATCTTTGGAAACTAGATAGATAGGGATTTAATTTGATTATGCTTAATTTGGATAACTGTAGACCCATTGTTGAACCATCCATTTTATCATCACACGCATTTTAGTTTCCACTGTTTCTCGATTTCACTGAATAGTCAATAGTAAATTGACCATAACCTGCTTAATAAAAATCTAATTGATGAATGGTTTGAATCTTTGAAAACTAGATAGATAAGAATTTAATTTGATATATTATACGATTAATATAGATAACTGTAGACCTGCTGTCAAACCATTCATTTTATTATCACACACATTTTTGTTTTTCCTGTTTCTTGGGATCTTGATTCCATAGTGAAAAAGCCTTCAAAACAATGTTGTTTCTGGAGTGCAAGATAGTCAGTGGCCAATTTGAAATAAACCCAACCGGACCATTTATGAAACATTAACTACCCGGTTCACAAAACTTACAATTTAATATTAACCCTAAATAAATAAAAACCGTATTTCCAAACAAAACTTCTTGACTGTTGGTTCATCATTAATTGTCCAGTTCAAATAATAATACAATTTAATATTATTTATTTGGATTAAATGGGTATACATTGAAATGTAATATTTATAGGAATTTACTATTCTTAATTTCTTTATTGTCCATTTAAAAAAAAAGATTATACATAGAAATGTAATATTTATATGAAATTACTATTCTTAATTTCTTTATTATTTATTACTTTTAATTATTAATTGAACATTTAATTAAATATTATAAGAAATATTTTCTAATCCATTATTTTAGTCAATCTTATGACACTATTAGGTAATTCAGTAGATAAATTTCTACCAATACAATGTATGTAATTGCATAACAAATATCAACAAATCGAAACATCTAAATTTTAAAACAAACATGGTGTATTAAAAACAATTTCATAAGCAACCTGTCCAACGTGTGGGCCTTTCAGCTAGTTATATTTATAATACATCTTGTCTTCCTAATTCAATCCACCAGAGTTTAAGTAAAAAGGGTGAAACCAAACCTTTAAATTTTCTAACTGACTAAACAACGTATTTCCACTCGAGGTTTGGTGAAATCCCAAGTTGATATCCCTGGTTGCATTTATTCTGGATTCTTACCCTTAAAGTGACATAAAAGTGTTTGATATAGCGGCAAATGAGTAAATTGGTCATTTTGTAGGAGGTGGTGCATGCTAGCAGATCGTCGCTCTAACAGTGCTCCCGTGCACGTTAGCAGATGTAGCCTCTAGCATTTTTCGTCCTTTTTTGGTGATTCTTCCACCCAAAATCACCCTTGTCACCACCATTCGAACCTTCATTCTCCCCTTTACAAAACCTTACCCTTCACAACCCTCATCACTCGCCGATCGTCGGCCACGACAGCAGCGACATGCGACTATTTTTTGCCCCTTTTTGATAGTTTTGAGTGGCAACAACCCCAACCACTGCCGCTGTTTGTCTCCTCGCATCCCCCCTACAAAACCACTAACCTTCCCGGCCACGATAGCTCACCGTTTGTCATCCACTACTTCACTAAAAACGCGATGAACACGAACCTCTCGGTCGGCCAACGACGACTAAATGATTAGTGGGGACATAGGGGTCTAGTAGAGTTAGAGATGATGGTTGTAGTGGTGGTGTCCAATTGGATTTTTACTGCTAGAATCTGGCGAAGAACAGCGAAACCCTAAACCTAACGATGCGAACGATTGGAGGGGCCAATGAGTCATGAACCAGAGAGGTTTTGGATGACAGACTATGGGGAAGGTGATGGAGGTGGTTCAATGTTGTCGAAAATAGCCTAGATCGGGCAAAAATCGAGAGGGTGCACAGTCAGCAAGGGTGTTATTGAAGTAATTTGAAAATAAAATGGTAAATTTTATAATTGTAATAATGTGGGGGTTAAAAATAATTTATTAATTTATTTGTTAAGGGCATTATGGTAATTGCACCCTCTGTAACCCAAAAATTGCTAACAGTGTTACTTTAAGTCGAGGCGAATCTAGAAATTTTTTTTAGGGTGGGCCAAAATCTAGAACTTGTACATATTAATATTTTTAAAAAAAATTTGAGAGTGGGTCATGACTCACCCTCAACTAGTACTACATTCGCCCCTAACTTTAAGGGTGGGAATCTGTAACAAATGCAACCAAGGATAAGGGTGGGCGGGTATGGGTACCTGCCCAAAATCAAAGGAACCGGAACCGGCCAGTTCCTTTGATTTGGAACCGGAACCGAAACTATCGATTCCCGTTCCTAATAACTTGGAACTGGAACCTGTGTTACAAGGTTCTGGTGTCGGGTACCCTAGAAAATATCAATTACCCCCTTTCGAAAAAATGACAAATAAACCTTTATAAAATTACAATTACACCCCTAACAATTAAGTGCAAAACATTAAATAATATATTTGTTTATATCTACTTGATGCTTGATTATAAATATTTAATTGTTTGTTACTTTGTTTTCACCGATAATAAATATTTAAAAATTATTATTTAACGTAAATATCTTAATGTATATTAATTTCTTAATCAAGTAATAAGTGAAACTTAAATATTAATAAAAATATTTTTAAAAACTGATCTTTTAATGAAAATTAGTAAGGCTTTGGATACTAAGATAAAAAAATCAAAATTTTCCTATATATTTATATGATATGAAAATATAAAAAAAAACCTCATATGTAAAGTATCAAAAAAACCCTACATTCTTTAATATTATATTAATTTAGTTCCAATTCTCGGTTCTGATTTTTTTGATTTGAAAACAGAATCAAAACTACATAGTATCAATTCTAATTTTTTGAAATCAAAACCTACTATATTATGATCGGTTTCGGATAAGAATCATAATGTATATTGATTTCTTAACCGTCGATTCTGCTACTACCCTACAATTTTGCCCACCCCTAGGCAGGATATCCATTTGGGATTTCGCGAAAATATGCCCTTTACTCTTTCTGACATAACATACATGACATCACTCCGAGTTTTCCTTCATCCCAGACTTCAAAATCCTGCCTTTTGACGCAGTCAACACTCATTCTCTCTGCCGCAAATTACGTCCCTACAGTAAACGTAAATGTTAAGTGCCATTTACGTCCCTCAAAAAATAACAGAATTTGCCTTATTTTGCCGCGTGAATGCTCAAGAAGCACCATATTTTGGCGGAAGGCCAGCTACCTCGTTCCTAAATTAGAGTTTCTTACGTTAATTTAATTTTATAGGCTAAATCAAGCTTTCCTCGTCAAACAAAAACACCTGAGACACTGAATTGGGTTCTGCTCAAGAACCCTAATGTCGACATTGACATTGTGATTTTTAGATTTTCAGTAATCAAAACCGAATCTTGGCAAAATGGCCTCTCAAAAGTCGTGCTGCATCTGTTTTGCGGCAATGTTAGTAACCGCTGGACTTACGGTTGGAATTTATTTCGCAGTTGAAGCTTTTAAAGATATAAAATCCACTGGCTTTGCGGAGAAGAAGTACGGTGATGCCCTCAAAGTGGCAATGCAGTTCTTCGACGTTCAAAAATGTATTCAATTAATCTTTCCTTTGTTGAATTAATTAGAACTGTAGCGTATATTGTGTATAAAAATTCTGAGTCGAGTTAATTTTGTCATCTTTATGACCATTGACTTGATTGTTAAAGAGTTCTTAACTGGCATGTGGTGTCAGTATATAACACGCATATTACTTTTATTCGTTGTTGGATACAGCGGGTAAGCTAGCAAATAACAAGATAAAGTGGAGAGGGGATTCGGGGCTTAAAGATGGAAATGATGCAAACATTGATCTGTCGCAAGGCATGTATGATGCAGGTGATGCAGTAAAATTTGGTTTTCCAATGGCGTTTACGGCAACGGTGTTGTCATGGTCCATCCTTGAGCGTGGATCTCGGATGAATGCCAACGGGATGGATCTGTTGAAGCAGGCTCAAGACTCTCTCAAGTGGATTACTGACTTCCTTGTCAATTCTTATCCTTCTAAGAATACGCTCTATGTTCAGGTTTCTACTATCTGTTCCCATCTCATTTTAATTGCAAGTATACTATTATTCATTTAATTTTCTTTTATACATCCTGCAGGTTGGTAATGCTGATAAGGACCATAAATGTTGGCAAAGGCCTGAAAGCATAACCGACAAGAAACCACTCTCTCAGGTCAACAAAACTTCTCCTGGATCAGATGTTGCTGCTGAAACTGCAGCAGCATTGGCTGCAGCATCTATGGTGTTTAAAAAGAGTGACTCCATATATTCAGCCAAGCTTCTTAAGTATGCTAAAGAATTGTTTGCTTTTGCTGACAAATACAAAGGTACTTACAGTACCAGCGTTCCCCAAGCCCAGACTTATTACAATTCAACAGGATATGGAGACGAGCTTCTGTGGGCATCTAGCTGGCTCTATTGTGCTACTAAAGAAAAAAATTATCTCCAATATGTCACTGGCCAAACCGCAACTGACTATGCTAATTGGGGAAATCCAAGCTGGTTTAGTTGGGATAACAAGCTTGCAGGAACCCAGGTATATATATATATATATATATATTTGGCCTTCATATCTATGATGACTATGGTGATCGAGGATGCAAAACACTAAACAATATCTGCCATTACCCTGTTAGCATTACGTAATAGTTAAAAATTTATTAGAACGTGTTATTGAAGATCTTAGTCATGAGAAAACAGGATAATCTGTATATTAGATCGTAAAAAACACAAAATATATGATGGTCCTAGTCTATGTGGCAACTTCCTTCTTTGAACCTGAAAGTTTATATATATAACGGTGTGCGTTGCCTGTAAAGGGATTACTATGGTTTCTCCTTTCCGTTGTTTTTGAGTCATATTTAAGGAAAGTTCTATAGGTTTATCTGGAGATGACTTGTCTTCCCTAATAGTAGCATCAACAAATAAAGTTAAACTTTGTAAAACCAGGTTATTAATAACCATTGTTCTGCTTAATTAGTTTGTGGGTACAGGTTTTATTATCCAGGGTACTCTTCTTTGGTGAAGAGGACGACTCGGATGGTCAACTTCAGATGTATAAGCAAACAGCTGAGACTGTTATGTGCGGTCTTCTACCAAACTCTCCAACAGCCACAGATAGTAGAACAGAAAGTAATCTTCTCTTCTCTTCTCTTTCATTAATTATTTTCCTACCTAGAGGGATTATTCTCGGATGATCTAGTTTCTTAAATAAATGTTGCAGGTGGTCTTATATGGGTCAGCGAATGGAATGCTCTACAACATTCTGTTGCCTCTGCATTTTTGGCTACTCTATATGGTGACTACATGGAAACATCAGATAATAAAGAGCTAAAATGTGAAGGAAAAACTTTCAAGCCGCAAGATCTTCGGGACTTTGCCAAACAACAGGTATCCATGCTTGCGATGGCCAAGACATATTAATTAAAGGAATTAATGTTATGTTGCATTTTGCAGGCTGATTATGTTTTAGGTGACAATCCCAATTCGATGAGCTATGTTGTTGGTTATGGGAGCAAATTCCCAAAATATGTGCACCATAGAGGGGCATCAATTCCAGCTGATGCAAAGACTGGTTGCAAAGATGGGTTCAAGTGGCTGGAGTCAACTCAACCCAATCCAAATGAAGCTACTGGAGCACTTGTGGGTGGACCTTTTTTGAATGATACATATGTAGATGCTCGTAACAACTCCTCACAAGGGGAACCAACCACATATAATAGTGCTCTTCTTGTTGGCCTCCTTTCAAGTCTCGCCACTTCCTCTCAATCTGTAGACAAATCTTTCCCTTAAATTAATTAGTGTTTTGTTTAACCTATCAAGCTCAAAGTTCATTTAGTCATGTAATAAACAACTTAAAATGTTTAAAAATAATTGTCATTTCTTTACCACCAGTTCTCAATTGGAAATTGATTCACCAGGACATCCAAATTATTGCAGGTGTAGCGTAGAGATCATTTTGGTCAAGTGAGGATGGTAAGTAGTTTCTGTTTATCTACTTTTATTCATATAAATAAATAAAACGTAAAGAAACATCTTGATCATAAATAATCTAGAATGGTACTATATCTGAATTTTAATGAAGAATTGGGACGGGCTTTGATTATAACTATGGGAATGGGATGGGCTTGGGACAGGGTTAAAAAAGAAAAATGGGTCCAAGATGCAGACTCTGCAACTGGAACTGGACCACTTTGCTTAAGATCAAAGGTGTGTCGGTGGGCAGTCCAAATCATGCAGGATCAATATTCCTTTCTTCTACCTCAAATCACATTCACGTTCTTACCTTACCCAGTGGCATTCAGTTGAAAAAAACCCATTTTATCCCGCGTGAATGACACTGTCGGTGTCCAAAGAAAAACATGAAAAGATATCTATAATTTTTGTGATTTGGCCAGATCTAGCTGCCTTACTCCTTAATTAGACTGGGTAAAGCTAGTTCAGTAGCCATCGTTATCACTCACATTTTACTGCCTCTGCTTTGTTGGATGTCACCATTTTAGATCTGATAGCTTCACGCCATTGTGGGAAAATGGGAGAGAAATCAAAGTCCAAGGGGTGCTTCGGGTGGTTCTTGGTAATAGTCCTATTAGCTCTGGTTGTCGGCGCTATTGTTTACACAATAAAGAAGAAAACTAGTCACTCTAGTAAGCCAGCTCCGGTTCCCGGTCCCCCCGGCGCCGTTGAAAAGAAGTATGCCGAGGCACTTCAAACCGCAATGCAGTTCTTCGATGTACAAAAATGTAATTTTACAACCTTCTTCTATTTAATTTTATTTTCTAGCTTCATTTAATATATACTGCAGTCTGGTGATTTAAGTAATTGAAGTAGCTCTGTTGTTTCTTAGCAAATAATAATAATAATAATAATAATAATAATAAAGTAATTGAACTAGCTAGTATCCACATAAAAATATAAATTTGACAATCTTTATGCATTGGATATAAGTTAGACGGTTTTAATTAATATATTTGGTATAATTGGGGTGAAATTGTAGCTGGTAAGCTGGTAAATAACAAAATATCGTGGAGAGGAGATTCAGCACTGAAGGACGGAAGTGAAGCACGTTTGGATCTCTCGAAAGGCATGTATGATGCTGGAGATCACATGAAGTTTGGATTTCCAATGGCTTTTACTGCTACGGTATTGTCATGGACCATCCTTGAGTATGGAGATCAGATGGAGGTTATAGATCAGTTGAAACCAGCCCAAGATTCTCTCAAGTGGATCACTGACTACCTTATCAATGCTCATCCTTCTGCTAACGTGCTTTATGTTCAGGTTGCTATATTCTTTTGCTCCCATCTGCTGCTTATGTGTCTGTGTCTGGATTTATTCACCTTCATTCTTGTTTTCCATTAACTTTACAGGATTTTTGCATAATTTAATTCCAACATGAACATGAACATCAGCTGAAGTTTACATCAGGAAAATCTTTATGTCTCTGAATTGGCTGTAAATCGATTGATATAGCAAATCTATCTATTGAACTATGTCTTATATCCTAACTTCAATTTTGAGCCAGGTAGGTGATCCTGATAAAGACCATAAATGTTGGGAAAGGCCTGAATCCATGACTGAGGAGAGGCCAGTCACTCAGGTCAACACGTCTTCTCCTGGGTCGGATGTTGCGGCTGAAACTGCAGCAGCCATGGCTTCAGCGTCCCTGGTGTTCAAGAAGAGTGATTCAACATATTCAAGCACGCTTCTTAGGCATGCTAAAGAGTTGTTTACGTTTGCTGACAAATACAGAGGTTCTTACAGTGACAGCATTCCCCAAGTCCAAAATTATTACAATTCCACAGGATATGGAGACGAGCTTTTATGGGCAGCTAGCTGGCTCTACCATGCAACGGGGGACAAATCCTACCTCCAATACGTGACTGGGCAGAATGGAAAAGATTTTGCTAATTGGGGAAGTCCAACCTGGTTTAGTTGGGATAACAAACTTGCAGGAGCCCAGGTATATTTTTTGCCTTTGATGGACATGGAATTGCCTTTATTGAATCAGTGAAAAAAAAAAGTGATTGGAGTATCAAAAAAGTCTGCCGTTTTTTACTTTCTGTAATTTTGAGAAACTGTGGAAAACCATGTGACTTTTATTTCTGCTTCTAATTGCAATACTGCTGCAGGTTTTGTTATCCAGATTGAGTTTCTTTCATGCCAAGGACTCCTCAGATAACTCTGGCCTTCAAATGTACAGGAAAACAGCTGAGGCTGTTATGTGCGGTCTTCTACCAAAATCTCCAACAGCCACAACCGACAGAACGGATGGTAATATTCTTCATGAATGCTATTAATTGTTCCAATCGTATTTTTTCAACTCATTTTGTGACACATTTCCGTGATGTAACACTGGATTACTTACTTTGACTGCCAAAATTGTGTCAGATGTGAGAGTTTTCATTTATATTTTTCTGGTGCAAATTTTGAAGAGTATGTGATATTTAAGATGCTATAATCTTCAATTCCTGCCCATCAATTAGAATGTGATATATGTGGGCCTATGTTACATTTATTAATGTTTGCGTCAATTAACTTATGGCATTGCATGGTGTTACCTGCTCCCCTAAACCTATATATGAATACATGCATTGATTGCAAAAATAATGGTTTTTTGCCAAATATAGCTTAATAGCGTACAATGCATCATTAATCCACAGTCAATAATCCTTGATAGTGCACTATCTTCAATTTGGGTAGTTCAAAGCTTAAGTAGGAGAAAGATTCAAACAGTTGACATATTAAAAAAAATTAAAAGTATCAATTACATATAAAGATTTGTATACCATATTTTTATAGCCCGAATTTATTGTACTACCATTTCCTGGGAATGGTTGTATATGCACTGTGGGTAGGGTTTAGAGGAGTTTACAGTTTCTATAATCCAGTTTTCTTCTTGGATCATTTTTGTTCACTATCAAAGTCTTTTTCATCATAGGTGGTCTTATATGGATCAGTCAATGGAACTCTCTGCAGCATCCCGTTGCTTCAGCATTTTTGGCTGCTCTATACAGTGATTACATGCTAACATCACAAACTGCAGAGCTAACCTGTAGTGGACATTCTTTCAAGCCATCGGATCTCCGGGACTTTGCCAGAGATCAGGTATAATTGTATGTAGGTCACACAAATGCAATAGCGTTTAAAATGCTATAATGAAACTAGTTAGGATAGTCTCATTTGTTCCTAATCTGATTTTGTAAAATTTTCCAGGCTGATTATGTTTTGGGCGACAATCCTATTAAGATGAGCTTTCTTGTGGGGTATGGAAAGAAATTCCCTGAGTATGTGCACCATAGGGGAGCATCCATCCCAGTTGACGCGACAACTGGCTGTACTGGCGGTTTCCAGTGGCTTGAATCAACAAAACCAAATCCAAATGTAGCAGTTGGCGGACTTGTGGGCGGGCCCTTCCTAAATGAAACATATATTGATTCCCGGAACAACTCCATGCAAGCAGAACCCAGCACCTATAACAGTGCTGTAATTGTTGGGCTACTATCAAGTCTGGTCACCACCTCTTCCGCAGTTCAGTCCTTTACTACATGAGACAAATTGTTTTGTAAGAATGTTGTACCAGTACCAGCACCAATTCCACGTGTACGCAAAAATTCTGTTTTTAAGGTTTGGCTTTTACTTATAGGTTGAGGGTGAAGTCTATTGAGCCTTTATTTGGTGTGGTTAGGGTATATAAAGCACTTAATATTAGTACAAGTGGTTTATGTTATATTTTATTAAAGATATTAGTCTTGATATACAACATTTTCAAATTTTTTGCTCCAAATTGCTGGTGGAATTGAAATGAATAACTTTACAATCATGAACTAGTATATCCCTCTACATTCAGCTTGACTCTTCTTCCATGTGCATCAGCATCGTTCTCAACAAGAAATCTTAGCCTTGGGTAATGGTACCGGAGTCTTCATATACTTAAAAGAAACCGAGGGGATAAAATGTATATTAGGTTTTTATTTTTTTTTATCAATGGGGTGCCATTGATTACTAATATATTTCTAACTTGTTTAATTTATCCTCATTGCTTTTAGGCCTCTGATAAATTATTCTTCGATATGTTGAACCAAAAATGTTTTAGAAAATCAATTTAATATTGTAGTCCTATTGTTTACACAATAAAGAAGAAAACTAGTCACTCTAGTAAGCCAGCTCCGGTTCCCGGTCCCCCCGGCGCCGTTGAAAAGAAGTATGCCGAGGCACTTCAAACCGCAATGCAGTTCTTCGATGTACAAAAATGTAATTTTACAACCTTCTTCTATTTAATTTTATTTTCTAGCTTCATTTAATATATACTGCAGTCTGGTGATTTAAGTAATTGAAGTAGCTCTGTTGTTTCTTAGCAAATAATAATAATAATAATAATAATAATAATAAAGTAATTGAACTAGCTAGTATCCACATAAAAATATAAATTTGACAATCTTTATGCATTGGATATAAGTTAGACGGTTTTAATTAATATATTTGGTATAATTGGGGTGAAATTGTAGCTGGTAAGCTGGTAAATAACAAAATATCGTGGAGAGGAGATTCAGCACTGAAGGACGGAAGTGAAGCACGTTTGGATCTCTCGAAAGGCATGTATGATGCTGGAGATCACATGAAGTTTGGATTTCCAATGGCTTTTACTGCTACGGTATTGTCATGGACCATCCTTGAGTATGGAGATCAGATGGAGGTTATAGATCAGTTGAAACCAGCCCAAGATTCTCTCAAGTGGATCACTGACTACCTTATCAATGCTCATCCTTCTGCTAACGTGCTTTATGTTCAGGTTGCTATATTCTTTTGCCCCCATCTGCTGCTTATGTGTCTGTGTCTGCATTTATTCACCTTCATTCTTGTTTTCCATTAACTTCACAGGAGTTTTGCATAATTTAATTCCAACATGAACATGAACATCAGCTGAAGTTTACATCAGGAAAATCTTTATGTTTCTGAATTGGCTGTAAATCGATTGATATAACAAATCTATCTATTGAACTATGTCTTATATCCTAGCTTCAATTTTGAGCCAGGTAGGTGATCCTGATAAAGACCATAAATGTTGGGAAAGGCCTGAATCCATGACCGAGGAGAGGCCAGTCACTCAGGTCAACACGTCTTCTCCTGGGTCGGATGTTGCAGCTGAAACTGCAGCAGCCATGGCTTCAGCGTCCCTGGTGTTCAAGAAGAGTGATTCAACATATTCAAGCACGCTTCTTAGGCATGCTAAAGAGTTGTTTACTTTTGCTGACAAATACAGAGGTTCTTACAGCGACAGCATTCCCCAAGTCCAAAATTATTACAATTCCACAGGATATGGAGACGAGCTTTTATGGGCAGCTAGCTGGCTCTACCATGCAACGGGGGACAAATCCTACCTCCAATACGTGACTGGGCAGAATGGAAAAGATTTTGCTAATTGGGGAAGTCCAACCTGGTTTAGTTGGGATAACAAACTTGCAGGAGCCCAGGTATATTTTTTGCCTTTGATGGACATGGAATTGCCTTTATTGAATCAGTGAAAAAAAAAAGTGATTGGAGTATCAAAAAAGTCTGCCGTTTTTTACTTTCTGTAATTTTGAGAAACTGTGGAAAACCATGTGACTTTTATTTCTGCTTCTAATTGCAATACTGCTGCAGGTTTTGTTATCCAGATTGAGTTTCTTTCATGCCAAGGACTCCTCAGATAACTCTGGCCTTCAAATGTACAGGAAAACAGCTGAGGCTGTTATGTGCGGTCTTCTACCAAAATCTCCAACAGCCACAACCGACAGAACGGATGGTAATATTCTTCATGAATGCTATTAATTGTTCCAATCGTATTTTTTCAACTCATTTTGTGACACATTTCGGTGATGTAACACTGGATTACTTACTTTGACTGCCAAAATTGTGTCAGATGTGAGAGTTTTCATTTATATTTTTCTGGTGCAAATTTTGAAGAGTATGTGATATTTAAGATGCTATAATCTTCAATTCCTGCCCATCAATTAGAATGTGATACATGTGGGCCTATGTTACATTTATTAATGTTTGCGTCAATTAACTTATGGCATTGCATGGTGTTACCTGCTCCCCTAAACCTATATATGAATACATGCATTGATTGCAAAAATAATGGTATTTTGCCATATATAGCTTAATAGCATACAGTGCATCATTAATCCACAATCAATAATCCTTGATAGTGCACTATCTTCAATTTGGGTAGTTCAAAGCTTAAGCAGGAGAAAGATTCAAACAGTTGACATATTAAAAAAAATTAAAAGTATCAATTACATATAAAGATTTGTATACCATATTTTTATAGCCTGAATTTATTGTACTACGATTTCCTGGGAATGGTTGTATATGCACTGTGGGTAGGGTTTAGAGGAGTTTACAGTTTCTATAATCCAGTTTTCTTCTTGGATCATTTTTGTTCACTATCAAAGTCTTTTTCATCATAGGTGGTCTTATATGGATCAGTCAATGGAACTCTCTGCAGCATCCCGTTGCTTCAGCATTTTTGGCTGCTCTATACAGTGATTACATGCTAACATCACAAACTGCAGAGCTAACCTGTAGTGGACGTTCTTTCAAGCCATCGGATCTCCGGGACTTTGCCAGAGATCAGGTATAATTGTATGTAGGTCACACAAATGCAATAGCGTTTAAAATGCTAAAATGAAACTAGTTAGGATAGTCTCATTTGTTCCTAATCTGATTATGTAAAATTTTCCAGGCTGATTATGTTTTGGGCGACAATCCTATGAAGATGAGCTTTCTTGTGGGGTATGGAAAGAAATTCCCTGAGTATGTGCACCATAGGGGAGCATCCATCCCAGTTGACGCAACAACTGGCTGTACTGGCGGTTTCCAGTGGCTTGAATCAACAAAACCAAATCCAAATGTAGCAGTTGGCGGACTTGTGGGCGGGCCCTTCCTAAATGAAACATATATTGATTCCCGGAACAACTCCATGCAAGCAGAACCCAGCACCTATAACAGTGCTGTAATTGTTGGGCTACTATCAAGTCTGGTCACCACCTCTTCCGCAGTTCAGTCCTTCACTACATGAGACAAATTGTTTTGTAAGAATGTTGTACCAGTACCAGCACCAATACCAATACCACGTGTACGCAAAAATTCTGTTTTTAAGGTTTGGCTTTTACTTATAGGTTGAGGGTGAAGTCTATTGAGCCTTTATTTGGTGTGGTTAGGGTATATAAAGCACTTAATATTAGTACAAGTGGTTTATGTTATATTTTATTAAAGATATTAGTCTTGATATACAACATTTTCAAATTTTTTGCTCCAAATTGCTGGCGGAATTGAAATTAATAACTTTACAATCATGAACTAGTATATCCCTCTACATTCAGCTTGACTCTTCTTCCATGTGCATCAGCATCGTTCTCAACAAGAAATCTTAGCCTTGGGTAATGGTACCGGAGTCTTCATATACTTAAAAGAAACCGAGGGGATAAAATGTATATTAGGTTTTTATTTTTTTTATCAATGGGGTGCCATTGATTACTAATATATTTCTAACTTGTTTAATTTATCCTCATTGCTTTTAGGCCTCTGATAAATTATTCTTCGATATGTTGAACCAAAAATGTTTTAGAAAATCAATTTAATATTGTATATGCATAAATATAAATGAAGATTATTTTTTTTAATTTTATTTTTTTTTTATTTTTTAAATGTTTTGTTTTTTTTATTTCTTTTTTCCAACTCCTAGGCATGTTAAGAATAGTATATAGAAATTCTTTATACAAATTCTTGTAACAGTTATAGACCATTTGAGTCTACGCACTTTAAATTAAAATATTAAATAACAAATGGTAGATGTATCATGTATTGTCTCTCCAAACATTAGAAGTGCATGCAGCGGTTGTGAATGTTCCGTCCTTGTACAATTAACTTGAGCTTAATTGCATTTGACCAAAACATATATATAATTAGATGCATCGCATTCACGTATGTAGCTTATGGAGAAGAAGAATGTGTAGGACCACTGAAAAATACATTCATCAATCAGCAACATCAGGCTACACCTGAGAGAGAGCGAGAGCAGGAGAAATGGTTAGATCACAGGTTAAGATCATTCCATCTATCACATAGATCTCCAAACAGAAAAGTTCGACAAAAGAAACCACCAAATTAATACATATGCGAAACAACTGATAAAATGTTTCTGTTTCTGCCATGATCCTCAGTCATGCCATGCGAAATCTCCTCTGCCTTCTCTTAAGCTTCTTCCTCTCCTATAGTCTATTTCTGCATCGGAACTTGACATACCTAGGTGATATTTTCTGCTGATTCTAGATGATGACCCCATCTTGGAAAATATGTCTTCTTCATCAGTGAGAATATGATTACCAGGTGTGCTTGACCCAGAGACATTAGTAGGTTGCCTCTTTGGTTTATTCTCTAAGTTGTGCAATGAAATACCATTATTGCCTGCAGGTAACAGTACGCAGGAAACTCAACAATAGGAAGGAGATGAATGAAAGATGAATTTGAAAACTATAGGAAGACAATATTGGGAATACGGAGTCAGGCAAAGTGATTTATCATTTTTTAAAAGAAACTAATGTAACTGGCCGATGATTCTTCATTCAATGAATTTTAGGTTGCATGCATAAAAATGCTCCACATTACTTGCATCAAAAGAAATTAATTATACACATAAGGTAGAATTTGATGCGTGGTTAATTACTGACTGCGGGAAATAAATTATAGAAGCTTATTGAAGGTTGCTTCTCTGATACTCAATTTTCATTTACTTCCTTTTCCAATGGCTTCTAACAAACAGATAAGTAGTAAATTTAGATCAAGTAATGATAGTTCACCTTCATATCCATCGCATGATATTGTTAGTTCATTGTGTTCACCAGCATCAATAATGTCTGAGTCTGATCTAAGGCTTTTCTGACTCATGAATTTTGTCTCCGTTCTCTGTGATTTTTGTCCATCTTCCACCAAGCCAGATTTTACACTGACCTCAAATGCAGGTTTATCTGAGGTAAAAGGTGTCATGGTAAATGAGTCTTCCATTATGTCAGAAATCTCCACATACTGAGGAGTAGTGATGATTTCATCTGCACTGAATCCAAATGAAGCTCTGTAGGCTTCAAGTTCTTCAACATCTTGCTTGGGACTTTTAGTGTGCCTGTTCTGGTGACCATTTGCACCACTGGAGTAAACATCTGAATCCTTGGAAACACTTAACCTCCCACCAGTATGAGGAAATGGTGGATTATGATCCAGATAAAACTGTGCAAATGTTGCAGGACAGAAAAAGTTTGTATCTTGAGAGACTCTGGAGCCACCAGTGGTGTCATGCCCATAGAGTCTACCAGAACCACTCCTTGAATATTTGTCGTTCTGGGGAGAAACTGAAGGATCCCAGTGAGGAGGGAAGTCTCGTTCAGGAAAGGATGATGATAGACATTCACCAGAAGTCCTTGAAATAGGTGATATGAGACTGCTGGCAGGACTTCCAGGATAAAGTGAATATGTTGCTTGAAGATCATTTGCAGCGATATAATTGGACTTTTCGGTACCTTTTAGATCCATAGAAGACGTCAGGAACCGAGCAAAAGGCACGTCTGGTGAAGAGGGAGTAGTGGGATGTGCCAACTCCGGGGGAGGGGTGAAAGGAGCAGTGGATGGCTCAGTTGTGAAAGTGGAGAAAACAGGAGGTGAAACCAGTTGTGTTTCATGGGCATACGGACCAGTGGCAAACATTGTGGATGAAGGACCTCCAGGTGAATTAGCAGATAATGACAAGAAACAACTGGGTGACTGAGCGGTTGACGGAAGTGCAGAATTTGTAAAAGACGCCGGCGAAGAAGGTGGAGCTAGAAGTGATGGTGCTAGTGTTGTAGCTTGATTGGTCAACCCAGCAGCTTGAGGTCCATTTGGCTGGGCCACAGAGGCATTGCCTTCTGGCATACGAGATGCAGGCACAATACGTTTTCCACCTTTCTGTGTCCCAAAACAAGACAAAGCCCCCAAGCATCCTCCCCATCTTTTTCGCTGTCAATAAAGTCGAGCACTATTCAGATCACATTGCTCAACAAAAACAGAAAAAGAAAATCAATACCAGACTCCCCAATACTTTTTATATTCAGCTGGAAAGCCCTTCCTCATGATGTGCAGATTTCGGAAATTCAAGGCTAATTTCATATTTTAGAATATATAAGCAAGACCTACTTATACATGCAAGTCAACTTTGCAATATATGAAACTAAGATACACAAAAAGGCAAAAGGTTCCAAAATGTAGAGATTATAAATTTATATATATGTCATGGGTTTCAATAACCTAAATGCACATAACAAATCATAGGATCTCAACATACCCTTTGGCTAGTCAGGTGTTAAGTTTATTGGAGATATATTTCAGTCCAAGTAAGTTTCATGATAACAAATGAAAGATGGTAAGCATCAAAATAGAGCAATACTACAAATCCTAAATAGAATGCCCAAATTTCAAATCTCATGCATGTCTCATATGTGACATCACCATGTAGCTTATCATTTACAATTTTTTAATTTATAGCATGACATTTCACTTAAGACAGAAATTTTGGGACTACTTGATGTGTTTTGTTCTTACGGATATCACATTTGGGATGCTACTCCGATGTGTTTTGCTCTTAGGGATATCACGTTAATATAATATGAGACAGCAACTAAACCAAGTGTAGAATTGACTAAATACTCATATGATATGAATGTTCGGCAAAAATAGAAGAGAGCTAGAGAAGGTGTTAATATGTTCAGATGTAGATGACGATGTGATAGATATGCAAAACGACTAGCCAATTGTACCATTTTGAAACCCAGAAAGGGATTATATAGAATCCTAGTGGTGAAGTGAGTATGTGTTCCAGAGGTTGATTCAAAGCTGAAGTGATTTTACATTGTAATTGCTGGCATTAGATCTAAAAGAGAGTTGGATACTATAGTTGAAGCCTGCCTAGTCGAGATGAGAAATTGGGAAACAGAGGAATTAGAGGAAAATGATTAAGTTGACTTAGTAAAAATGCGCATGAAGGAAATAGAAAATGTAGAGGGAATAATAAAAATAAAAATATAGATCAGATGAGTTGAAAGGAGAAATTGATAGATCTGAATAAGAAGAAAAAGAAAAGGCCAGATCTGGGATTAAAATTGAAGAATGAGAGAGCATACCCTTTCCTGCTGAGGGAATCTATTCTGCTCAGACCCCATTACTGAATAGTGAGAGAGCTTAGAGCTGAGAGTTGAGTTAAGTTGAGTTGATGTGGATGGTGGTGCAGTAGTTCAATCTTCAATCTTGCAACAGAATCTCACATTTCTTGTTAAAGTTATGGGTTGTGATAAGATTAGAAGAAAGAAAGGAATTAGATTAAACGAAACCTTGCTTTTTAAAGGACCTTTAACCAGAAGCTGACACCATGTAGATTTTGCTCTTCTGATGAAACAAGAGAGAGAAAAAGATACATTTATTTTTAATTAATTAATACAAATCTTAAGGACAAGGAAAGACAAAAGTAAAGCGAAAAAGACCACAACGATGGAGATAGTCAGAGAAGAGTCAGTGTAGCTACAAAAGTGAAGGATTAATGAGTATCAATAATAGTATGCTAACTCACGAAATTATTAACTATTCTATTAATCTTTATAAATATAAAATATAGTACGAATATCATAAATATAATACGAATGTCATATGTAATTTTAACAAAAATAAATAAAATGATTAATAAGTTCGTGAATAAACATAACATTACTCATACAGAAATTGATTTTAATTATAATTAGATAAAATTAATTAATGTTATGAGAATAGTGCTGGTGAAGAAGAAAAGAGACATTAAAGTTAGAGCTGTATGGGCTATGGGGGTGGACCTGGACACTTATTCTACTCTTCTGTTATCAACACACAACTACAAAGTGTGTGCGCATGTCCAATCATCCTCTCTTTTTGCTTTCTCTTTATTTATTTTTTTCTTACTTAAGGAAAACAATTTCGTAATTGCATTACAGCTGCTTTGTTCATATCATAATCAAACTATTAGTATTACTGTTAATTAATTAATAAATTCCTTTAACATTTGCCTCATCTCAACATCTTCTTACAAAATCATATGGATTACATAATCAAAAATATTCATTCATACAACAAGACGTTAAGATTACACCACCCTCCTCCTTTGTCCGGGCTTGGGACCGGCTGTGAAGTAGAGACAAACATTAAACCACATACACAGGCGGAGTTACTTTCTACTTAAACCAATATCTTGGGCTTCTCAGTCTACTTAGCCCACAACAACAATTCCAATTCTGCACCACATTGAATCAAAGTTTAGTTGAACTCAATCCATCTTATTACTATCTAATCAACCAATTATCATTTCATATATTTGTTGACTGATTGCTTATATCAAATCAATTTTAAGTTTAAACTTTGTGCTGTAATACAAACATATTTGAAAATTGTCTTCAAAGCCACCACCATAAGAGATGATATTTGATAAATTATAAAGTTGAAGGGTTTTGTCGTTAGATGCTTATCCCCTCTCCTAGAGTACAACCTTTTATTAATTTAATTAGTTTGATATTTTCATAAACGGATGTGATAAAGCATATACATACCTTAGGGAAAAAAAAAGACCTCCATCCTCCAGTTAAGGTGGTTTTCTCCTGCACCAGAGGAAATAATAGAAACTAATTATTTGGTAGAGATAAAAGAGCTCAATGAAGCTTTCTCCCTAATTAACACCATTTAGATCCATTTCTCATAGGTTTTCTCAAAATTCATAAAACAATGATTCGTATTCTCTCATTTCTTTGCAACTTTAACTTTTTAATCGGTCAACAAAAACACAAAAGCCTCCCTTTTACCAGGTCACAGGCGAGTAAACTAAACAGGGTGTAAAATCAAATTAAGTGATATTCAATATTAAGACTGTCTCTACCCAATCCACTGATGGGCTCCAAATGATATCAATTTTTTAACTAAGGACAATTTTGAAAAAGATCCATAACGCAGATCCATCCACCCTTCAAGATGGTGCTCAAAAAGCTCATTCAAATGATATGTTCAGAGTTATGGGTCCAAAAAATATTCTTTGAAATGGTGCAAAGGCAGTTCACATTGACTAGCAGGGGGTAGAACAACTAAATATTACCAACAGAATTATCACTATCATTTGCAAGGACCACCTTAGTATATATGTGATAAATATATACTCATTCAATTTATTTATACTGAATAAATAATCAAATAATGCATGTTCGTACAAAAATTTGCTATTCTGAAAATAGTGTTAGCAAGAAAATAATAAACCGATTTACAGTTTCTAAGAGAAGAAACTCATCTGCAACAGAGAGCTACCTACAAGAATGCACATGTCAGTAGTTCATCTTCCAAGAGTAGTGAAAAAACTCAATGTGAAACGAAGACCACAACATGTCAGTCCAGCTTTTTGACAACAGTGATCTTAAACCTGAAACAACAATATACTCACATCAGTTCCCCACAACTCATGCAGATATGGTTCGTTATGATTTCAACAATAAAAAGCTGCATTTCACAATTACCAATAATTTTAAAAAAAAAAAAAAAAAAAAAAAGTGTGACCTTAGGCTTAGCTTGTCTCCTTCGAAAAAGAAAAAAAAGGGAAATGGACATCAAATTCAACTAAGCAAATCGCAGCTCAACTAAAAGCCAACTGTGGGTTTTTCAAACTGACCATTTCATAAGAAGGATACTAATAGGTATCAATATTTACAACAATATTAGTTGGATGCCAACTTATACAGAAATATATACACGCAGTCACATATGAGCATTTGTCTACATAAATAAGCAAATAAGAATACTTTTACTACATTCTGCTCACTATTTTTGCATCACTGCTGATTTTATTTCGCTATATCATAATGTTCATACACCAAATTCATCTCCATGATTTTTAATTTGTAGAACATGAATTGCGGGCTATCACAAATTATATCCCCATAATTGGAAGTTATTTTCACTATATATACATATTTTCTTAAAAAAAAAAAAAATCAATTGATTGATATGGATGTTTTGTATAACTGTATAGTGTGGTGTCAGAAACATACAATTGACAATAAACCTGCCATAACACTCTGCTGTGATCCACTAATCTTTGTTGCAACTTCCGTGAAACTTTTCAGGCAGCAAACTATTGGGTGAAAGGACAACCAGAGCTCCTCCAAAAACTTCAAGCTACACTAAAGTATACTAAACTGTAAGTTGGAAGAAAAATGAATTAACCATGAACCACAAATTAAAAGCCTAGCAATTTATCCACATGAAATAACAACAAACCGAATAACAAAAAAAAAAAAATTGAATCCAGTGGAAGTGTTGCATTTGCATGACACCAAACAAGACAATTATAAGCCCATTCAGTCAGACAGTTCAGAAGATGGAACTTTAAGGAAAATTAACGAGAGAGAAGTGATAATTTCAACTATTAGGTCATTCAATCTTTCTGCTCAACAGCTGGGTTCTGCAGTTGGCTCATTGAATAAACATAATAAATTTTTAGAAAACAAAGACGAGGTCAAGCATCGCATTAATGTTTGGATGGTCCAAATGATATGGCAACTGTAAGTAATTTCACAAATATGAGTACAGAGGCAAGGTCATTTATATTTAACCCAGAATCTGAGTAGATAAGAAAAGATAGGGCAGTTTCAAGTCATTCACAGACAAAGCCCAATTGTTAAGAAAAGGGATAGCACATGTGAGGAATTGTTATTTTCAACAATAAATGAGAAACATGGAATTGTAGGGGGGCTAGTTCATCTGAGATAGAAATTCAACTACTTCTACAATCAAAAGGCAAAACGAAGTAAATTGGATCTTTACAAAAGAAAAGCCAGATAAATCAACAAATCATGATGAAAGATTAAAACCTCAAAATGTTTGATGATGATTATACTTCAACAACTGATGTGACAATTTGCATATGAGAAAAATAAGATATATGCTCTATCTGATACTCTTTCTGATCCAAGTCTGATCAAAATAAAGATTAATTGAACAAGTTAATGGCTGGGTGTTTATACCATTTTAGTGGTTTTATTTTGTTAAATTATCATTAAAATATTGGATTTTATTAAGATTATAATTGAAATTAGTAAAAATGTAAATTTCAAATTTTATGGATAGGTTTATGTAGATAGGGGTGTGTAGAGTATATTCAAGGGCCCACCTTTTTGAGGATTTATCCTGGAAAATAATAAATGTTGAAATATCCCTACTACTAAACCAAGACACCAACAATTATAGTAACTATCAAAGGCAATTTAATCCTATACCAAAACATGTTTTAAATAAGCATGACTTCCAGTGAAAACAAAAACACTACTTCTCAACCCATCAATGTGGTATCAGCACTGATATAAGAGGATGACTCCAACCCAGGCCTATGAACTAAACATAGCTTAATAAATAAGCATAAACCACTCTTTAGTGTCACTGCTCTACCTGTGCTACAGAACAATAAAACAGTTGCTCAAATTTATCCCTAGACTGTACATAATATCAACAAGAGTCCACCTAAAAGTACATAACACCATCCCAAAAGGCAACAAGGCGTGATTCATTTTTTTTTCTTTCTTTCTTTCACAATAAATGGAACAAGAACACTGTTGCTTATTTTTTTTCCCAAACTGCACATATTATCAGTGAGAGTACACCTATATATATATATATATATATATATTTATTTTTTTTTTTTTTTTTTATAAGAAACTATAAATTTAGTATTAATGTGAAATTTAAACGAAATTACAAAAAGTTGACTAGTAGATTACTAAACTAAAGTTACCTTTTTCCAGTCCCTACCATTTGGTGGTGTGAAAGATAGTGGATTTGGACGATTTGCTGGTATAGAGGGATTACGGGCCTGCTGTCTTGTCAAAGCGGTTGTTGAGGATAGGTGGTGGCCATACATCAAAACTAAGATTCCAAAGCCCATTCAGGTCAGCTTGTAAAGCTTTTACTACATAAACTTTCTAATCATGCTTTTATTAATCTAAACTTCTGTTTTTGCTCTCCAATTGTAGTATCCTATTGCAGGGAATGGCTTCGATTTTCAGGAATCACTTGTAGAAGCACTTTATGGCTTGAACATATGGGATCGGTTGCGAGCATTGGTGAATGTATTGAAGATGCTTACAGAGCAAAATACCCCAGCCAACAGTAAAAGAAACAATGATTGAGTTGACATGGGAACATGCTCGTGAGTTTCACTAACTTGTTTGCAAGGAATTGATCTTTGTGTTTGTCATTTTATTTTTCTCGCCCATGTTCAACAAGCTAATTCCACCCCTTCTTCTTTTTACTTGCTTTGCTTTAGCTGCTACTGGACACAGATAAATTAAGCTTCCTGACTTTGAAATGTCCTCTCTTTTTTATGCTTAAACTCATCCATAAATTGTTCAGCTTAATTTTGATGAAATGAGAATAGCTGAAATTTTATACTTGGATGGTTTAACTGTCTTGGTCACTTATCATTTTGATTTTTGCTACACATAATCCATACCTGAGGTTAANAATATAATGAAACTGCACCATAAATTATAACATCAATCATCGAGAAACAAATATTTACATACCAACAATATCCACTATTCTGAACTCTAAACAGTGAGAAACAGAGTTTAAGTGAATAACCTATAATTATAGACACATATTATAAATATAATCTGTATATAAAATGCTTAGAACAAAACAGCAGTCCAAAAAAACTCGTATACAGTACATACCAGGATTATGAACTCAAGTATTTCCTAATTCAATGATCCACGACACCTGAACAAAAGAAAGGGGAAAAAGAATTAGTAAATATTATGCAGACATCAACAAATTGAGGCACAAACATTGGGTTACTACAGCTTTCAATTATTGCCTCAAACTTAAATGAAGTCCCACTTTTCATGGAAAAACTAGTGGCCTCAGCCTAATTATCATTTTTTCAGTTTTGACATTATAGCTTATGAAGATACTTAATAATTAAAAACTAAATAAAGAAACCTACAATACACCACCCCAAATCGTAAACTTAGATCATGGACATCCATAAACCATAGTTTCATCTTACTTTTTAGAACCACAGTTGCAGGGGATCTTTTTCTCTTCCAATGGGAACTTGTAGTTGTAAGTAATTTCTTCACCAGCGGTTATATGCCTTTTCGCATAAATGAAAATTTTTTTTTGACCCTCAACAGTTATAACCTTGGTATAGCAGTTAGGCTGCAAAATCAATTATTCATAAACTTATGAACACCAATAAATAACATAACTTGCAATTTATAAAACAAATTCACATAGTTATTTAATGCAGCTACCTCACAAGAATGGTTTATAAATCTAGCAATCCCACCACGCTTAGTAGCATCAACCTACACAACAAAAATAAAGTTATAAAGCAATAAGCTACTTCATCCCTCTATTGTGAGAAGTAATCCTTCATGAAAAGAGAGAACGTGAAAGATGCAGCATATATGCTACATCAAGACCATTGCAGGTCCTGGTAGCTTTCCAATGTCAACATATATTGCTTTTGTTTGTTGTCCAAGAGAGCAGGCCTCCTCTTTAATCCCTCTGTAGGCATGAGCATCAAATCACATAAAAATTTAAGCTACAATCTGAACTCGCCCATTTTGCTACTTTACCTACCACATAACCATCGTCAAGCCTAAAAAGATAACTGCTTCCAATTCCCATCTTCTCGTAATGGCGCTCACGTATATCAGATATCTGTGGAATTAAAGAACCTAATTAATGGTAGTGTAAAGAGACAGGGAAATACATAAATTTTCATTTACACACACACACAAAAAAAAAAAAAAAGAGTAAAACCAGAATGATAAATTAATCTATTACAATTATTCCTTCTAAAAAAAATTGCAACAATCATTTCAAAATCTCAAGTCAAATCTACCCGAGGACGAATAAGCTCCCCAACATATTCAATGACAAAGTCCTCTGCTTCTATTGGCTCTAGTGCAACAAGACCCCAATCATGTATCTTGCTCCGTTGGAATCGTAGACGCTTTTTCCTTGCCTGGCAATCAATAGAACACTTTAGAATGACCAACTAGTAAATATTATAACAACCAGCCAACATAAAGGCCCTCAAATAAAAACTTCACTTTACAATTACCTTCACTTGAGAAGCTTTCAAAAGCTCAGCACCTTCTGCAGCAGCAAGAAGATTCCGAAGTTTCACCCTATTCGTTCTCGCAGAAAGACCCTTATTATTAGACCACTGAGATGCATTAACCTCAGCACCTAAATACTTACTCTGAACATACTGAGTACCCCTGACCCGAGCTCTTTCAGCAGGACTTGCATTGAGCGACCATTTATGCCATTCCCAACCATTAACTGAAGACCGAGCACATTCATTAGATCCAGGGCAGAGATTTGAAGCTCTGGACTTACTCGCTTTAGTCTTCTTCACTGCAACCTGTCTACATGCTGCTTGCTTGGCAACACCATTAGCTACTGCCTGAACCTTTGCGGGACGTAATGGCAAACTGTCAACTGGACACTTCCTTTTTAGTTTTGATGACTTTGCATCTGCATACAAAAGTGCATAATATGGGCAAGACTTAAGCACAAAATCATAAATCATTATTTAATGACCATAAAATTAAAAGAGAGATAAATTTCATAGGTTTAAAACATGGCAATTAAAATGATAAGTACCGCTCTGTACACTTTTGGAAGCAACAAGAACAGGCCCCTTCTTTAATCCAACATTATGGCCTTTGCCACGAACAACCTTTTCAGTCATGGTTGATGGCCTCTCTTTGAAAGGTTTTACCACATCCACATCATCATCTGGATAAAACAGAAAAAAATTATATAATGAGCAAAGTTTATAATCATCTAAATTTCTGCAAGTAGAAATTTCATAATCAGAAAATGACATACTTTGAACTGTATGGGAAACTTTCATTACTTTTCGACCACTTGTGGTTTTGGAAGATGAGTGATTACCAGGCAAATTAATTTTAGCAATCACTTTTGAAGACTTAGCATTGTGAGATGGTTCAGTCCGAGCTTTGTTTTTCATGATCTTTTTAGAAGGTAAGGCAGAGCGTTCAACTCCCTCATTCTCAAACACATCAGTTTGAACCGCCTGTTTCCTTAACTTCTCTACAGGCTGAGTCGCCATCCCATACTGAACAGGAGTCAAACAAATGGAAGATGGTCCAAACTTTTTTCGGGTCAACTTTTTCTTGCGGTAATATGTATATTTTTCAACCACTGTAGATGCTTCTGAACCGTGGAATTTTTTTGATCCCTCTCTAACTTTGTCAGATACAGCAAGGCTGTCACCATGATCATTATAAGCATTTGAGGCTCCTTCCTAAAACATTGAATAAGCACCAGTCAATGGATAAAGAATTAAAAAATTAAAAAATAAGAAAAATATATACAATTTGATTAAACAAACGGAAGGGGGAAGAGACCAAAACATACAGAGTTATGATTATAGCTGTATCAAAATAATAATGAAAAAAAGAAGAGTCAGTACGAACCCATATCTCATTGCTAACTGATTCACAATGTTTCTTAGAAGTACACCACGAAGTTAAAAATTGGAGAAGAACATCATCAAACATAGATGATTTCCACTCTTTAAGCACAATGGCATGCAAATTCTGACGGCATACTGCTATGGCAACATATTCTCCAACCTTAGAGGTACGCTCATTGATCATCAAATCTTGGAATTTATGGATACATGATGGAACAAGTGTTCTAGCATTGTCTTCCAATCCAGGTGGTAGGGGCTCATAAGTTTCTTGTTCATCCACTACATAATTATCGCATGATGTCTTAAACACATGTGCCAAAATATTAGATATAACATCTTCAGGTTCTCCAACTTGTAATAACTTTTGAGGATCTTTGGACATAATAATCTCAGCAGAAATTTCAGTTGAATCAATCCTTATTTCATCACAAATGTCCCTGGAGCCATGCGAGCAAGTATGCGGACACAGGCTTGAAGAGTCAATAGGATCCTGCAACTACGACAATGTTTCTTCAATAAATGAAGATTACCATGATTGATCTCAAAATATTAAAAACAAAACTGTAGTACAGTGGAAGTAGCAAGATAGTCTCACTTTAAACTTTCCAGATTACCTCGTTCATGTTGCCAGATTTTGAAACTTTAACTAACTTCCTCACTTCCTCCTCAATAAGACTTTCAACATACTCAGCAGAGATTGCCTTTGTAGACAAATAGAGCTCATTTTCAACAATTTCTAAAATACAGTTAATATCAGCATCTAATAGATCATCACTGCATGATGGACTATTCTGTTTTTGCATTTCTTCTAAGAAAGCAGATGAAGACAAGGGGGGTGATTGCTCATCATTATCTGTTTCCATTGCCATCATTTCAAAACCGGGAGGGCAATCAACAGTGCACACAGAGGAATCTTGCCCAGATAACAACTGCAAAATTGTAGAAAAAGACCATGTACATAATAGATGCAAAAAAATAACAATATTTATATAAAATCCCTAACTAGCTCACCACTTACATGTTCATCAGGTAATTTCTCCATTCTATTGCTGTAATTCCTATAGTCAGAGGTAGGTCCAGTAATATTTGGGTGACCAGACCAAAGTTTTCTCTTTCTCCAGGCAGAAGAGTACTCCACTATACTGTCATAAAAGACAGCATTCCACATAACTTGCATACAGTAATCAAAGAGCATTCCACAAACAACTTTCGAAGAGCGCCAGAAGTTCTCAATGCTTCCAACAGATTTTGTTTCTGCAGGAGATTGTGTATGCGTTTCATTAATGCATATCTGGTCAGAAATATTGCGGCAGGCAGCTGCCTCACATTCAGCAGTGGCATCACTATGTCTCTCCAACTGTCGAAGCAAACATTGCAAACACATTAGACAAAAATAAATTTACAGAGTGATCAATTGTTTGGCAATGGTTTACTTCACCATTTTGTCATCAGAAGAGCAACTTTTAGTAACCTGATTAACTGTATCAAGCTTAAGATGTCTCTGAGCTTTTCTTGTAGTAACAAACTCCGAAATGACATTGCTGATGATCTCATCCAGCAGTACTCTACGAGCCGCTTTCACTATTCCAGCATGAAGTTGAGAAGAAACTCTTTTGGAGATTTCAGATATGAAGTTCACTAAAGAGCCAGTCTCATAATTTTTTGCATCAGCTGCATAGTCAGTTTCCAATATATCTATTCTCCATGTATTCACAGCAGATAGCAAGGTGACAGGGCCAAGCTTATTTTCAGCATGATATATCTACAAGATGAAATCATCAAAAATTCAGAGTGAGAAACAACATAATTATGTGGAAAAGTTAGCAGATAGCAAGGGACAAATAAAAGCAATAGAAATTTATAATATATAATATAGGTCATAAAACAAAAAACGACTGGAATAAACACAGCATGCTAAGGTATAAAATGCTTTAATCACACTGACAAGAAATCACCAAACAAGCAAACAGAACAATATATATCTTGGGACTTGGTAAACCTAGAAAGATGAAAGAAAAGGAGACTAAATATACTCCACAACTTCAAAAGATGCTTCATTTTTCTTTATTCATGTACTGACTAGGGGCTGTGAGTTGATTCTGGCTGTTTCTAGAGCTGGTCAAGCGTAGTAATCTTTCTTGCTCATTTGTTCTTTCTGCACAGTACCCAGATCCAGTATTGTCTTTGTAAAGCCTGAGAACCTAAATGGATGGATTTTGTTTTTACAACAATACATACCTCTTGTTTCTATAAAACTATATAGTATATAGTTCATAACTTACCATAACTGAATCATGAAGGTTACCACATCGATGCCAAGAAAATAGTTCCAAAAGTGAATGTGGTCCATGTTTCCTACCCCCATCATCCTCAAACAACCAACAAGCATCTTCACCCAACTGAAATAAGATAAATAAGTTACAAGATTAGGAAAAAAAAAAAAAAGCACAGCCAGACAAGTAATATCATGTAGTTCACATATATTATATAAGTCAAATTTCTATTTAAGATAGCAAAACAACAGAATTCAAACAGAAAAGAAACAGTACCACTGGCGGACATGATCTAAAACAGTTAGCTGTTTCAGAGTTTGACATTAACTGGTTGGAAATACAACCACTGCTGTTGACAAGTGATTGGGATACTAACTGCATATCAGGGCGAACACTGGCAGCAGTACTATACTGTGCATGGCCCTCTTTATGGGTCACCGAATCTCCATTGTGAGTGATCAAACAATTTGGAGTCATAGTTGTGCTGAAGGTGGCAGTATTGAGATATGCAAAACCTGTGGCAACATGATCAGGGAACTGCTTGAAGTACTTCAATGGAACAGGATTGCTTAAGGACCCATTAACGATGGGATAGACAGGAAGCTCATCAGGCAAGAAACCAGTAGATAAGCCCTCATATAACTGATGCTGAATATAAGGTCCACACATCTGCCCATTTTCATTGATGTACATCCATCCACTTGCAATAGCCGGCGGCCCATACCCATAGTATCTATCACCCTGATATGAAGATCCTGCAGTACTAGAAGATTGTGTAATATCACCACTAGTGCCATTCGACTGGCAGCTCATCTCCGTGAGAGAATTTGGATGTAATTCTTCATCCAAATTGCAACAAGATGAAGAAACATGACTACTACTAACACACCTGATGAACATTGCCAAAATTGATAAATAATCTGTATATGTGTGTATGTACATGTGTGGTTGCGTTAAATAGAAATAATTAGCCGAAGAAGAAGAAGAAAATAGTAGTACCCGTAAGAAAAGCGGTCTTCTGCACTTGGCTGCATTAACGAAGCAACGTCTGCATAAACACCTTGAGATATGTCTGAACAAAAATCTTGATATTCAAAATCAGAAACTTTCAGTCTCTTTCGGGAAAGAAAAGAATGATGGCATTCATGAACAAGGGATATATAGGAAACCATGGTCGAAAAAGTTTCTTCTTTAACCTGCTTTGAGGAAACAAAGACAAGAAGCCATTGATGCAAGATTCAAATGTGAAATTGCACAAACAAATAGAATAACAATACTGAGTTTAATGCAGATCGAGAACCAGATAGTCAGAAAAGGTTTCCCAAAGATTTTGCAATTGATATACAAAACAAACACAAGAGGTTGCGGCTAGTTCTGATGCCGTCAATTTAATTAGAAAATTATAATTTATTAATAGCTCGTTGGAAAGTGACAAAAGAAAAAGAAAGAGATCAAAACTTCGAAGCCCAAGTCCTAACCCTATCCGGGGTTTGGATCTTATACCGAATGAAAAAGAAACAAAAAAAAGGATATATAAATCGTGCCTTTAATTTAGCTGTTTTAACAACGAGAACACAAAATTGTATAATAAAACGATAGGATAAAAAATTGTATAATAAAACGATAGGATCAAAAATTGTACGCCGTCGATGGTGTCTACGGCAGCGGATGAAGGTTTTTCTGTTTCCTTCGACTACCGCCTCTCTCAACAACTTAGGACTTACGAGCTTCCATTGATTAAGATAAAAGATTTTATTTTATTTTATTTATCATTATTTATTTATTTATTACTAAAACCCGTATTTGATTTAATTTGTGACAGTAATATATACTGTATTTTTATTTTATTTTTTGGGTTTGTTGAGGAATTCATTGGTTAGTAAGGAAAACAAAAATAGGGATTTAGATATATATAATAACTTAATAATTAAGAATCCTATTTCATATAAGTTTTATTTAAATTTTGATGTATAAATCCAATCGTAAAATCTAATGACTTATCCGTTGTATTATTGATAAAACAATAAATAATATGTAACTAATATATGCTAGACTCATAGTCTAACTCAAGTTTGAGTATTTGATAGTATGATTTGACAAATGGATTAAAGTATGTCAGATCATATTAGAGTAGGCTAGACTTGATAGTTTCGACCTTATAATATTCTGGCTATTTTTGTCTTTAACATTTCTATTAAGGACCATTAGATTAAGTCATATAATTTTATGACTACATATATCTTTTAAATAAAATTTTTACATTTTGGAAATTAAAATTAATAAAGATAATTATATATGAAAATATTTCATAAAATTTTGGAGGAATCAAATTTAATCCTTCAGTATTTACTAAATTACATTTGGCTCAAAATATTTTGAAAAAGGAACAAATTTATTCGTATCATTCACCAATGGTTACCCCAAGTTGATAACACATTTCACTTTATGACCACATACCCTTAAGTCTATGAACAATGCCTTAGTTTTAGTTTGTGCATACATCAACTAATCTCTAGGATTAATTAAACACCCTACAAATTGTTACTTATAGCATTGTAATATATTTTGTGGAAATAAAATAACAATACACTTAGGGGGCGTTTGGTTGGGGGTTACGTGGGATTACTAGGATTAAGTCATCTTATATTACTTGATTAACATGTTTGGTTTGTCAAATAATATAAGATTCCGGTAATCTTCAAATACCAAAAGTGGTTACTATTGGTAATATTGGAGGAATTATGATTACCTCTATTTTCTTAGGTATTGTAAGATTATTTGAGTAATCTTTTTTTTTTTTTTTTGGTTACAATTCTATCTTTATTAATAAAATTTTAGGACAGTAAGGCCTTTATTTTTAAATTTATTTACATAAATCTTACCTTTACCATTTCACCCCAATTAATTAACTTTTTGGACAAAATTACCCTTGAAATTAAAACAAATTTCAACTTACCCAAGCCACCACCCCCACCCACCTGCTGTTGCTGCCTGCCACCAGCCAAACCACTGCGGGTCATCGCGGGAAGTCGTCAAAAGTCACCTGGAGTCGCCATGAGCAGCCCACCGTAACCGGGAGGCCGCGATATGACCATTTTTGGCCATATTAATGGCCAAAAAGGCCATATCGGAAGCAGATCTGGCTGGAAATGGCCAAATCTAATCAGTCATGGTGGGCTGCTCACGGCGACTTCTGGCGATGGTTTGCGGTGGCGGCAGGCGGCGGTAGGGTGGTGGGGGCAAGTTTGTTATAAATTAAAGTTTTATATAAGTAGGGGTATTTTAGCTAAATTTGAAATATTGGGGGTTAAAAGAAATTATTTAAAAATTAATAATAAAAATAATATTACATTAATATTTAAAAAGAGGGCAATTTAGTAATTTAAATAACATACCAACCAATTTATTCCTCCTAACCAAACATATTAATATAACATACCTACCAATTTATTCCAACTAACCAAACACATTTTCTTAAAGATTTCGAGTAATCTTCAAGGTAATATAAGATTCCAGTAATCCAACATTCCCGGAACCAAATGCACTCTTAGATTTTTAAACAGTATTATTAGTATCACAATTTTTTGTTTTTTGTTTTTGGACAAGTTTAGCCTTAATGAAAATCACTAGAAATAACATTATAAGTTATAAATATATTAATATTCTATTTTATATGTTGTGCATGAAATTCGGAGAGGATAATTCCTTATTAGGAGAGAAGATATTTAGATTGGCTCAATTTGGAAGAATGATATTCAAATTGACTTAGATTCCAACTAAGGTAGTCGAAAATCATGCAACTTCCAAATCCTACATATTTAAATCTTACCTCAACTCTATCATGTAAATGGGTGCTATAAAAACCCATCACAACTTGTTTTTTGGGGCTGGGAAACTGTTCTAAGAAAATCTTCCTAGGAATTATACTGTTTTTTGTAAGCTCTCAAAAGCAATAAGATAACAGTGGACGTAGACTCAAGTTCTAACTTGCCTAACCACTTTAAAATTTGTCTTGTGTATTTTTGACTCTTTCTTTTTTGTTCATTGTTGATTTTTATTAAATAACGCACACATCCATTCCGGTTCCGGCAGGGTCAATCAGAATTCTTTGATTGGTGCAGATTTTTGTATGAACATTTTGGCGCTAGAGGAAGGGCTTGAACACTTTGAGCTCTCTTTGTTTTCCAACAGTTTTTTTTCCATCTTCCAACCGCAAAAAAATCAGCCATGGCTGCAATCCATGTCACCAAATCAAACTCTAGAATCAAAACTGCTGATAGATAAGGAGTATTGAGCATTATAAAGTATGAGTCTGGCAAAGTGGAAAACATAATAGTTGTAGATCTTCGAGTAAGCTTTCAAACGGTTCAAGAATCATCCAGATCCAAGGTTTGTAGCTCAAGTTATTGTCAAGATATTGAAGCCTATTTTAGATCGTGTGGCCAAATCTCTCAGATCGCGCACCCAGATCTCACATCCAGATCTCCATGCTTTCAGATCGAGTTATGATCTTTGATCGAGCTCTCCATGCTTTCTATTCGAGCTATGCTCTCAAATGAAGCTTTCCATGCTTTCTGATCGAGCTCTCCATGCTTTATGATCAAGCTATGCCCTCAGATTGAGCTCTCCATACTTTCTTATCAAGCTATGCTCTCAGATCAAGCTCTTTATGCTTTCTAATTTAGCTATGCTCTGAGATCGAGCTCTCCATGCTTTCTGATTGAGCCATGCTCTAAGATCGAGCTCTCCATGCTTTCTGACCGAGCCATGCTCTAAGATCGAGCTCTCCATGCTTTCTGACCAAGCTATGCTCTAAGATCGAGCTCTCAATGCTTTCTGACCCAGTTATGCTCTCAGACGAGCTCTCCATGCTTTCTGACTGAGTTATGCTCTCAGATCGAGCTCTCCATGCTTTCTGATAGAGCTGTGCTCTCAAATAAAGCTCTTCATGATTTTTGATCGAGATGTGCTCTCAGATGAAACTCTCCATGCTTTCTAATCGAGTTATGCTCTCAGATCAAGCTCTCTGCACTTTCTAATCGAACTCCTTGTGCTCTCAGATTGAGCTCTTCATGCTCTTTGATCGAGCTTTTTATATTCTCATATCGAGCTCTCCATGCTTTCCGATTGAGCTATGCTCTCAAATACATGCTTTATGATCGAGCTATGTTCTCAAATAAAGCTCTTCATGCTTTATGATTGAGCTGTGCTCTCAGATAAAGCTCTCCATGCTTTCTGATTGAGCTATGCTCTTAGATCAAACTCTCCATGCTTTCTGATCGAGTTATGCTCTCAGATTAAGCTCTTCATGCTTTTTGATCAAGCTATGTTCTCAAATTAAGCTCTTTATGCTTTCTAATTGAGCTATGCTCTCAGATCAAGCTCTCTGCGCTTTCTAATCAAACTTTTCGCGCTCTAATATCGAGCTCTTTATGCTCTCTGATTAATCTCTTTATGTTCTTCGATGAAGCTCTTTATGCTTTCTGATCGAGCTGTGCTCTCAGATGAAGCTCTCCATGCTTTTTGATCAAGCTATGCTCTCAGATCAAGCTCTCCATGCTTTCTGATCGAGCTGTGCTCTCAGATCAAGCTCTCCATGCTTTCTGATCGAGCTATGCTCTCAGATCAAGCTCTCCATGCTTTCTGATCGAGCTGTGCTCTCAGATCAAGCTCTCCATACTTTCTGATCGAGCTATGCTCTCTGATCAAGCTCTCCATGCTTTCTAATCGAGCTGTGCTCTTAGATCAAGCTCTTCATGCTTTCTGATTGAGCTATATTCTTCGATTAAGCTCTCCATGCTTTCTGATCGAGCCATGCTCTCAGATCAAGCTCTCTGTGCTTTCTAATCGAACTCATCGCGCTCTCAGATCGAGCTCTTTATACTCTCTGATTGAGCTCA